AGTCCACAGAGAAGCTGGTGATGTGTATAGGGGTTCCCATGGGAATTGAGACTGTACGAATACACCGAGACGGGCAAGAACCCGCCACGGGTCCCAGTCCTTTGTCCCGAAAATGTGACAAGAACATGGCCAAGGTACGGTACGAAGGCCGGGGACACAACGCAAAAAGGGGCGGGAGGGCCGCTGGTGGACTTACGCAGTAGCACGACCTTTTCATAGGTAAGAGGGTAGATAGTATCAATCTCTGAAAGACGCGAGAATTTGGACCAGTCTCGCCAGTCTCGAAAAGTCGTCTTTGTCCTTTATTTCCTTCTCGCCTTCTTGGCTCGAATCTTCTCCGAGAGGGGAGGGATTGTCAAGCTTATCGTAATGGTGTGCCTAATCGTCCAGAGACAGCTGTCACTGGGAAACGAGCCACTAGGCAGACTGAGCCGAATTGGTTTGAGCTGTTCTGGGTTGGCGGCGGCGGTATTGCATTGAGCTCTGAAAGAAGAAGAAAGTGAGCCGAATCGGACTTTTATCGGCCGGGTGAGTCTCGTGGTCCGTTACAATGGCAGAAGCGGCCACCAACACCGTCCACAGGATCGGCAGAGAAGAACAGACAAGCAAGCAGGCAACCAGGGTTCCCCGTAACGCAAGGCAGTGTGGTAGGCCCGACTGGAGCACGAATAGAGTGAAAGTGACAGCCGCAGGCAGTTAGATCGGGTCGTGTACGGTACACAGTAGCCGTAGGGGACCCAGGTACTCTGAGCTTGTAAAGGTTGTGAGCCAAGGTGGCTGACGTGCTACTGAAGGGCGATATTCCGACAAACTAGTCGAGTTAGGCCGGAGAAGCGCGCGGCTGAAGAGCTGGCAGGCCACAGAAAGAGTTTGCGGAGTAGTGTAAAGATATCCGGGAAATGGTCGGGAAACAGGTTGGTGAGTAGAATCGACCAGTGAGCAGATTCTCGGTCGACAATTCCTGGTGAGTTCGGCGCAGGGCACCTATACCTAGGCCAGGTACCGGAAATGCAGCGATGAAGGGCATAGCGGGAAGACAGGATGGATCGGTGGGGACGGCTCGCGGGTAGCGAGGGAGTCCAGGCCCAGTGTTGATCCGTGTGGTGTCCGTAAGAGGCAGTCTCAGGTCTGGAAGAGGTGCGGGAGACTGGGAATACCAGCGGTCGATTGGATGGAGACGTGGCAGTGGTTCGTCTTCTCCGTCTGTCTCTGATGCGAGTGTCTCTCAGCGAGGTGTGTCCAACAAGCCCCCTCTGCTTCGTACCCTGCGCCAAGAAGGACAAGAGATACGGGGGAGCTGAGTTGAGTCGTTGATCGGATGCGTCGAGGTCAGGTCCAGTGACTCCCTGGGCCACCAATCACAATGCCTCCAGTCAAGCTGATCCGATGTGTCGGATGTGGCGCGATGGGAACAATATCCAGGTGCAGGCACTCCGTACAGGTGCAATCGAGCAGGTATCTGTAGAAGCCTAAGGTAGGCGGTATCCGCAGCCAGCAAAGTGCTGTGAGAGGCCCAAGGGATTAATAGTCGATGGTTGATGATTGATGGTTCATGGTTGTCGATGCACTCAGCAGAGGTGGGGCACGAAGCTGTGTTATTTTATTTCTTCCCCCCCGGGGCCTGGACAGGTGGGACGTGGGTGGACTCGGATCCCGCACACGAATGGAAATGGCCCAAGGACATGTGGATTCTGGAACCAGACGTGCGTGCAGATGTGGGTTGGGGGAAGGAAGGACTCAAGGGGAGACAAGCACGACAACTCGACAAGGCAAGAAACCCCCCGGTGCAGGTGCAGGTGCCAGCCGGGTACAGAGTATGTAGGTAGGCCCTTCCTCCAAGAGTCCAAAAGTCCACCTCAACTTGCCCTGAGCTCTTGCCCAATTTTGCAACACGACGGATACCTACCACATCATCTACCAATGCAGCAGGCACACTTCGTGATCAAACAAAGGTGCCTTCCCGCCATGTCCACCCATCCGATCTGGTATGTGGCGCAGGTACTCAAGGTATGACAGACTTTTGGGGATAATCAATTTGACTCTAAAACTCTCAGAATTTGACAAGACAGTTGAGAATTTTGCCCTCCTCGAATACACTCTCTTCGGGCTTTGCCAATCGTGCCCGCCAAAGACCGAATCCGAACACCAGTATTTGGTTGGTGAATAGTTTAATAGACTCCCTTCGTCCGTCTCATCCCGTCTCGTCCTCTGGTCCTCAACCACATAATTTAGCCGTGCATCCTGGACCGCCACTCTCGGTACTCCAGGTGCTCCTGTGTAAAGGATGAGTTAGGGACGCAAAAAGACGGTTTGGCTTCAAGATGCGCGCGATAACATTTGTTCACTCGCAGCGCGGGTGTCGCCTCTATTGATTGGCCCAGTACTTGAGACAGGGCATTCTTATATCCATCTACAGAGTGACTATGCACAGTTGAGAAGGAGCAAAAATGGGTGCTGCACCCGGTCGGAAGTGAGAAATACAGATATATCGTATCCGTACTCCGAGAAAAAGATCCTGTCCGCTTTTCCTCCGCCAGCTCCATACACTGCGGATGCGCGATGCGATCGATACCGTCCGTACCTGCCTTACATACTGGTCAAGCCTCATATGGCATGCCGGCCTGTTGTTGGACATGGTATCTGTGTGTGCTGCCGCCTGCGGCCTGCGTGCATGGGCGACCCAAGACTAAGACACACAGATCCCGATCGAGCAAGCAGACAAGCAGGGTTCAGTGCGGTAGCTTAAGGCATCTAGAGTTGTAGATTTGGGGTCCCTACCTGAACTTATGACACCTGCGTTACGGAATCCGTCAACCTTCTCGCCATCATCAACTGCAGACTACACATCATGGGAAATCTCAAGGGACGGATCACGGATCTATGTTGCTGTGCTTTCTTGGCATCCTAGTCCCCCCACACCGAATGGTCAGACTGGTACGGAGTACGGAGTAGAGTGTCACCTTCCGCCTCACTTTTCACTTTCGACTCTTCTTGGGCAAAAAGTCATGCCTGGAAGAGCCTGGAAGGGAAGTACACTACATCACCCACCAAGGTAAACAGACGTTCCGCAAAAGACCAAAAAAAAAAAAAAAAAAAAAGGTGCGGATAACATCATGGGACGTTTCCTTTCCGCCTTGAACGGCGCACGGTCACCTCGGTCAGGATTTTGACTTTTACAGTGCTTCCTATCGCGCCATTGATTCTCTTGCCTCATCTTTTGATTGAGACCTATAGTAGGTGATGCCTTGCCATTATTGCTACCTGAGGAGACTTAGACGAGAGTATCGATACACATGGGTCTCTTCTTCCACAAAGTAACTCGACTAATGCAAGTATCTAGATAGACGTCCTCCATGCTCAGACAAAAGTAACAAAAGACAGCAACTGCCTCTACCGAGCAAAAGTTTGGTTGCTGAAGCAGGAAAAGGCGTATCGGCACCTGCCATCTGAGTGACATTGGAAAGAAGAAAAGCACAGTGCACCCGATTTCCTCATTTAACCCCTGTCGGAACTGTTTCCAGATGGGAAGCTGCGTCAGACTGGGGTCGTCATTGGTTCAACTGACTGCGGTACGTACCGCTGCTCCCGCATCAGAAAGTGGAGAAGGAGCCGCCGCACCGGCTGCGCACCCTCCAACTCAAGGCTTCTCCTCCTCCAACCTTTTTTGGCGACATGCAACCACGACGCTTGACGCCTGAATACTAGACGGTCTTTTTTTTTTCTTTTCTCTTTCTCTGTCTGGCGCCCTGCACATCCGACCTTGCATCTAAACGGTAGAACAAAACGGGAATTGCCCAGGCCACCCTTGCTCTTGTCATTTACCACAACAGCTTACCCATAAGCATTCGTACTATTCGACGCCAACTTGGCTCAGGCTCAGGGTTTTAGCGGTATCCGTACCTCTGATTGGTACTGTATCAATGCTGAATACCTATACTACAGGAATCATACCTTTCTTGCCTTCCTGTCGACTTCAAATTTAATCAATGGATACAACCATGAACTCCAATTCAAATATTCGGCAGTCGTGCCTCTCTCAGAGAACGCTACGGCTCGATACGGAGTACAAACATACGGTATTTGACAAAAGAACTGTTCCGCTACGCATTCGCACAGGACCCCTTCATTATCCAACTTGAAGCCACTCGGTGCGGACATTGCGCTTGCGCTTCTCAGCTACCTCAACCATACAGTATCCAATTCAGACACAAAGAATCAGCAGACGACCAGCCGACCTAAAAGCGAGCAATCCCATCAGTAAGCGAAGTCGTACTATCGCAGGAGTTACAGACCTCTCAGATGACCCGTTGCTCCTCTCACAGTGAGCTGCACTTCACCTGTAGGATGCCTTGCAATGTGGGCCGCTCTAGCTAAGATGCATTGCATAAAAAGTAGATTGCCTACAGACACTAGGCCGCATCCACAGTCTCAGACTCTCAGGCACCGACTTCCCATCTAATTCTGTGCAGCATGCAGTCGGGTCCATGTCTTGGATGTTGGATGTTGGCACATCCCTGACAAGCTGCGAATCAAGCAACTACCCGTACGAAGTACGGCTACGAATACCTACATTACCACTCTTTGCACCGACTGTTCTGCGACCTGTGCACCGCATTTCCCTCTCCACATCAACCTCACCTCCCGTCATCAAGAAGACGAATATTACCCTGCCGCAGTCCTGATCAAAATTCGGTCGTTATCGACAGGTCGTTTTAAACGCTGACAGGTCCAATTCTCCCGAGGTCATCGTCCCGAGACACACTCTTCATACTTTTCTCCCAGTCGATCACAGATGACAAGGACATGGTCAATGCCAGAATCCAGCTTTTGGGGGGGCGGAAAACGCAAGCCGCGTCGGCAGCGCTCGCCGAATAGTACCGCTTCGACTACGAATACATACTCCTCGCCTCTTGTTGCTGATGGATGAACCGCATCGCTACTTCGTTTGAGCCTGACAAATACATCCATCACGACCGACACACACACACACACACACACACATGCTCGAAAGATTTTGGCCTCGCTCCGGAAACGATCAGCGCTTGCCAACTCAGCGTAGCAAGAAATTCCCAGCAGCAATGGGGGTCAGCAAAGAAATCGATGGCAGAACTCGAAAGCTAAATACGGACAGAACGGGCAAAATGAGACTTGAGAAGACCAATCTACTGGATGTTGGCAAAGTTCTCGGCGAACCATCCGAAAACCTTATCCTCCAGAAAGGTAGCCAGAGCGATCAACAGAGTCTTGGCCTCTTCATACCTTTGCAGTTGGATGGGACTAGGGCTGGGACGAGGGCCAGGGCCAGGACAAAGATGATGACGAGCCCTTGGTCCAAGTGCAGATTTAACTCCAATGTTGTTCGGGAAATCCCCAGATGTCAGGTGGCGACAATCATGGATTGGGTGAGGGGCATAGACAAGAAGACAGATGCCTTCCTTGCTGGGCTGCTGGGCGGGTGGGAGCCGTCATCGTCAGCCAGCCGGGTTCCTCGGATTATTGGGCGAACCACCCATCTATTTCTCTTGTTGTACAGCATGCCCGGCGCTCTCTGCTCATTGTTTGCTTTTCCAACATCACCAGTTTTGCCGTCGTCCCAATTGCTTGATCTCATCTCAAGTCAGACCTTATCGCAACCACTACAGATCTGGGCCTGGCGCTTCGATAAATCTTTCGCCGACCTCGCGTCTTTCTGTTGTCAACAGCCCCTTCCTCTCGCTGCCGAAGCTTTGAGGATATATCCGCAACGAAGCTCTCCCGTCACCCTTCAGGGTCATCTCCCAGTGGTTTTGGTAGGGTGGGCGGCCCAAGCTCTAGCTCTCGAGCCAGCCGGTGCCATCACAAGCCCCCAGCTTTTTGAGGTCATAGGAAAACAGTGTCTCGTCAGTGCTCACTCTATTGGCCCATATCGATAATCGCACTTGAGCGAGACGAGCATACCGATATCAAAACGATAACCAGCGTGAAATCTTCGAGCATGCCCACCATCACTGCCACTGCTTCACTTCCCAAGCGGTATTCAAGATCAGTAGACAATCCCGGTATAACATTCGCCACGGCGATGGCATGCGTACGATGTCAGATGGACACCCGACTCTGACTTCTCCCGCCGTTGCGGCGTCTAACATCATTCCCGAATCATATGTCCCCATATCAGCAGCGACATAGAAAGCTGTCGGTATTCCTGTAAGAAGAACAGGTGGTGCTCAATCGCGTCGCTTGTCTCGTCTGAAGGGCAAATACACATTAAATCAAACAACCCTCCCCCTACCCCTACCCCCATACATACTCGGCACTTGCACGTCGCCACTCGAGATATTGAGAACAAGAAAAGACGCCTCTCCTTCCCTTCTGAGTTTGACGGCCATTCTATGAAACCCCTGCAGGGCGATGCTCCTATCTTGTGCTTGGTAAGGGAGCCCATGGCTGCTGGTACCCGTCTTCTTCTTCAACCTTGTGCCACCGCTCACTGGCCCTAGAGTGACCTTGTGGAATGCCAGGTTATTTTTGCGTCACCTTGGACTGCTCAGGCTTCAGCTGCAGGTCCTCTTCATCGTGAGCTGCAGCCCGTTAACCCCGGCATCTAAACAACCTCCTACGGCGCCACCGACATATCGTTTGGCCAGGCGAATCATGGAAGTGTCAACCTCGCCGGCGATGTCATTTTGCCGCCCTGACACGCTCTCCTGATGGACGAGACTTGCTCGGCACATCGAAGATATGGCGTACCTAGCTTACACGCTAATACAACTACATACCTCTGCTGGCCTCAGACGATGTCGAATATCAAAACGTTGCTTACAACCTCGCTCGCACTGTGTGGTACGTCGGCAGTCCAAGTTCGACCCCATACCGAAGTTGGTTTGGTTAGGCCTCCATCAAAGCACAATAGCGCATAATAGCAGCTCGTCTGATTCGCGAACCATGTTACAAGAAGGATCGAAGGAGACCGAAATTGACAGCCAATTATTCGATTTTGCCCAGGTCGAAGCTTTGACAGATATGTCACGGTCAACGTCACCGACAAGCAGATTCACTGCCTCGCCCCCATTTCAGTTCGGCGAGGGCTCGACGTAAACTCCGCAGGACTTTGTGTATCTCCGCAAACCTAGTTGATGACTGACCAGTTGGTCATTGGGTATTGACAGACACCAGAGAGTACAAAACGAGGTGCATTGCGCAGATTCAAGATACGTCGTCGTAAGTCTCGTTACCGGCACCTTTGATATCTTCGGCCGCCGATCACCCAAGGACAAGAACGCACGTCTTCTCCGCTGGGCGGGAAACGCACGGGCTCCCATGGATCCTGTTCCACCCGGGATCACGGATAGAATCCGCTTGCTACTCGCTTCGAGTTGCTGGCATCCCCCCCTCCCTTTGTCTTTTTCAGACTTGCATTGAACGTTGGTACGGATATGCGCCCCGTGATAACCCCCAATCTTCTAACTTACCCGCAGGTCGCAGCCTTCTGAAAGATGCTTTCTTGCGCTGGTCGCTCCATGTTTTACCGTTTCACGTTTTGACGCCGGGATCACCTTTCCTGCGGGTGGCATGACGGATCTCGTCTGGCACCCGTCGACGATCTAGGACATCGACGAGGTCTGTGTGTCGTCTCAACGAAAAATGTAAAGATGAATAAACGACGGCGTCACAGAGTATTGCAATCGCCATTCGCGAATCTGTCTCCGGAGTACACTCCTGTAAGGCAGTCCGCGGAGTGCGCAGGCCCAAGCCAGCGACGATGTTTGGGCAACAAATAATATCACCCCGTCCTTCTTCTACTCTCATAAGGCCGAGGCAGAGAGGAACAAAAGTGTGCCACACTTCACAAGCAGGCCCATCACGAAACCTCGAGGCTGCAGCAGACGAGACATTTGGCCGTTTCTTGGCCCTACGACTGGGCGGAATGCTTGTCCTCTCCTCTGTAGCAGCATCAGCAGCAGCAGCACAGGGCGAGAGGGGACCCTTCCTGGCAGCTTGGCACGTCCCTGCTGCTGGCAAACGCTCGTTCGGCCTAGCGGGAACCATCTGAGAGGGATCTTGCTTCCCAAAAGAAAGTCCAGTCTAGAATAATCAAGGGACACCAAAGTAGCTTATACGCTTGAGCACAATTATGTAAGAAGCCATCTCGACTTGGGCATTAAATGCGCCTACCTGCGTGTGGCACCTGCTCACTGCACAGACCCTGGCTAAGTATCCGTATCGACGATTCCGGGCCCCCTTGTCTTTGACAAGACGGCGAACTACTGCATCGTGCTTCGAAAGCATTGACACGGGTTATTTGGTAGTCGACTGAAATCTATGGAACCTACAGCTAGATTTCTGCAAAGCTAATCGTAGAGTCATTCACACCTCAGCATGGTGTACATCGACCTATCAAAGCTGCTAGGGTATAGGAAGCCAAAAACCTAGCACTGGTGAAATACGGTACGGCTCTCAAGGCCATGACAGGGTGTTGGTCGTTATCATGAAGCAGCGAACCATGAAACGAGATATCTTGTCACCAAAATCTTCCTTCAGTACTCCGTACAACGGTAGAATTACAAATCTGCATGGGAGAGACGGAGTCGGTACCAGACCAGATTCAGGCTAGCCCCAGGCCCGGTTCCCGCCAGATTTGACCGAGTATCAAAACGGGAGACCCCACGGGCAGTATTACTCGGCAAGTTGCAAGGGGCCGAGCGACAGCAAAGCTAATTAAGAATGTTTCCTGTAAAATTTCTCAACTATTGATGCGAATCGACAAACATTGACTCCGATTTCATGGTGGGCAGTCGATCCGCCCGCCTCTGCCTGCCTGCCCGGCCGCCCGCATGGGAGACAAAATAACTCGGGATATGCCATCAAACACAAGAAATAACTCTCGGCTCTAGAGAAGCCAACTCAACCAAACCCCCTTTTTGCCGAGCGGCCCAATCATTCTCCATTGCACGGGAGCCCCTACGAGACACCCTTCGTGCTCGTACACGGCAAAGCCCGGGAAAAGCGGGCAGGTTTACGAAGGCCTCGCTCGACCCGATCCGGGGGTTCGAAAGCGAGACGCTCCGGCCCTCGGGGTCTTGTACCGGTCCGGTGGCAAGGACCGAAAGAGAAAAAGAAAAACAAGGAGAAGAACCAAATCGGTGTTCTGCGTGCCGGGCGACGGAAATTCCTACACTAGGAAAGGTTGTTGGAAATTATCGACAATCGCATCCAGATGCCTCTTTAATACAGAAGCAGGTTCCTAGCTGGACCCCTCTCGGTCTACTCGGTCCATCGATGCGACGATGATTACTTATTCTTGGACGGCGGCAGTGGCAGGTTTCCACATCAGTTGTCGGAGACGTTCTTTCTCGGCCTCGTCTGCAAAGATGGTTTCTATGGCCCGTCGGGCCAGTGCGCAGATTTCTTCACGAGAGAGCTTGAAGTGCTCCGCTACGAGCCTGTACTCGTTGGACAACGGGCTGCCAAAGACGCCAACGTCGTCGGTCTGTTTTCGAGTATGAAAGTCAGCTGACGTACAATCTTCGAGTAGACGAGCTTTCGCGAAAAAGATGCTAGGAAAAAGGGGAAGGACGGGAGGGTCTTTCGTGTATAGAGGAGGAACGCACGCCTAGAGAAATCAAACTCCCCTCCACGCCCCACCACTCCCCGAAATGATGGCCCTCGAACCCGCCCGTCACCATGCCCGCGTGGACATTGCAGCTGAGACACAGTTCGAGCCCGATGCCGCGCTTGGTGATTTCCCGCTTCACGTCCTCGCCGAGGTGGATGACGTGACCCAACCTCCGCGGCGACCACGACAGGATCTCGGCGAGCTCGGCCGGGTGGCCGGAGCACTTTGCCTCGCCAAAGTGGATTGTGATGCCGAGGCCGAGGTTGCGGGCTTCTGCGAAGGCGGGGCGGAAGATGGAGATAGTTTCGGCGGTTGAGTTGTCGTTGTCGTTGTCCTGCTGGCCTGTGTGGTGGATGCGAGCGGCCGGGTCGCCGCAGAGGTCTACGCCGACGACGCCTCTGTCGCGGAAGAAGGCTGCGAGACGGACTGTCTCGTGGGCTTGCGCGGGGGTGTGGCGGCGGTCGACGGAGAGGATGAGGCGGGTGCGCATGCCGTCGGGGTGAGAGGCCTCGAAGGCGTCTATCGCGGAGAGGATGGTGGCGACGTAGACTGACGGCGGCTGGGGGGTAGGCGAGGGTAGGGAGCGCGGGGTGGTGCGGAGTTCGAGGTAGGTTACGCCGTCGTCGTGGAAATCTTGCAGGACGGAAAGGGTTGCTTTGCGGAGGGTGTCGGTGTTGGTGATGAGGTTGTAGATGTAGGATGAGAAGAGGGGGAAGAAGCTGTGCGTTGTTAGTGATCCAGGCCAAGGAGAGGTCAGCGGGCTATTGGGAGTTGCTGGTGAGGTGAGGTTTTACGTGGTGAGGTCGTAGTCGTGCTTGCCGTCTGGCATCACGACGAGGGGGTCCTCGAGGTCCGTTTCGCCTGCCTCGTGCTTGAGGACCCAGATGTCGTGGAGGGTACGGCGGCTTATGCTGCCTGTCAAATGGGCGTGGAGCTGTGGTTTTGTCAGACGAGATGTTCGTAAGGTAGTCAGGGGCTCATAGCTCAAAAGGCTCCTTGAGTCATACCTCGATTTTAGGAAGAGCTACAAAATCCATGTCTATTGTTGGTTGGGAACCCATCTTGTCTGAACGTTCACGTCTTTCTTCCTTCAGAAAATCGGGCCTGATAAGACTATTGCGAGTTGGGCGTTGGTGAGAATTCCCACCTTCTTATGAGTTGTCAAGTGTAGAGTTGTCGATACCTCCTCACCCCTCTTGTTCCTGCAGTCTGTGCGGGCGAGCGAATTGGATCCAAACTAGAAGTAGAAAAGAGGTGGTTGGGAAGGTGATCGCGGTGAAATTCCTGAGCAACGTTACCGTTAGAAGGCAATTAGAGTGGTTTGTAGAAAGGATGTGGGTGTGTGTGACGAGACTACAATGCTGTGTATAGGAAAAGGACGAGGTGTTTTGCGGTGCAGTATGCAATCCAGGTTTCCCGACACAGGTTCCGAGTCGGAGCGGGCCGACGGTGCCGATCCCGGAGTTTGGTCCCCATATTTTCTGCGCTCCGTGGAGTGAGACATTCCCGGCGATCACCGGAAGACTTGCTTTGTTTGAGTCGGGTTACCTTGTGGATTATTATTTGCCATTTTTATCGATATCTCGATTTCTTTTTCGTGATTCTGTCTTATTTCTGTCTACCTCTTTGACTATTTCTCTGCCTCTGTTTTGTACACTTTACCTAACCTTCAGTACAATACCTAGAGTATTACCACATTTACAAGTCATTAACACCGCATTACAAATATGCCCTTGAAGTGGATGAAGCACACTGACTCATTCACAGTCCAATATCCCTCTCTTGGCTGGAGATCTATCCAAGGTGACATGGCATAATTAGAATCAAGCAGTCAGTGAATGCGAAGCTCGAGGAGACGAACTTGATTTGTCGTGAATCACATTCACCACACATACCACTTCCCTTGCAGTAGATATGTCTACTCGGTATTCGTTTATCGCCAATTTTAGTTAGGTAGGCCTCTTGTTCATTTTAATGTTTTGTTAGTACCGGTTCACTGTGAGATCAGACTCTTCGGCTTCTCTTTGCTACTTGGCTCTATCGGAAGTTTGAGTACACCTATCTCTCTGTTCTCAACACATTAACGGATTCTCAGGTAAAATCTGAAAGCAGGGTTAACCTCTAGTCAACCTTTGCGGTATTTCATATTGACGCAAGACCTTGATTCTATATGTTCCGTGGTATGATAATTTCTAGAATCCAGTTCTTATGCAAAATAGATCTGTCATATCCTATACTCGAGTCGTAATCGCTCTCTTACCCACAGCTACAACATTCGCATATGCACACGATCCCAATGCCTGCTCTCTCTCTCCCTGCCCTGAATTATCCCTACTTCCCTCACTCCTGCTTACGCCCAATCCTCGGCAAACATAGCCAAAACACGAGCATAATCCCCAAAAATGCGAGGATAATCGGCTGCAAAACCTGCACGCCCTTAGCCTGCGCCAGCGCGCCGACAGCAAACGGCAATATCGCCGCCCCGCTGCCGCCAAACGCCGCCGCGAAACCAATGGTACTAACATGCAAATGCCTCGGCAGCAACTTCGTCGCCGCAACAACAACAGCAGGGAAAAACGGACCCAAAAAGAACCCCTGCAGGGCAACCGCCACCGCAGACACGTAGAAATGCGGCACGAGCCAAAACACCAGTTCCAGCGCCATGGCGATGGGAATATAAATCGACACGGCGAGCTTGATGCCCAGCTTGGGCGTGACGAAGCCGAGGACCGCGCGGCCGAGGGTGATGCCGAGCCAGAAGCCGACCGACGTCATGCCCGAATCAAAGTTGTTGGCCTTGCGGACCTGGATCATGAACTGCACGATCCAGCCGCCAAGGGAGACCTCTGTGCCGACGTAGGCGAGGAGGAAGAGGGCGCAGAGCCAGGAGACGCGGGCGTAGGGGCGTTTGAAGAGGGCGGTGCGAAGGCCGCCTCCGGGGGCATCGCTGCGGGAGCGGTTTACCAGCTCGCGATATACTGCGCCGGTTTGCGGCCAGAAGGCTGCTGTGCACCATACGAGCTCGATGCAGGCCAGGCCGAGCTGAAAAGGTGGCGTAGAGTCAGATCGTGTTATACACACACACACACACACTCTCTCTCTCTCTCTCATAGCCTCGGGGAAGGGATAGAAGGAGGGCATGATGCTCACCATGAAGTAGTAAAAGTTCCACCAACCCAAGTTGGCCTTGTTAATCATGGTCGTGGCAATCAACGGGGCAATCACGCCGCCGACGCCATACGACGCGTGCAAGAACCCGAGGACCTCGTTCGCCCTGGCCATGTTGCCGATGTACGCGTTCCACCCGGCATCGCTGAGGCCGTTACCGAAACCGGCGATGACGAAGGCGGCAACCAGCGCCGGGTAGGGCGGGTGCTGGGATATGATGATGTAGGCGACGATGTGGCACGCGGAGGCGATGACGGCGATGCCGCGCTGGCCGAGCTTCAGGTGGACGTAGTTGTTGAGGACGGCCGAGAGGACGTAGCCGATGAAGGGGGAGAGGAATACGAGGGATACGACGACGTAGGTAAGGTCGTAGTAGATTTCGAGCTGTTCAAGGGGGTCAGTGAGCGCCGAGGAGCTTGGAACGGGGGGAGCGTACGTAGGGGATCAAAGCCTGTCCTGACGTCAGTTCGCTATACAATTTGGAGTTTCTGATAAGGGCATGAGAGAAACTTACACCGTAGGCGGCATCATTCGCCCCAGAGACGAGGAGACTCCAGAAACAAGACAAGACTCTGAAGAGATTCGACCTTGGATGGTTCCATTTCTGCACAACTGCGGCTGTTGTCGTTGGAGCAGGAAGACCTCCTGTCACATCTTCATTCGATCCCAATAGATGGCCTTCGGTATTTAGAAGGTTGCCTTCTTTCGAGGTCGACTCCTGGACCGGAGTGCCTTGTCGGACCGTCACCGTTGTCGACTGTGCAGTCATGTCGTATCTCACAGTATCCGCTCGATATCTTGCGCCAGGTCCTTAAATAGCTCGCCGGGTTGAATTTGATCAATACTGTCGATTGGGATTGTTCAAGAGTCGTGTTTTTCGAACTTGGTAATTTTTGTGCTCCAACCGTACTCTAGGTAAATAGAATGTTAGACGGGCTTGGGGTTTTATGGGAAGCAGCTCCAAAGAGTCCAGGATTTTTCAAAGGCAAGCATGACGAATGGAGTAGCCTAGTCCTAGACGGAATATGTAATACGGCAATCCTTGCAAGGGCGATGTGGAACGATCTTGAGCAGCTCTCTTCAGACATACGCATATCTACTACATTGCGTCACTAGACGTTTGTATTCGTACTAAGGCGGGCTCGGCAGCTACTGAGTATCTACTGGGACTGGAATAGCACGTCCTCTCGGAGAACATTTCGCGGCCAGAGTCAACTATCTTACCTACTCGGGGCTGATGTGACTCTGAGTATGCCCCAGATAAGACACCAACTCTTGTCTCGCCACGCCGGGTGAACAATCACCAGCCCAGACACTGGGCAACGGCGGGAGGCCCGAAGACCCGGGGCGCGCGATGGACCGTTGATCAACCCAGATAGAGAGCTGGCTGGCTGGGAGTTATTCGGTGAATCTCGAGTTTGAAGGGTCGTGGTCCCGAGGAGACGGGAGTGGGTCTGGTCCTTGGTATAAGTGGAGCCTTGAATTTGAAGTGCTTCCTGATTCGGAAGGATTGTCAACTCCCGCTAATGCTAAGCGGCGACACTCCGCGACGCCTTATTTAGACTGCGTTGGAGGAACAGGTGTGTAAGAGGTGACGAGGAAGTCTGAATATGAATTCCGTGATGTATCTAGCTTGGCCAATCCGTTGTGACGAGCTGACTCGGCCTCGTTCATGGTGGCCATTTTCTGTGTTGCTTTTCTATTTACCTATTACTTTTGGGCGTTTACGGGAGAGGAGACCGACTCTCATACATTCTTTTCGTTATTGTGAGCGAAGTTCTGTCGACTATGTTTCTAAGGGATGGAAAACCTTCCTTACTGCTTACAAATATAACCATGCCCGACCTTGTCTATCGAATTCTCTTCCCTTTCGAAGCGGGCGTATAGCACTAGCAAAGTAGAACCGAGAAAGTAAATGTGTGATAAAGAATTTCGGATCCAGTGCAAGAGGCATACTGCAAGGCGGTAAGCTGGACCCAAAATCAGAACCTTCCAGGAACAAAAAAAAAAACCCCCCTTGACGGGGGCTGAGGCCCTTTGTGTGTTATTGCAATTGATCAGTCGCAACTACCATGCCAGGCGGTCTCCTCATCCGATGGTGATAGAATAAACAAACAATCGAATCATAGACCAGAACCAGGAAGTAAATGGTCCACGGTCAGATAAAAAGGTCGATACGCGGCAAGGACGAAGACGTCACGGGCTTCTCCCCGAAACCCGTCTCGATCCCACATGTCAACCGATCTTTTCGGTCTGATCTCACAGTCACTCAGAGCTTGCAATAATATCGACCGGGACAACAACAGGACAATGCACAAACTTGCCAGGAGACACCGCTTCCCGGCCTCTCGTGTGGGCTTAGCCAAATTTATCGTCCCTTGACCAGCGAGGTTCCCTTCAAAACGTTGAGACTATCTGTCCGGAAGCATAGTGTTGTATTAAGCCTCGGCATCCTCACCCCTCAAAAGACCGTAGATACCTTCAGGGTAGCCCGAACAAGCTCGGCCATGCAGGTGAGAGAATGGAGTCACAAACCATCCTCCCGGCTCCGACATCACCCGCAGCCATGCATTCCCAGCACTTCGGAAACTTTTGTGCAGCTTCGGCTCGTCCCGCTGCTTAATCCAACACGCTTTGCCTTGTCTGAGGAGCTGTCTATATACCAGTATCTGTACGGATGGATACCTTACCTACAACCAAATCACATGCAACAAGCTGACCCCGCGTCCATGGTGTTGTATGCGTGTCTAATCGTAACATTTCCTCATTATTCAACTCTCACGCGTTCGAGCGTAGCATGGTCCCGAGGGGCCCTCAGTAGGTTTTTTTTTTAAAAAAACATTGTACAGGTGTTATTGGCAGAAAAATCGGACAAACTCCTACAGGGGTAGTCGTGTGTGCGTTTGGTTTTCCCCCTTTCTGAGGGGATTTGATCGTGTGTCCAGTTCTACCCAGTCTATCGTTTCCCCGCCCAGCCATTAAAGCCGATCGATTCTATCGTTTCGCTCAAGACACCATAATAACAACAAAATAGGTGAACGGAAAGAAAAGGTTACGGGACACAAAAGGAAAATGACAAAGAAGTTAAAAGTGATCCCAGCGCCAGAGGCAAGGAAAATGATTCATGAACGCCTAGAATAAACCATCCAGGCTTATTCTCTTGAGATGTCGCGACCGAAGACCTTGGACTTGAGCCAGTCGTTGACGACGAGGAGACGGTTGCGAGCTAAGGTCAATGGTATTAGTATGTGATTATACTAGGTGTAAGGTGTAAGTGATGGAAAACTTACTGCTGAAGCACATGGAAAGGTAAGCACTGCGCCAGAAGAAGTACGTCATGGTACCACCACTGGCAATGTTTCCGTTCCACCAGGCAACGTCAGCGACAGCCTTCTCGCTGCCAATGTAGGCCAAGCTGCCCTGGTGAGAGTAGTGGAAGGGCTTGATGTCCTTGATGCGGCGGAGCTGGCGCTCGTGGGCCTCAATCTCCTTGGCGACCTCGGCAGCGTTGCCGGGCTTCAAGTTGAGGTTGGCGCTAAGCTCCTGGACGCGCTCCTCGAGGGTCTCGGTTCTGGCCATGTTGTTGAAGAGTCTAGCAAGGAAGTTACCCTCCTGCGCAGCGACCTGAGCAGTCGGGGCGTATCCGGCCACGGCGCAGTCGCCAATGGCCCAGATGTCACGGGTGCCCTGAACAACGAGGTACTCGTTGACGGCCAGACCGCGGCGGGAGTCCTTTTGGGCAGGGATCTTGGTGATGAGGTCGCGGATGATGGGGCGGACAGCGTTACCGGTAGCCCAGACGAGAAGACCGTAGGGGATGGTAAGGGTCTGTTTCTTTCCGTCGGGACCGGTACCCTCAGCCTGAACGTAGGTATCGGTGACCTTCTTGACCATGGTCTTGGTCAAGATGTCAATCTTCTCCTCCTCGAATGTCTTCTCGGTATACTCAATCAGCTGCTTGGAGAAAGAGGGAAGAACGTTGGGGAGAGCCTCGATCAGGGTGACCTTGAAGCGGTCGGCAATCTCAGGGACTAGACGCTTGATGTCCTGCTCGAAGAAGTCCTGAAGCTCACCGGCGAACTCGACACCAGTCGGGCCACCACCAACGACAACCATGTGCATAAGACGGCTGACATCCTCGGCAGACTGATCCTTGAAGGCGGCGGTCTCGACGCAGTCCATGATCTTCTTGCGGATAGCCTGGGCGTCGTTGATCTCCTTCAGGAAGCAGGAGTTTTCGCGCACACCCGGGATGCCGAAGGTGGCGTTCTCAGCTCCGACACCGACAACCAGCAGGTCGTAGGCGACCTCAGTCTCGGATGTGGTACCCTTAATCTCCGACGTATCCAGGATCTTGACAACCTTCCTCTCGGGGTCGACGGAGCTGGCCTCGGCTTCGTAGAACTTGACGGCGGCCTTCTTGTGACGGAGGATGGTTCGGATGGGCTCCATGATGGAGCGGTGCTCAATGGTGCCGGTGGTGCAGGAAGGCAGAAGAGGGGTGAAGAGGAAGTAGTTTCTAGGCGAGATGACGACGACATTGTAGTTTTCCGTGTCGAGCTTCTTCAAGAGAGAGACGGATCCCCAGCCAGTGCCTGTTGCAACTTGTCAGTATGCGATATGTGCGATGCGTACGGCGCGCCGTCGAGAGTAGGAAACTTACCGAGAATGACCAGCGTCTTCTTGGTGGGGTCCAGCTCAACCTGATCCTCGGGGTGCCTGTCATCGTAGACAACATATCCAATGTAGCCGAAGAGACCCAGGGCAGAAAGGTAGGTCAAGCGCCAGGCCCATCTGAAGGTCTTGCGGACCTTGCCAGCTTTCTTGGGAGCGACATCGGCGTAGGTTCTGGTAAGCTGGCGCGCAACGGTTCCGACCTGGGGAAGAGCGGCGACTCTCGGCCTCGCGGTGAGGGTTCTGAGGGACTGTCTGGAAGTGGTGGTGAGGGTTCTGCGACCGGCATTGGCAGCGCGCGGAGCTTTCGGGACCAGCTGCTGAGCTGCGCGAAGGGAGCTCATGGCTCTGACGGACGAAGCCATTGCTTCAATTGGTGATGGAGAGGAAGGTCCCCGGTGACCAAATATGGTTCTTGATGGCGAGGCGAGGGGATGCGACACTTGGTTGAGGGAAGGGAAAAGGAAAAAAAAAAAAAACACGAAGGATTTCGGAGGAGGGAGGAAATTTGGAGACGATAAGGAAGTTGGTGGACTAGAATTGGGGGTGGGAATCGATGCTGGAGGTGTGTGACGCAGCAAACGAAGAGAGAGATTTGCAGGCTGGTGACTGGACCCTCCCAACCTGGCGGTATTTTTTGGCAGCTTGCAGAAAATTTCAGGTGCTACGGGGGTGACAACGTGAGGTCAGAGATAGCGCGCTCCGCCCGCGGCGCCGCCAGCGAGCAAGACGGAAGCTTGGACGGGAAAGAGGACGTGTGATTGGGTGGGCTGTTTGCGGCAATCCAGTGACCGGTCGCGAGAGCCATGTTGCTGCCGACCTCTACCTAAGGTACCTACGTAGTAAGGTAAGGTAAGATGTCTTGGCCGCCTCGGGACTGCCTTAGGTGCCTTAGTAGCTGCTTACCTGGCGCATTCAGACTTCCCTTGCACTTGATTACTAGGGATATTAGGCGTGCTGGGCATACAGGGGATTCACTGAGGGTCCTTCTCTAGGTACTCCGTACTCCGTATCATCGTCCGCGCAGCCGCAGTCTGCTCTCAATGGAGCGCTTGTTTTTGCCCTATCAGTGTTTGGTCAGCCTCCAACTTGGGGGTGTATATGGCCCATTTCGAGGTGGGCTTGAGTGGGACTCGGGGTGTCTCTTGCCCTTTTCCCCTCGTTGCTTGTGTATCTTTATTTTTTGTTTGCTCATCTTGGCTGGTCTCTCTGTTTTTTTTTCCTCTTTGCGCGGCGCCTTGTCCGCCGGCGGCCTTGATCCAAAGAAGAAGCCCCGGCCACGCCCCGGCCGAATCCCGGCGTTTTGTCATTGAATTCTCCTTCCGCACCAGGGCACTTTCGATCCGTCGCACCTTTACCATCTGCGCCTGGCTGATGTCGCGATAGTAACCCGGACCAGGATGACTCAGGGCAAGTCTCCATCGCGCGCTCTTTTTTTCGTGGCTTTTTTACCCGCTGTTGGGCATCGCGCCCAATCATGACTTAATCTTACACACATCCCTCACTAATATCTCGCAACTTCAACTGGGCTTGACCCCCCCCCCCCCCCCCCCCCACTCCACTTCCCCGTCCACCCTTACCAGCCACCTCCGCTGCGCCATATCGATCGTCTATCCCTCCAAATTGTTTTCATGAGGCTCGTGAAGCCTGTCTAGCACATGCCAATGTAAATTGCATCAACTCTCCTTTCCCCCGAGAAGCACAAGACTTGTTAGCCATCATGCTCCGGAAACTTCCCTCTATCTCTCGGAATACCTAGGACCTGGAGCCAAGGTTGTCATACGCCCATGTCATCCCCCGAAAAATGACCATTAGTACCCGCAAGCTCCAAATGCCGTTTCTCCGAAGGCCCCCGAGCTAGAGCACGCCTTATCTCGGACTTGAGGAGTTCATGGGTCTGGTTTTTAGCGTTGCTATGTGTGGCATGGAGTCGTTCTGCCCGAAATTGTTCCCCATACCCGACCACTTCCCGAGCCCCGAATCTGCACTCCATCCGGCCGAACGTCCCGGCCAGTTCCTCTCCCTCTACCCCAGTCCGGCCCCTCGTCTCGAGGCCACGGCCACCGTCGCCCGGAACCATCAAGGTGCCCGTGCGGCCCGGCGTCTCCACAACTATCCTTCTCTCCGAGGCCATCGCCGAAACCGTCGGACTTAGGAATCCTGGATGACTTGCAGGAAGGCACGCGACGAGGATCGTTTCTTTCCTTAAATGCATCGGGCCCCGAACACTCTCGGTGCGGCCGTTCGCCCTCCGACATTTTCCTCCCTTCTTTTCTCTACATCCCGTGAAGGTCGCCGGGAATTTCCGTCATTGGTTCTCTCTTCGCAATCATGGAAGCATGTGGTGGCTACTCCGTACTAATAAGTTGATGCCGTTGTCGCTTCGGCCAATCACGGCCCTGCAGTCACCATCGCCTCGGCTCCTGTCACCACTCACTTCACTTCATCCTGTCGCTCATCTGCTCTTCTGACATCCAACCTGGCACCTCCAGGCCGTACATGGCCTACAACGCACTCGTGCGTCTTTCAAGCACGTTGTGATACTCGAGCAATGTGCACTCGCAGCTAGCGTTAACCCCCGTCCCCGCAGTTATCATCCAGAGATGGGATTACAGTCTCAGCACATGCTCGAAATGATGACCGAGGAGGAGGGTCCCCAAGCGGCTCATCGGCAACATGTGCATATTAGGAAAAGTTTCCTTCTTGCTACCCTTGAGCCAAGCCCTCTTCTGTACGAACCGCAGCCTTGGGGGGAGGAAGGGGAGGGAATTAGGATCGAGCGGGTAGAAGCTAGTGTGTCGGCACTTTGGATTGCGCGCGCTGGAAACGAAACGGGGTCGGTCTTGCAAAACCCCCCATTTTCGGCCAGCAGCACATTTCACTCTCGATGCCCGGGCCCGAGAGAAGCTGAAACGCCGCAAACCCAACCCGCCAACAGCAGGTGAAGGGAGAAAAAAGAGGAGGCGCCGATGGGATGGGATGGGACGGGTGGTCAACTGGTGGTGGTGGTGGTGGATACTGAAGCGGACGGCCAACGTGAAACAGGGTTCGTGTCTGACTTACAAGCTCACACAGGAGAATGTGGGCCAAGACCTTCCCAGAGACTGGGAGAAATCAGAGGCATCTCTTTCTCAAACCCGACGCAGACGGGAGCACCACCACCATTGCACTAGCAACCGCCTGGGTTGACAACAACCGTGGTCGGATTATGACACGGGCGGCAAGGCTGGATGCAGTGGTGCAGTATCATGCGATTTCCCCCCTCACCGCGTAGTCGCTTGCGTGCCGTTTAGCCTCGCGAGCTTACGCAAACCCGGGCTCCATCGTTCAAGTTTCCCAATCACGATGTTGTCCGTCGGACAGCGGTCATGACGCGAAGCCTCCCTCGCCCTTCAGGCTTCAGCTGTCCCGTCTGACAGGCGCTTAAGTGCATGACATGGACCCAGTAGCGACGGCGAGCTGAACTCCGCTGCGTTATGCCGGCAGATGGGAAAAGAGGGCGCCCATTGTCCACATCGAGGATGGACCACAAGAACCCGCACCGTCGAGGTCTCGACTGAGTACCTCTCGACCATCGAGAGCCCACTTCGTTCCGTCGATGGTGAGCGAAGCTAGCTCGTCAGATTGAATGCTGATGGGGCCCCGTCATCCATTCTCCCAAACGGACGGGGTCGAAACGACCGGCAGGTTGAGTTACAGTACGACAGTACGTAGAAGGTCCAGAACCGTCGCGTCGCCTCGCCTCGCAACAGACTTCCCACCCTTTTCGCCAATCTTGCAGGTGAGGTGATAAGAACAAAAAAGCCAAGTCAAGAGCCTCGGGTGCACCCATCCATGCACGTACATCGTAAGGCGGGCAGCACACCCGCAGTTTCTTGGTAGAAGATCGTGAAGCTTGGCAGGCGAGACATCATGGCAGCCAAGCCGCGGAGGATTTGTCAAGCAAACATTTGATCCCGGCAACTCATGGGCATGTCTCTTTCTTATTGCCCAGGAACCAAATGTGTTCTGATTCCTCTACTGGTTTCTCTGGGCAAAGGTCCGAGTACATTAATTGCAATTTATTGGGAGGGAAGTCTTGGTACAAGAAGGTTTCCCGCAGCTTTTGACTTGTGAAGCAAAGCACGGTTGTTGTACGCCATGTATAATACAATATCAATCTGCCAAGCCTCCGCCTTGGGCTTCTCTCGTATGCAGGCACAGGCGCAGGCTTCTGGTGTAAGAGCGCCTAGAGGAATCACACAGGCGTGCGAAAGATGAGTTTCAGGCACCTCAGAAAATCGTACTATCTACCTCTTGTAGTAAGTCACGAGAATCTCTCTCTGGAGGCTAGAGTCTACAGACGAGGGGGAGCCCTCTTTTCTTGCACGCCGAGAAGCTCGCGTTGAGCGGAACTTTCATCTTCCAAAACACCAGCGGCTATGACGGCCAAGCAAACCCGTACGATCAAGCTTCTCGTTACCATCCCCTCCGACAAGGGGAAAGAGTTCGTCAAGATCCAATCAGCAGGCTTAGCAGAGCAGAAGGCAGTACTCCGTACGGAGGAGGATGAATTTTGGCTCAGATCGTCGCCCCCCGGTAGCCAGGTTTCCAGATGCCAAGATGGCCAAGATGGGAGCTTAATTACGCTGTTGGGTTATTCTGTGACAAGTCTTGCGAAGGTTGCTGCAGAATTGTGAGTGGTGCAAGGCAAAGGTAACGAAGTAACGAGAGAGAGAGGCACAGAGAAAGGTTGAGATGAAAAAACTTCGAGGCAAGCAGCAACACAGGGCGACGAGGGGTCCTGGAGAGGGTGGGAACCGGCTCGTCACGGCAAAAAAGGGCGCAGCAACGATGGGTGGTAAGGTGTGAGGACGGAAGAGGTGTGTGTGTGTGTGTGACGAGGGGGAGGGAAGTTCAGGTTTCGAGGGTTCGACCGTGCGGCCGTGAGATGAGGCTATAGCATGGCTCCGGAACCAATAGCAAAGTGCCCGGCTTAAGAATATTGAATTGGGGCAGAAAAAGAGCGGCGAGTCACTAACAGAGTTGCACGCTAGTAACTCTTGTTCAGGGGCAGCGCGAACATACGAGGCGAGTGGTAACCTTACACAGCAGTCTATTGACTCGCAGAGAGAGAGAGAGATAGCCTCACGAGAGGAAGGATTGTAGAAAGTAACTGATTGAAGTGGGGGGAATTATTATCAATATGAGAGTTTTGGTGAGGCTCTTGGATTATTGGAAAACAGTTGGCTTGTTCGATAGCTTTCCGTTCACTCCCCCCTTACAGATTTCATTGGCAAAGAAGCCCAAACTAATTCGCTGGGCGTTTTGCCCAGAGAAATGCGTTTCCGTTAGCCAGATCTGGCAGGTGAGGGAACGACAGGGGGGGGGGGGGGGGGGGCTAAGCCAATATCAGTAGTGCGATATCCGTATTGTGGCAGCCCTTTCTTCCATGCAAGCTGAGGAAAGCATGAACCACCGGCAACGAAGCAGGTAGAGAGCCTCATCGATGATCCTGGGCGAGAGCTTGTGCGAGGTGAACGCCACTTCCGGATGGGGCATCGCGCGGTTCAACGGTCAAGTCCCAGAGTTCACTTTCTTTCTTTCTTCCACAGGGTTCTTTGGTCAGTAGACTTCCGTCACTTTTCTGAAGGGAAGGGTGCCATAGACAGAGGGGTTCGAGGGGAATAACGTAAAGTCTTTTTTCAAACAAGACTTTCGACGATGATGCAAGCTGTCGAACCCTGCTTTTCGGCAAGGCGGCAAATTCGGAAAGGACGGCCATTCCAGTTGGAGCTCCTGAACTCCTTTTTGCGCCAGGAACGGGGTTTTGTTGATGATGATGGAACGACAACAGCAAGGTGGTGTTTGTCCTGTCCGCCTATACTGCTTCTCTGCATCGCCGGCCGCCCGGCCTCACCCTTAACCCCCCCGGAGCCACTGTTGTCAGCTCGAGTGTATGTGGGCTTTCCTGGGACGTTGGTGTGTGGAATGTGGATACAATTCGCATCGTCGTACTTCTAGATTCGGAGGGACGACAAAACAGCAGCGTATAGCCAGCCAGCTAGCGCAGTGCGAGGAATCCGGGCTTCAAGAATCAAAGCCGTCGCCCGTTGGGCTTGGTTCGGATTTCCCGCTCTAGAGGCTTTCATTCGTCGGCCGGGCGCGTGGGCTAAGCAAGTTCTGGCATCCATCATGATGAATTTGATCCATCCGCCTCAGCGCCGTTGGCTGTTACACATCAGTGCGCCGGGCACTCTCCCGCGAGCCAGTCCAGCCACCATCTTGATTGAGTGACCCAGTGAGAGAGAGAGGCTAGGCCTGAAATGTCGAGCCTGTCTTGGCCAGGCTTGGATCAAAAACGGGGAAGAAGGGAAGAAAGCAGAGAAGGGGGGGGGGCTCGGGAGAAAGACTCCCTGAAGGCTTTCCCGGTCCGCACCGGGCCCTCCCTTGTCCTGAAACCCGCTCTTCCCCACGCTGAGACGCATGGTCCCCTGCAAGTGTCGTCGCAGATTCGCAGAACTCGCAGACCTTCAGCAGCGCTGTGTAACTGTACGGGTACTTCGTACCCCCAAAGGCCCCCCAAAAGGTCCCAATAGACCCCTCAAATGCCGGGTCCCGACCGGACGATACGTCTCGCGCTAACAGATCCCCCGCAGATGTCTCGCCGCGGCCTGGTAACGACATAACATTCCAGCACCGTGACCACCCGTCCCAATTCGGCTCTTCGAAACTGCAGCTTCGACAGCGGACTGGTCGACCTTTCTGCAGCTGTCTCACGTCTACAACACCTCACACACGCAGCAAGAGGAAGCTGCACCTCTGTCCTCAACATCCATACGAAGCAGTACCACTGTAGTGTGCCAACTTGGAAGCCGTACCTTACACTAGACCCCCCCTCGCCTCGTACCCTCCCCGGCTACGATCTTCACCACGGTCATGCTGCAGAGTGCAGACATTACTGTAGGGGTGTGTCATCCCTGTTCTTCTCTCCCCTTGATGCCCACACCTTGGACCAACTTCTCTCGACTCTCGTTCGCCGACGGCCAGTTTACCCTCCCATTCCCCCCACCGTTGTTGAGGATGAAGCAGATACGGCGAGACGTACCGATGAAGCTGGTGCCCCCATCTCAAGTCTCGTCTCTTGACTCTCCTACTGTCCCCTGGAGCGTCCGTGTTCTCCTTCAGGCTTCAACCCCCCGACCCAGCTTCCCCTACCGCCAGAGCATCAATGGCCTGCTCCGGCAATGATTGACACCCTAACAAGCTTCGGCGCATCTCGCCTGCTCTCTCTGCCCACTGGATCGACTCGATGGGCGAACAACCATTCCAGACAACTTCCACCATCCATGGCCTTGCGTGCCTGTGCCGGCCAGGGTCCCTGTTGTCTACACTACGGATACTCGTACGGATACTGCCTCTGAGTCTTGAGTCTGAGTCTGAGTCTGGTGTACAATATGGAGTACGAAGTACGGACCACTGACCAGACGCCAGGGCAATGGATACGGGAACAAGAGACTAAACCATACGCTGGGAGTAGGGGAGGGGTGGACCTTCCTCGACCTCGTTCGCCTTCGCCGGTTGCCGCACCTGTCTTTGGAGAGACTCTCGACGCGAATTTTCTGCTCTGTACGGGTACTTGTCCAAGTGGTCTGTACTCGGGAGTCGGCGGTGACTGGTTCTGTTGCTGATGCCTCTGATGCTGCTGATGCCTCTGATGCTGCTGATGCGACGCAATCGTGTTCGGCCCTGCACGTCAGTCCAAGCAGAACGCCTGTGCTTCACGTTCGGATATCAGAGAAAGGGACGAAGAAAACACTGGCATCAGCAGTGGCAGTGACATTGGCAACATACCTTACGCAGCAAAAACATACGCAATAGTACCTGCGGCCATGACCAATTCTGTCGGCCTGACGTTCTACTAGCCCAACAAAGAGTCTGAAGTCGTTCCCTCTCTGGTACTGGCATGACAAAAAAGTCAAACCCGCGCGACTGGCCGCTGACATGCTCGACGACAGCTCGATCCACGGACCACCCACTAGTGCGCCGCACCCATCGGCTTTCGCGTGCCAGTTCCTGCGCCAGTCCTAGTCAGTGCTGGTGCCCGCATGGGGTGTCTGGATCTATCCCTGAAGCATCTCGGGGGGGCATCTGTCATGCAGCATGGGTCTCCCCGCGAATGATGGATAGATGATCGACCCAATCTGATACATACTGTCGCCTCTCGCTCGGCTGCTTCTCTTCTTCCCTCCCTTCTCCCTCTTCTCCCTCTGGTGCTTGACATCTCCGCCTGTTGTTTGGTGTTCACCACTTTTTTCCATTCTTCCATACCAAGGCCGGCCTTATTTTTCATTTCAATTCTTTCTCTAGACCCCTTTGCTGGCACTGACGTCTATTCTTCTTGTTTGCATACTTCTGCTTTCTCATCCGCTCTTCGTTATCGAAAACGATTTCTCACAGCCCGATTCAACCGATTGCAACTCGCCTAAAATATCAACAACAAAGGGCCATGGTCGGAAGTGATTGACGAGAAGGAAATCTTGGCGACTATCATCGGTCCGGAAAGGATAGGACAGGATAGGATGACAGGAGAAAAGGGAATGGCTCCTCACGCAGTGCCACGGGCCCAGAAGCCCTCCAAGAGACGAGCTCCTCCCGCCAACATCGCCGTACCGCCTTTGCTTTGGGACCGCGACGCCGAGTCTGACGATGAGTACGCCAACCAAGTGAGAAACGCCGCTGGAGGCGTGTGGAAACGGGCCATCGATGCTGGACGCAGCTTTGCGGATTCGGCAGTAGACCGTCGCTCAGACAGCGACAGCGACGACAAGGCGAGGAAAAACCAACTCAAGAACCCTCCTCCCCAACAACAACAGCAACCCCCTTCGAGCCCAGACACACCAAAAGCTGTGAAGCCTTCCAACAATGTGGCGTCAGGAAAGCTGCCTTTGGCAACGCTCCGTGCGCCCGCACCGATCCGCCCTCCTCCGGCGGTCGTTGCCGCACCGGCTGTGCAACCGACCCCCGTGAGAACGCCACCCGCCGCCACATCGAAACCCCCGGCTGTACAGGTTCCCGTCTATATCGAGCAACCCCAAGAGACTTACGCACAACCTCAAGAGACTTTCATCGCCCACCCCGAGATTCCCGTTGAGGCACCAGAGCGTCCTCCCAGCCCGCCGCCGCCACCACCCGAAGAGCCCGCACCACCCCCAGTTCTCGCTCCGGCTGAGCCTGACCCACCACCACCACCACCGCCTGAACCCGAACCGGCGCCGCCAGCCACCATGACTGTCACGGCTCCTCCTCGAACTGTTACCCTCATCTCGACCATGAAGCCCCCGGAGTCGGTAAGTTGATATGATCAAAGAAGCATGTTTGAATGTAACTGATTTGGAACAGCCCAAGAAGCCCAAGTTCTCTCCGTCACCACCGCCTCCCCCAGTAATTACTCCCACTCCTACAGCACCGCCTGCAGTCATCGTGCCCAGTGGGCCTCTTGCCCTGCCGCCTTTGCCATCAGTTGATCCATCAGCCCCGAGGAAAGGTATCGATGGAGAGAAGCACTCAACACCTACCATCACAGCCACTCTTGCCTCGGCAGTTCTTCCAGCAGAGACCATTTCAGCATTGCCAGGCTTGGCCAGTGGTGGATCCAGCAAGGACGATGGCAGACCGCCAAGGATGAACCCAGAGACAGAGCATGCTCTCATTGCTGTTGGCTCAATAGGTATGCACCAGAAGAATGGATCAAGATCTAGATAAAAAAAACTGACACTATAAACAGGATCATTCATCTTCGCATCGTTCCTTGTGTGGATTGTGTGGAGGACGATGAAGAGGGCAGGACGGATGAGAAGAGAACGGGAGTCTGGATACCAAGGCGACAGACCTGGCGGCATCGGCTCTAAGATTCCATTCTTCAAGGGATCTGGCGGATGGGAGAACCTCGATGGACGACGAAGCGAACCCCCTCAGTACGAGAAGGGACCGCGGGGAACACTACGCCTAGACACGGGATTCTATGGCCCCGACGGCAAACCCGCCAGCTACGGTCCTGGCGGCACATATCCCGCCAACTACACAATGTCGCCAGCTGATAACCGCGGCAGCCCTATCCACCAAAGTCCCACAGGCACAATCCCGATGAGGATGAATAATGTCAGTGGGCAAGGCACATACAACAGTCAACAAAACCCATTCAGCAATCAACAGAGCGCCTATACCAGCCAGGTCGGGACGTATGACAGCCAAACCGGGACCTACATCAGCCACGCGCCTAGCGGATCCCTTACTCACATTATTGGACAGTACGGCAGCCCAACAGACCCTAATCTGACATTACGGTCAGGCGTGGGTGCCGGTGCGTACTTCAACCAGTCTGAGCTCGCCCGCCAACCCTCCGATGCCTATAACCCGGCTCAACGGCAAGTTAACCGGGCCAGCGAGCTTTCGTCCATTTCTTCTGGCTTCGGCGATGGTGACATCATCGTACCCGGGATGCCTGGCATGGTGCTCCAGCCGCCTCCCCCAGTGTCACAGTCACTGAGAGCCAGTCAGAACGGCGTCGGTCGCTTCTCCTGGATGAGCAAGACGAACCGCGAAACAGTGTACACAGAGGCTAGCGAGGACCTTCCACCTAGATTTAGGACGGTCGACAGCTGGGTCAACCAACAGACCGGTCGCGTCAAGAGAGCACAAGCAAGGCCGGAGACGGATGAAGACATCCCGCCCGTGCCGGGTCTACCGGCCGGAACAGGCCAAAATGGCATGCCACCTGAGCCCCAGTTTACTATGATGATGCCGGACGGGGAGGTACCCCGTCGGCCGGATATGGGGCCGAACGCGCAGTAGCTCGCCCAGCAGACGTGACCCGGACACATACACACAAGGCACTTTTCTTTGTTTTCATACCCAAGCATGACGCGGATTAACAGGAGTCAACAAGGTGGAAGGAGGGGGCGAGGAAAGATAGTGGGAGGCTGGGAGCGGGTTGTAATATCAAAGGTCATATCTCATACACAAACTTGACACAAAGAAAGAGAGAGAAAGAGACGGGAGCCGAGAGGCGATCGCTTGTACAAACAATACTTTCGCACACACAAACAATATGTATCCATACAACTTCTGCAAATGCTTCTTCTTCAAGCCTGGCGCTTGGGTGGCTCTGCGGAGTTAGACATCATCACACAGCGCGTGTCCTTTCTTTTCCCTTTCCCTCCCGATTGTACAGATAAGTTTTGATGGAGAGATGTGGGTGGTGGTAAGGGGATGTCGAGGCTGCGGCGCCAAGACATGTCGGTTGGTGATGGTGTGTATGTTGTTGTAGTGAGTAGTGGGAGGTAGGATGTAATCCAAAAGTAAAACAATGCACACGAACTTGACAACATCGTTGACCTGTCAACCTGTCTTGACTTTGAATACATGAGGAGCACCACTGAAAGGTGAAAGGCAATCAGTGGCTGGTTTTCTTTTTTCCCCTTCTTTTCTGAAGGAGAGGATTTGGCGACGTGCGAAGATTCTTATTCGCCGGACTCTAGGATCGTCAGGCACCCCCCAATGTTGCACATTGACGAGTTGTAGAGGAGAGCGATCCTATTTGCCTCTTGAGCCAAGTAAACGCGTTCACTAGCCTGAGCTGCACTGGAAGGGGATTATACCAAATGAGTATCCCTGCATATAGTACCCTCACATTAACAAGAAGAAGAGATCTCTCTATTGGCCTGGGGAGTTTTCGCAGGGTTGTAGTGAACGATGTGAGTTCCGGGGGAAGAAAAAGCCAAGAGGTGGCCGGCACGGGATGATGATGAAGCCTTTTCGCCATCTTGTGTGGCTTGCGTCCTGGGCATGCGCGATGTGTTCCCAACGTGCAGGTAGGCCTCCTTCACACTTCCTTGAACTCACAAGTACCCCTCGAATCTCGCCTTTGTCTTTCTCGTCAAAAAATCGCTACAAACCTGAGAAGGATCCTATCCACATTTGTTGAACAAGGAGCCCAGTAAACAAAAGTTGCCAGTCTGTGGGACGCCAAGGCACACTTCACGAGACTTACACCCTTGAACTGGCGGTCGAGCAGGAAGCAAAGCTAACGAAGCACATTGAAGCGCAGCCCGAATCTAGAGAGTAAGCGAGGCCCGGCGTTGCCTTTAGCCTGTGAGGAGAATGGAGAGAAAAATAGAGCCAGTCGTCGATCAAATCAGCGAACAGGCGAATCACTCCATGTAGTTTGCACTGCAAAATTGCCAAAATAATAATTCCCAAAGAGAGAACCTTTCTTTGACAGGTTCCCACCATTGGCCGCGCGTTTCGGAAGGGAAACGGCACGGTTTCCAATGGATGGCAAAGAAACCGTTACGGGGCCCGCGCGCTTGAAGCCTCTTTCGAACTCCACGCGCAGCTGGTCTGCACAGCCGCATCGCTACGTACCTGTCCCGGCGTGGAGCTGACGAATCAGCGGGCTGACTTTGTACCTTTCTGGTCGATGTCCTCGAGCGTTTAAGACTGGAAGAATGATGTGGTGTGGCGGAGCGGGATGAATGTGGGGACTGAGCCCGTGGCTTGCGTCCACCCCGAGGGGCTGGCGGGGCAGCTGGTTGGATTGACGTACTTCCCGCTGCTGTGACCTGCACCTGCCACCCTGCAGTCTGCAGTGACTGCCCTTTCGATAGGTACGAAGTACCTCCGTACTACGTACACTCAGCTAACTTCTACGTGGAGGGAAAGTCTAGGAGAGGAGCACCGGTGCATGTGCCAGGCTTCCATTTACCGTCTTTCTCCCTGAATTCCTCGTTCGCTGCCCACCCCACGCTCTCTTCACGACACGAACCGGCCACTTTTGCTAACCCAGGCTTCAACCTTTTCCCATAACGGGTGCCCTGTTTGTACATACTTGGCTTTTAATCATTTTGACTTTTCTGTGCCTCGTCTGATCAAGCTATCGTAAGCTTCTATTGTCATTTCATCTCTCTTCTTTGACGAAATCCTTTTGGAACTTTGGCTTCTCCATGTAGTGGGGCTCCTTACTGCATACCTTAGATCCCGCGGATAGATTCGAACGTCTGCTTATAGTGTATGACTGGGTAGTAGTGACCTATCCCTTGCCTTTGGATCCCAGAACACGCGAAATAAAATAAAAAGCCAAGGCGGACGGGTGACGGACGGATTTGAGACTCAGCCCACTTGGCCTCGCACACCCTTGAGGCCCAGCAGACTTGCCTTGCCAGCCTGACCCTTTTTATCAACGCTGTGTCCCCTCCCCCCCCCCTCCGAAACACCTACCACCGACGCAGGAAACGTCACTTCTCTACCTCAACACCAAGACCTTCAACAAACCTACTTACTGTACCGACTACTTTTTTCTTCGAGCGAGCCCGTCGATCGCTGATACAGCCGTCGACCGCCGCCCAACATGCTCGACGAAAACCTACCCACCTTCCACTTCCGCCCCTCCTCCGATAACCCTCAGAACACAATCCTCTACTTCACTCACCAAGGCTCCGACCCCGTGCCGAATTATGTCCTCAAGCGTGCCGACCCCGCCAACCCCGCCGCCCGCAACAAGTACGCCGCTGCCCTCACCGACATCGCCTCCCAGCAGATCATCTATGCCGAGGTCCTCGTCGAGCCAGAATGGACACAGCCAACACTCTCTGCCGCTGAGGTCCGCGTCCAAAATGGTACCCCGGCCCCGCCACAACCCATCTTGCCCGACCAAGTCACGCTACAGCTCTACAACCCGGATTCACAGGTCGTCATCAAGATGAAGTCCGGGAGTTGGGGCAAGTCCGACAGCTGGGAGTTTGAGATGCCCGAGCAAAGCTTCCGCGCGCCGAGTGCGAGCCTGCTCGACCGGTCCTCCGATGATCCGCCCATCAGCGACACCGTTCCCAAGGTCGTCTTCCGCTGGAAGCGAGATGGCAGATTGAGCAAGGATATGACGTGCTACATGGTCGGCAAGAGCGTCGCCGGCAAGAAGAGCAAGGAACCCGACATCACAGTCGCCATGTTCAAGGACACAAAGCACGAGAGCGCCGTAACGATTTATGAGCCCAACCTGCAGCGCGTGGACGTGGAGGATCGCAAGGGACTGGACATTGTCTTGCTGCTCGGCGCAGAGATCCTTCGCGACCTGTACCTGAACCCCAGGCAAAACGTCTTCAACCTGACGGCGACGGCGCCGCCCACGACCGGTCGCCGCAAGAACTCAAAGCCACCTCCGGTATCCATGGCTCCGGCACCACCCGCGGCCGCCATGTCCGGCGCCATTGGCAACAAGCCTGCCTCGCCCCCCGCACAAGTCATGAACAACGGCCCTCCCAGGCCCAATGCCCGCCAACAGTGGGAGATTGACAACGAGACAAAGCGCCTGCAGGCCATGGTAGCACAGGAAGAGCGGCAAGCGCGTGAACGCGAGCGACGGGACGCCGAGGAGGCAAAGCGCATCAAGAAGATGCTCGATAAGGAGGAAGCCGACCGCCGACGCAAAGAAGCCGAGATCGAGGCCGAGACTGAGCGACTTCGCAGACTTTACGGCGTCCCGCCCAGTCAGTCGAGCCCGAACTTACCACCGCGTCACCAGCCGCCGCCCGGAACCACGCCGGGCTCATGGCACGTGGCACCGGCGCAGCCACCACGGCCCAACAGCGCGGGACCGTACAACGGGCCCCCGGGGACGAGCGCGTATCGTCCGCAGGTGCGGTTTGCGCAGCCGCCGCCGCCGACGATGAGTGGTGCGTCGTCTCAGCCGCAGCAGCAACAACAACAACAGTCACAGTCGCAGCAGGCCGGTCGCGGGAAGCTTCCGAACCTCATGTCAGGACTGCTTCAGGGACCTTACGCGAACCCGGCTGCTAGCGTCAGCAACTTTTTCCATCGGGACCGGTCCGAGGAGGAGGAGAGGAAGCGCAAGGTCGCTAAGAAGCGGAGTGTGCATTTTTGATGGAGCACGGCGGTCTTCTCATGACATGTGATCGGGGTGGGATTTCACCCCTTTTTTGCTTTACTTTGCAAATGACTGTGGCATATTCTCTGGCGTTTGATAAACTTTTTTTGGGCATTCGTTCGCATTTCGTCACGGAACCGGGTTGGTCTCCTGGCGCTAGCACGGCAAGCCTCTTCCACATTCTTCGGCGTCGAGGGGGGTTTTCTCTGGACGGATATACCATGTACTAGTGTTGGGGCATATAGAATCACGAATTTTATGATCAAGGCATTTCAACTGTCCTTTTGAAAACGGGACGTGTTTGCTAGTACGTGGTGAGACGCACTGTTTGACTTCGAAGCTGAGATGATCCTCCTCGAGTGTGGAGAGTTTTTGGGGGCAAGGTTGCACTACCTATACCTTGACATGCCGAACGCTGCTCTCTGGGGCTTCATTACCCATCCCTCAGAGTTCCGAGCAGCTACGTATCTTGGACGAAGAGGCTATGTAGTCACTGATTGTCAAAGGTTGCTTGGTTTCCCATGTCCTTTGGCCATTTCTCCAATCTGAGAAAGAGATTTGCGTGGGCATGTTACTCGAAAGAAGTCTAGGAAATTGCGTCGTTCTCCCTTTATGTGCTTACACCTTTCTGTCCTGAAAGGAATTTGTTAAATGTGTAGTTGAATATCCATCAACGTGCCTGTTTGCGATCATGCATAGTCAGAGTACCGGAAATGTCTCCGAGGGTAGATAGTTCTCTTCTTCTTTTGTGCATTGTCATTTTTCCCTTCCTCAGGAAAGATATTACTTATTAAAGGGAACTATCGAAATGAAGTCGAGGATCTATTAACGTGGCTGCTCACGATTGTGCAAAGTCAGAGTATGCCGGAAAGGTCTCTGGGGGATAAGTAGTTCTCTCCTTCTCTTCGACCCTCTCACTCTTGATAATTGGAGGCACAAGCAACAAGAATTGAAAATTCCATGTAATTGCACGGTCTCCTTGTCTCCTAGTACCGCGTTCGCACGTATTCGTACCTGAAGAAGTCATATGGCGGGAGCCAAGGCAATAGACAGAAGTGGAAGGCAGGAGAATATATCAGTAGCTGCCCGGTCTGTGCACTCCATGAGGTGACCATTCAAAACCAACGTCATTCTTCGGCAGAACCTTCTTCCGAGCTTCCAACGCTCGGACCAGGCCCAATCACGCTAGCCACCAAAAATTCTCATGATGGGTCCCTCAACTGCTACCTCTGGCCCAGCTGTTGCTGAACATCCCCTAGCTCAACACCGCGTTCGACTCCATCCCAATAACGACTCCTCTTCCTCCTCCCTTTTCGACGGCCAAGGTCACTTCCACACCCACGAATTCGCCTGCGAGCTCCAGCGCCATCTCTCCATCTTTGGTTGGGAAAGTTCATTCCGTTTCGGCCAGCAACAGTTCGCGAACCTCCAACAGCTCCAGAAGCTCGGTCTCTACGTCGATTACCCGGTCAGCTTCAGTCTTGGACCTCACACGCCCCCGGGCTACATCCGCAACCGTCTCACCGAGATCTTTGCGAACGCGCACCGCGCAGCCGATACACACCGCAAAAAGGAGCGCCGCTCTCATACTACCGTCACAATGGTTCAACTTACCGAGGTCGAGGACGAGCACTTCCAGTCCGGCCAGGCCGGCCCCATCGACGATGACGCCGATTACTCTGACACTGGTATGTATCATCTGCTAGATATCAGGCATCGGGCACAAGTGGGAGCCTTTCGATGATGACATCGTTATCGCAAAGCTCACATAGTGTCGCATACGTCACTCGATCCCCATTGCTGATCAAAAAAACCAACCCAGACTCCGAGATCTCAGAGGACAGCGACTACAACCCTCGCGACGAGTCCTTCACCGAGCGCCTATACGCCCTCAAGGACATTGTCCCCCCGACCACCCGCGGCTGGATCAGTAACAAGGTCGACTTTGGCGTCAGCGCCGTCCAGAACACGTGGTACTACGGCTCCCGCACCGTCTGGGTCGTCTGCGCCACCGCCCTCATGATTGGCGTCCCCCTGGCCACCTGCTGGGCCGAGGACCAGCAGATCGAGGGCATGGAGCGCGAGTACCGCATGCGCGAGATGGGCGGCGACGCGCTCCTGGCCGCTGGCGAGGGCAAGGAGGGCAGCACGGCTGAGCAGGTCGGCATCGCCCTCGACCGCTCCGAGGCCAAGCCCGCTCTGTAAAATCACCAAACTCACTCGAAAACACACATCAAGAAAGAAAGAAAAAAAGACAATGCAAAGCGAGGCCAAGATTGGAGGCTAGCTTATCGAAAGAAATCCGAATCTACGCGCACCAAAAAAAAAGCTGAACGATTGTACCACCCACGCCAAAACCCCTTAACTCCCCCTTTTCCTCGGGCAGACTTTTTTTTGCGTTTTGCGCTTTCGGAAACTGTATATCAAGACAAACTCTCTCACACTCTCACACACCCACGACAACGGAACTTTGCATGCATTGCGGTCATGGATGGCTTTGGCGGGATGGGGTTTCCCTGCCAATTTTGCTTGTACTTATAGGAAATTTCATGAGGGCCGCGATAGGAATGGCCGTTTTGCAATCATGACAAATTCTAATACCCACCCCGTTCCCTGGACTATTCCGCGTGATTTCATGGGTCCTGTTGCTGTGTTTACTTATTCTGTGCCTGAAAATACTCTGGCTGGTACTTGATCCCAAACTGCAGCATCATACACCCACGTCACCCTGGGGAAAGGAGGTTAGCCAAAAGAGGAAGAAGAAGAAGAGACGGCAAGAGACTTGATTCTGATAGAGCCATTCGTCAAACAAGAGATGATGAGCTCGTTTCTGCTCTACCTCATCTACGAGTGCCCCCGGATACACCACGACAAGTAGATTCCTACCTAGAGAGAGGGAGGATACGTGGATCCTACAGACGAAGTCAGGCTTTCCCCCCCCCCCCTCCCCGTTCTCAGCAGTCGAATGGGAAAAGTGGCTTTTAGCTTTGGGACGGTTCAGCCCCCAAAACGGCATTCCAAGGAACGCGCCACAGATTGACCTATCTACTCATGTATTGAATCGTTGCAGTCCCAGGTCTTTGAAAGCGCACGCATTCACACACGTGTTTGGTCCGCATTCCCGCGGTTAGGGCGACTTCTTCGGTAAGAAGGGGAGGGTTGATCTGCCTCGTTGAAGTCTTGAATCGACAAAGTGTAGTCCTTTTCCTTCCATTTTCTTTCTTTCCTTCTGATATTCATCGAGTCTATACCATTGGGCCTTTCTATCGCATAGTCACGATGATCATCGAGGCCCGAAGCTCGGGAGAGAATGGTCTGAAGGCTTGATTAGGCCTGACATTCTCATTGATACCTGATCATTGGGCGGGTTTTCTGGAGTACTAGCCAAACTTGCAGTCAGCTCAATCAACCTCGCAAAAAGCTCCCGTGGTGTAGTATGCCTGGCTACTTAAGAGATACTATGGAACTGTCGCAGCTTAAAACAGGCCATATCAATTTACGAGGTAATCGAAGCGCATAATCTGTCATAAGGAAAGAGACTTCGGAGAGAGAGAGAGAGATACACATCACTTCAATAATACATTAGAGGGAGGAGAGGAACTGGTGTCAAACCTGTAAATTCATAAAGAATCAAATGTTGCTCCATCTTTACTTTGTCGATGGAAGAACTGCCTCCCAAATAGCTGCATGCTAATGTGCTGCAGCGCTAAGTCTTCTTACTCCTTGTTGCCCCCATAATCCTTTCTCGAATATAACCATACTTTCCTGGATTCTCGCATAGTTTCTTGATCTCTTTGACGCTAGAGGTGTGTGGAGACACCAGTAAGGACCTCATCATTTCCCATAATCATTGGTGAGCCGCACAAAGCAGATTGATTTCCCCGCAAATCTCTTCAACATGATGTTTCCCATGGCTGTAGGTGGTTTGAAAACATGATGCATCTCTCCTCTTGAGGCTTTCGCAGCTCCGGCCTCAGACCACTCGTCCAGGAAACCATGAGCCCCCGAGAATACGAATACGCTTCCTCCAAGAAGTTTAAATTCTCTGAAGGCTTCGAGATCGCCGTTTTCGACCTAGCTTCCAGTTGGTATCGCTATAGTTCGATAACTGTGTTTTCTTTCTGCTTGTCTAGGGCATCCAGGAGCTCTGTCATCTTGGCCCGCAGGCTAACACTCTCGCCAATGTATTTCGTATTGGACTTACGAAGTCCGTCGATTATCTTGGCATTGATATCGCGACAAGCCTGGAGTTCCCTCTCGCGCATCTTCAATGAGCCCGAGGCAGCTCGATGATTGTCTTGAGAGCTCTGAAGCTCCTTCTTAAGATTAGCGATCGTCTTATTGTTACGTGCAAGCGTCTTGCTGTGGTCGTCTCGTAGGTGTCTGATGGTTCTTCATCCTCCGCATCTTCTAGTTCCCTCTCGGCGATCTTGTTGTCTTTTATGGCCTGTTTTAGCTGCTGCTGAAGCTGTTTCATCTCAGCTCTTATGGTGGAAGTATTATTGTCGTAAAGCAATCTAGCTTCACGAAGATAACGAACAGACTCTTCTCGCTCAGATTTGACATTCGAAAGAGCCTTCTCGTGGCTCTTGCTAGTCTCGTCAAGCCGCTCTAGAAGCTGGTCTCGCTCAGCTTCAACGTCTGAAAGCTTTTTCTTTGCCTCTCTGTGATTCGATGTGAAGTCAAGCGTCATGTCCTCGCCAAGCCGGATTTTGGCGACTCCTTCCGCTTCAAAGTTGACCTGGACCTCATTGAGCCTTCGACGCTTTTCATGGGGCAACTCCTCATGGTTGAGTTGGTTCTGAGACCCAGAAGAGGCCGGAGGGCTCCATGTGAACGAATGACCAGTGCCACTGGTTCCAAAGGAATATTGTAGGCCGTTCAGCCGACCTGACGAGGTGGTCTGATTACGCTGGCTCATGATAGGTGGTGCTTCGTCTCGGTCTGTGATGAAGCGATGCTACCTTCGATGAAGCTTTTCTTAGTTGGCCTCCGCGGGGGAATTCGTTGACGTGACAGCGAGCTCCTTGAATATCAAACAGTCAGCACGGAGCAAGAAGAATCGCGAGTGAAATAGTAACAAGAGAGCTTACAGAGAAGCCAAGCAAGCTTGCGAAGACAGATCTTGTATCAGTATAGGTCTCTTTGGACCTGAGAGGTGGTTTGACTTCCTCGATGTTGGTTGGTGTCCGTTACGGGAGAAGTCGTGACAAATCTCTCCTCTGCAGCACTTCACCCGGCTTGATCAGTAGTAGACACCAGAGGCCTAGTACAGATTGCGTTGAAGAAATGAGAAGTTCAAAGGGAGAATGGTGATAGTGTCGTGGTCAAAACGAAGGGCAGATGGGTGATGTGGGCAAAGACAAGAGGCAACACCAGAACCAAGTCGGGAGGAAGCAAGTGGCAACTCTCGACGCTGGGTCACTTCAGGCAGGTACCCAAAAGAGAAAAGGATGGAAGGAAACCATCACATAGTCGATGCTCTTGCCAAATTTCAAACCGCAGGGACTGGCACCTGCTCTAGCTCAATTTCTTCGAAGTTTAGATGCGGTGCTCTTCCCTTCTTCGTGACGACCTCGTGACCATGCGAATTGTGCTTGCCTAATCTAGCTTGAGGACTCTACGCAGCATTATCTACATAGTGCTCCGTTCTTTCTCTCCACGCAGTGGCTGCAGATGAGGAAGCCACCTTTCGGGCAGTTGTCCAAAGTAGAAGCTGCGCTCGTTGCAGGAACTCTTTCTCTCTGATCATCTTCCGATTACCACATGAAAGATTAAGCTATCTGCCTTTGGCGTGATCTGCGGCTTAGGACTTTCTGCAACTTGTAGGACTCTCATACTAACCCAGGGGACCGAAATGTACACGATTGCTTCAAACCATGATACTAATCTCACCTTGGTCCCCATTTGCCAGTGCATCAGTCGAGTTGCGATGCCCCTCTCAAGGCAAGACGATTTACCTTTCGCTCCCAGCTGTTAAACAACATATTATAACAATTGCATAAACTCAGTGATGAACTGAAAGTCTCGGATTCCTCTTGCAGTATAAGTAGCTGGTATCATTGATTACTTCACACAATCATTGATTACTTCACACAAGAGATGCATCCTCACACATCTCTGTCTCCTCCATCCAGCAGAACGAAATAAATTCTACGAGGCAAAAGATACTAAACAATCAAAAGAATATCAGATTGCCCAAAGGCGGAATCGAACCGCCGATCTTCTCATTGCGTTCACGTATCAACCCCAGATCGTGAGATCCAGGACAGGACAAGGTACTAGTGAGACGCTTTACCACTGAGCCATTCGGGCCTTTGTATCTGTTGATGATGTTGCGCAGCGGTGAAGAGAATTATATTGCTGTGGGACACTCGATGGTGGATCTTTTCGCGGAAGAGGAGCCCTAATCGTGAGGAAGCCGAGATACCGTGGAGTTTTGACGACGAGTGTGGGGAACCGGCCGGCCATATATGGAGTACACTCGCCCGCCCAAACGGGAAAGTCGTCGATGGACGTACAAGGGGGTGTTTCGCTGGAGGATCTGGGGGTTTGAATGTAGACATAGTTCAACGGCGAGCTGGGCAGAAGTTTCGAGTAGGTGACATGTGAGTCGGGCTGCAAGATCTCACCCGTAGACTTCGAGATGGGAAATCTGGCTCTGTTATCGATCCCTACATCGCAAGGCGCCCGCCGGTTTCCCAGGCATGAGACGGCGCCTATCCGACATATAGGCATAAGAAGCAATATGTACCAAGCTGAACGACTCATCAACCTCCAAACCAGGCACTCCAAGACTATTACCCAATACGTCGGCAACCAAGCCATCCCATCCATAAACCCAGCATCATCATCAGACGAGTCACATCAGGACGCACATCTCATGCTGATCTTATAGACTTATAACCACCGCTTCGCAACCAACTTCATGCGCGCGATTCAGCCCTTCAAGTTTTTGACACATTCACGAGCTGCTATGGATAATTTCAGTCTGAACTTTACCTCGCCTTACTCGCGAGCAGCCAAAGCAAACTTCCCCACCTTGGTAAGAGGACTTTTGGTGATAACGACCTAATCCCTACGTATCCCAGAAACCACTCAATCTGCTACTTGGCGTCTCATTCCCCAGACCCAACGCTGCCAAAACTTCACATCCCAAAACACCAAACGCCCGTCAAAAAGCGAAGATCAATCGAACATGTGGGGTGTGGGTTGGCCAGAGAAAGTAGAGGTGTTGAATGAAAGAAAGGAAAAAAGTTCGTTGTGCGCAAGAGGTAGGCAGTACAGGAAGCCGAACCCAGTAATTGTGGCCGGAACCAAGCTCCAACCAAAAAAAGCTTCTAGAAAACCTCGGGAAAACCTGTTCTCTTACCATAAATGAGAATCGACGCCCCGTCTATCTGCGACGCCCAGCCTAAGCGGACGGCACCGTACCGACCTACATACGGGGGCCCTGCGGCTCGCTGTGACGACAGCAACCGCCCCCCCCCCCCAGTCCGGCGGAACCATCAGTTCGTCAAGCTTGGTTCTCCAAGCAAAATATCGAATTCGGACTTGAACGCGCCGAGAGCCTTCCTCGAACTACTTTCGATCCGGCCCATTCTCTATCGAAAGTTATGTTTTATCACGAGAAATGTACTCCGTGGTAGAGATTGGGAGAGAGAGCAAGGCTGGTCGGCTAAACTAGTGCAAGCTTGTCCTCTATGTGCGGATACGACACGATATCATACCTCCTTCACCTTCGACTCACCTGTAACCTCCTTCACCCCCCAAAACCTCGTATCCAGATAAGATACCTTACCAAGGTCTCCTCCGCGCCATGTCAATCATCCCGCACCATTGCCCGCAAACAAGCCACACCACACACTATCACCCAAACATCCCATGTAAACTAGACGACCGTTCAAAACCCCCCCTTCCACGTCCCAACGGGCTTGAGGGGGGAAGCAAGGGCTGTAAGTTACCATTGACATCCCAACTGAGAAAGAATAAATCGCCGCCGGGAAGGGAAGGGGGGAGACGCCTACCCTACACGGCACACCAACACCAACCCACCTCCGCTCCGTCCCGGCATCACACCGGAACCTCCTCGCCGAAACCGCCCCCAACATCCCGTCGTCCCAAAATGGGCATTATAAGAAACGGAACAGGGTCTTTCTTCACTGTACATCGTCCGAGAACAGTTCCAGGGTCCAATCAATGGAAACCTGCTCAGTGCCCCGTACCATTCAACCCTTTATCAAGTTGGTCTTCAATGTACTCCCAAAGAAGGAGCATCATCGTCCCCCATCGTCAACCACCTTACCTCATCTAGACGCGACACAAATCCCCTTCCCTGCTCCTGAACTATCCAAACATTGCACATACTTCCCATTCCTCAGTACTTCTTGCCCCGAAGCTGACAGCTCCAGAAAACAAAAAAGAACGAGGAAAAGAGTGCTAGAGTAGGAACCGGGTACAGCCAAACCACCACCAAGAAGGACCAAAAAAATACACACCCCCACCAGACTGAGACATCCAGAACCCGGCCCTCCGCCGCACCCGGATACCACCCACATACACACAACCCCCGGTCCCATCCCATCCAACCCAAACCTCCCCCGTCCACCACAGAAAACCACCGGTGCCGGTGACCAGCCAGCTTACCTTGCCAGCTCAAGGAGTATGGGCTAACAAACGAATGGATGAGAAACAGAATAATCGCGTACGGAGCTCCTCCTACATTCACAGTACTCCAAGTCTCCATAGCTTCTCCAAGGCAACCCCCCCACCCCACGACCATCTCCCCTCCCATTCTTTCCCACATCCATCCATCGTCATCAAGTCCCAGCCTCGTCATCCGTCTCCCTCATCCCCCCCACCTCAATTCCTTCAAAATCACTCCCCCTTACAGGCTTCCAAGTAGCGAACCAGACTTCAGCTGGTCTTGGAACCGCGAATCGTCCCATCCCTAGAATCCTAAGGAAGGGTGGGTGGGTGGACGGCTGGATGGATCCTCCGTGCTTCTAGAAGGTCGCGAGTGCGTGTACGAATAATACCGTACGGATACCTGCACATACTCCGGCAACATACCTAGCTTTGATCCTTGATGAGATCGTCTCTGTGCGTCACTTCTCTTGGCGAAAAATGGCCACACGCCCATCAAGCATGCAGAAGACCTTTGATCGTGCGGTCCTCATCAGCGTATCAGGTCTAACACGTTTCCTACTTACTACGTAGGCAGGAGCCGCAGAACAGCAACTGCGCGGGGGCGAACAAGGAAGAAAGAGACACGGGGCCATGTGCAATATGATGGTTTGAATCAAGTGGTGAATAAATTGATGTCAAGAATAAAAAAGGGCTCCTTTTTTGATAGCTTCCGCGACCTCTTGCGTCGCACAGAGCAGATGCCACCCTCCCAAACCCCAAGAAATATCCTGCCTTCCACTCCCCTTGGTGTTGGTTACACGTTCGTTCGCTCCAAGTCTCATCAGACCACACCCTGTTCCAATACAACATGACAAACAAGCACCTTACTCTACTCCTCGCTTACACCCAGCGTAAGCCCCAGTTAGATAGACCCTAGATCTTTCAGAGAACAAGACTCCGGATAGCTTCGAGAAAAACAAAAAGGTGCTCCATGACGGCATTTAATGGCCCGATGTGTCGTCCGGTCGAGGCTTGAGAGCTCGTACAAAAAAAAACAATATTTGCTCGGATCCACGTTTCGAGTTTGGACAGCCCAGGAACAGTTGCGAGACGAAACACCGTGGAGAAAACCCTCACCCAATCGAACCCACACATTGTTTCCGCGACAGTATTCCAAAGCAGTCATCTCTCTTCCGCGCAGCGCTATGCAGGTGAACCCCAACTCCGGTATACTCTGGTCCTGTCGAGCTACCAGCCCCGCATCCTACACGCGGCTGGTGTCCACTCAAATAATCGGATGGGAAATAAGTCAAATCGAGGAAGGATAAGCTTCGAGTATGATCAGTAGTGGTATCACCCCCTAAATGATACCACCAGGCGGGTCATAGCCCGTTGTCGCGCCTCTGGCTCCGAGCCCGGCGCTCCCTGGCTGTTCTGACGACGCATCGACTTGTGCGTTATTCGTCTTTCGCAACATGAACATTGGTTTCTTACCCTCCTTATCCAGTTGCTTGAACAGGATCAGAGGTTTCTCTTCCAGCCCCAAGCACCGCTCCTGATCACCGTAGACAATATACAGGGCATACTGATCCCACGGTGCATTGATCTGGTATTTTTTGAGGGCGGCGGGCAGCACCTTGTAGCACGGATCGTCCATACTGACTCGGAACGACTTGAAGATCTCGACAGATGCGTTGCTCGTACTTGGTGTGTCGGGTGCTGGGGTCGGTCCGCGTTTCGGCGCCGTTTGCTGTTCCCGGCCTTTGTAACCATGGTCGTTTTCGGCGAAGGTGGATCGTGTAGATGGCGTCGGGGCTTCGGAGCGGTCGGAGCGATAAGATCGAGAGCCCAAAGTCGTGCCGCCGTGGGTTGGAGGGGAGGTCGGCGAGGGCATGTTCGGGGAAGGATAGCCGGGTGAAGTAGCCGTACCTGAACCGTTCATAGCCGCCAGATGCGACGAAGATAACACGGCTCGTTCCGCAGCATTTGAGGGATCCAGCGTTTGTTCCATCGACCTTTCGTGCGTTGTTTGCAGGTGTGAGGGCGAATTGTTCTTGGGCGTCGTTCCTAGCATGATTCTCTTGGTGGAGTACTGCCGTTGCAGGCTCATCGACTGGGTGGAAGAGGGCGTTGGAGCGGGGGGCGATACGGTCTCATAACCGTAGCCCTGGCTGCTGTTGTTGGAAACGTTGGGTAGTGGTTGTGAAGAATCCTTTGCCAAGCGTAACGCAGGTAGCATGTCCTCCCTCAGCCGTCTGAAGTCTTCGGAGAGTCGACGCAGGTCCTTTTCTACCATGCTCATCCGCTCGTCTCGTAGACGGAGCTGCTCAACCAAGTGTTTGATATCTTTGAGGGTTGCTGTCGCGTACTGGGCCTCGGCGTCGGCAGCTAGAAGAGCACATATTAATGGATAATACCCCTACACGAAATGCGGCGTCACCTACATAACGGCACATAATGGTCGCTCTCTATTGGTATGTCCTGGGCCTTCTTGACATCATAGACGCTCTTTAGGATAGTGAGGCGATGGCCAACACTGGCTATACCCATAGATTTCAGGTCATCGTGTTGTAGAGCAACCAAGGCTTCGCCGACGATTTCGTTTTCTGGTTCAAGATGCAATCAGTCAAGTGTCACAATGCATGGAACAGTAGGCAGACGAATGGGGAAACCCACCAACGAAGCTGTCGGCATATTGCGCCAAACCGATTGTGCTGATGAAGTCGGCGCACTCATCGGCGGTCCACTCGGAGATGATGGTCTCGGGCAAGCGGTCGGCGCTGCTACGGTGACCATAGGTTGTGGGCGTGTGCTCATTGGAAGAGGGGAGCTCGGAGTCGATTGGCGAGCCCTCATCGTCGGCGACAGGCGAGTTGGGGCCAAGGCTGCGCTCGTATTCGTCGTCGGCGTCCGACTCTGCGTAGGCAGTGCCTGAATCGAAGTTCATGACTGGCAGCGTTTGATCGGCGGCTCAGTGACGGAGGAGAGGAGAAAGGGTGGAAGGAAGTGGGTGCGATAGCACGTCGAGGAGGCGAGGCGACGATAGTAAAAGTCGGAAGGGCAGATGGCAATCAAAAAGAGAAAGGCCGGCTCGTCGAGAATGGGAGAGTAGGGCAGGCTGGAAAGCGAGTCGGGGTTTTGGTGTCTTGAAGCGCCGGCGGTGCCCTCAGCGTGAGGAGGTCGTGGCGGCGGCTGCGGGGGCCCGTTGCAGAAGAGATTGGAAGTGTGGAAGCAGCACACAGGATTGGGCTGACAGGATCGGGATCGCGAGCATCGGTTCCTGGGGAAGCAGGTCGGCGTTTCTGTCCGACGAGTTGAGGTGAGGATGGCGATGACAAAGGGGAGAAGGTGGGAGTTGAGATGCGCAATAGCGAAAGAGGCTCAATGGGGAGAGACGCTACTTGGGCAGGCTAAAGTCGTAGACTGCAGGAGTAAGAAGGACGAGTCGGTTCCAAGATGGGATCGTCGTTCGGGTTCGGGCCCAGGCGAAAAGGTGGAGGAAAGCGTCTGGCAGGCCGCAGCAGCAGTAAGTACGCAGCAGGAGCAGCGCAGACTGCAGTTAGGTAAGGTAATGGCTGAGGGGGAGGGGGGAACAAGGACCAGACATGAGGAGTACAAGAGATTTAGTGTGGGAATGCACTGGAGAAAAGTAGCTCTGGTGATGGAGGTGCTCCTGGTGCCTGGTGCCTTCTAAGGTACCTTTGGGAGGTTCAGGTAGGTACCCCGTAGTGTACTTACACAGTAGGTACGGGCCCGGTACGGACACTGAGAGGAAAATGCTGCGTCGTTTCCCCCGTGTGGTGGCCTGGTCCACGTCCCAGTTGGGTGCCCGCCCACCTCTAGTGGAGCCGCAGGTGTGGGTGCGATCCAGGACAGGCCCCAGCAGTACTTCTGCCCGCCATCCAGTGAGAGGTGCGCCCCGTTGCCTGTGCCAGCCCGGCCCTTACCTTAGCCCAGTACCCTACGGATACACAGTACATGGGAACATACTAGACCTTGCCTGTAATAATTTTGACCCGGATTGGCGTGGGATGAGGTGGACAGAGATGCGTGGCCAGGACAAGGAGACAAGGAGGAAGGCAGGAAATCCGTCAAAAAGGAAGCAGCGACTTCTTTTCGGTGTGAAGTCTGCTTGGGACCCAAAGCCGTACGTCTCAGTTTGGACGACCGAGTTGGGTTGAGTTAGTACTCACCCAGTCGAATCTACCAACACCTACGGATACCTAAGGTAAGGTAGCAGTCAAGCAAGTTAGTGTAAGCGTTCGCGCCCCAGACATGCCAGAGAGACATCCTTGGTTGGATCCATGGACCAGTCACCGTGAGCATGGCAAATGGAGAGACATACCTACAAACGCCGCTGCCTTGCCTGGACAAAGTTGTTCTTCTTTTCTTTTTCCCCCTTGACATTGCATATGCAAAATGGTGGACGCAAGAGAGACCTGGCACACTTACCAGGGCCAGTGGGCGTGGGCGGTAGTGACATGCAGATGCCGACGTCAATACTCGTCTCCCGGCTGGTTGCGAGATGATGATGCGTTACCACCACCATCACCACCACCACCATCACCACCACCACCATCACCACCACCATCATCACCATATGGCATACGCATACTCCGTCGACGTTGGGGCGAAGTATGCGCCGTGCCGCCTTGTTCGGCCCACTGCCGCGGCCATAAGAGTCTGTTAGCGCCCAAGGGGGTCATCCCTGCGCCGTCCACGACATCCAATTGCTTGCTTGAAGATGCCTTTTGCCATCTGCCCACCTCCCCGCCAAGTAGGTACCGCACGATTGATTCTTTCTTACATCCAAGTATCAGTCCTTCCAACCACGTTGGCATCCGAATCCCTGACGCCCTCACCAAAGCATGCCCTGGCCTGCCTGACGCATATGTGTACCATACGCATAGTCCATAGCAACTAATATAGGCCCCGGCTATGGAGCCGAAGCTGAAGCTCGACCTTACGAATACCACATGTCTCTCCCAGCTCCCACCAGTTCAGTTCCTTGCTTTTCTCTCAGAAACAGTCTCCGCACGCTGCATAGGTGCGTGTGCATGGTATCAGTGCCCAAAAGAGCTTGACGAGTTTTCCTGCTGCATCCAATATCCGTGGCATGTTCCAGAAGCCGCGCCATCTGCGTTCCTAATCTCCCCCATGAATCTGTGCCACCCAACGATAACCAAGCAAAAATCAAAGTAAACAACGGAATAACAAGTCAAAGGGGGAAACTCGACCCAAGAAAACAACAGATTTTTCCAAATTTTCGACGGCATGCAAAATGAAAAACGGCCCCGATATCCGCCAACCCGCGGAACATTGGTAAGGCGCCCCTCTCTGTCGGTAATTGGGACCGAGGTGCCCAGCCGTTGCCAATCGCTAAGCGATAAGTGGACCCTCTTCCTCGACTCTCCCGTTTCCCCCGTTTCCCGTTTAGTCAAAGGTACACCGTCCACCCCTCCAAAATGCCGCGACGCCCTGCCACCGTAACTTCCGTAATATGAGAGATATCACAATGGAAGTCACCTCCCCAGGCTGGTCTCCCACGGCAGGAAGGAAGAACAATGACCAGTCGGGAGTACTTTACCTTATCTGCACCTTACTCTCGCCTTTCCCCCATTGAAATGACGACCTTCATGTCAAACACAATTTGAACTCCTACCAGGGGAAGCGACGCGGCTGCATCCAATCTCAATCTCAAGGTACCTTAAGTCAAGGCAGCTCAAGTATCCGTACGAATACCCGACGGCGACGGAGTGAGTACCTCCTTACTTTGACTTTAACCTCGACAGACAAACACAAACACCAGGGCCGAGCACTGAGCACGAGAAGAGAGATTCAGGAACCCGCAGCGAGAGCCATGCGGTGAAGTCATTATCAGATGCTTTTGCCGTTTCTTCTTTGCTTTACCGTCCAAGCACCGTCAAGTCTTCCACCAACCAAATTGCTCAATCCTAACCACTGCCCGCACTTGTCTATCATTTTGTATGGAATGACCTGGACCACCTTCCCCTCCATCGAGACTCGAACCGCCCGTCCTGACCTGCCTGACCTTACCATCTCTGCTAACCTCAAACCTCCCAGTAACCTCGGCCAACCGTGTGCCACAAATCGTGGGAAGGGGTTCCCGACCTAGACCTGCTTCACGGCAGAGAGTCCCGACCATCGAACCCCCGCACCTTTCATTCGCCCAAACGGCCTCTTCAGGGTTGATACCAGCACCCGTCAATATGCAAACTCTCTTCCAGAAACACGCCAGCTACCTCATCTACACAACCTCACCTTGCTTAATCGACCCAGTATTCCCCTTAGCTGCTCCATTCGTAGCTCTCCGTTCGGCTACCTCCAAATTCAATTGGCAAAGAATAATGCCCGACTGGACACTGAACCTGGTAGCAAATCGAACATGCTATCGCTCCAATGCAGCACGTAGCTTGTCACGTCCAATGAATCCGACTTGACTGAATAAGAGACATCACGGAAGTCCGGGTACCGGCTCCCCGACAGTCCAAACGGAACAAATGTCACTCTACGGATACCTTACGTTTCCATTGTGCATTCCGAATGGGGTTCTGTCAGTCTAGGCCTCCATCGCCCACAGTCGAGGCGTTCGACGCCTTGGAACGCGTTCCCACACTTCCCCAGGTGCTCCATTTGACACATGACGATAGGTATGGGCAATAGTGTATCAACACGCAAATGAGGCATTTTAGCCCATAGAGTCGTCGTCGCCGTCATATCGAAAGGCCCATCCAACGATATCAGTATGCGCGACTAATCATCTTGGGGGCCTTCCATCATTTAACATTATGCATAAGCACCCACCTGCCGCCGCCGAAGCTTCCAAGCTTGTCAACTTAGGACCAAGGCCGCCGTCTTGGCACTCTATAGCAAACCTGCTGTCATCACGTCCAAGCTACCATTTGCAGTCTTTTGGACCCCCAATTTTAAAAACAGAATTCCCTACAGGGCTACGCATATTAGCCTCAACGAGGCTGCCAGCAAGGGAAGGCGAATCGACCAAGGCGCCGATAAGTGCACCCGACAGATGGAGCCCTGCGTCGATCATCCTCGGCTCCCTCTGGACTCGCGACTCATCCCCTCCTCGTCCTTTGACCTTTTTGTCCGTCTGGCCGTCGTCCCTACTCTCTACGGATACCTACCCATCCACCATTGTTCATCGCAACTCCTTACCGCGGCCCAGCCACCCCGTTGTTTCCTCTATCTCGTCCAAATTCCCTCTTGACCTGGCCACTCATCCTCGGCTGAAACATCTAGCTTCGATGGACAACATTTGGACCGGATCCCACTTCCCAGGAAATCAGGTCCATTCACCACGACACACGTCCGGAGGGAGGAGGAAAATCAAACGGCCCCCGATGACACCCCGCTTAATGTGTGAGTTTCAGGCTCTCTGCCGATCCATCCGGTCAGAAACACTAGAGAACATCCAAATTCGTTCATCGCGAACCTCTGTCGCGTCGAGGCTAGCTCTTGCGCTGTGATGTCCAATCCGTACATGGCAGAACGTTTCACACCAGCAGACGCGCTACGGAGAGGATAAACACCAAATCGGGTCGCGAGGATAGACCTAGGGCCCAGTCTTCCGGTTGTCACATTTGACATTCTTTCAGAGAAGTCCAAGGAAAGCTATCTCTATCGTATGATTCCTGAGAGCACCCACATTGAACCCCTCGGACCATCTCGTATAACCAACGCTATCCTGAATCGTCAACGCCTCTGCCCTGGCGTTCATGTCACCATCGACCCTAGCGTATGCTACAGGCTACATCATCCTGGAGCATTGCACGATATTCTTGACACCTCGCCCACTCTTGTCTGGTATTAGATATGAGACGCAACCTTTTCCGTCTCACATTGCTTTCGAGACGAAGTGAGAAAGACCAATATGCAGGATCTTATCGTTCATCTCAAAGGCTCCCTGACGCCGTGCCCATCCGCCTGTTCGTGGCTCACAATGTGATGCCTCTCAAGATTGGAGAACTCACTATCCATACGCGAAGCAGCCGGAACTTTCTCCGGGTGCCAATCGCAGTGCTGTCTTCAGAAACAAGCCCCATCATCATTTCCCAAGCGTCCGAGACCCCGTTAGCAAACATCCATCAACCGGCCACCCGTCGCACTGCACCACGGTTGAACGCACATCCAAACCAAATGTGGCAGAACCGGCTCGTCGCTTACTCCGGAAGAGGCAAAGACGAATGTCCATCTCTTCCACAGATCCCCTCTCTCGTCGAAAATCCCACCTCAGATAGACTTTGACGCTAGAGCCTCTCCGATCTGACGCCCGCCACTTTTCCCTACCAAGCCAGACTTACATTGGGATCCGAACCACGGCTCGCTCGGCCGAGTCCCCCCTTTTGGCCCCCTTTTCTTTTTCTGTTTTCCCGCCTCTTTAAGCTCGCAGCTCGCAGCTCAGCCGCACATCATCCGCTATCTTTCCGAGTGGCCCCTACTGAGTCCTGACCACGGACTTGAGGTGCTTCCCGAAGCTAGAGTGTCCGTGCCGAAGTTTCTTCGACTTTTGGCTCAGGTGGAGACTCTCATGTTCGACTTCACCCACAGAATCCGACCCCCTACCAACCAAGTATCTACCATTTCCCGGGTCTGTGGTGCCCAAAATATACTTTGGCATCTCGTGTGCGTGGCGTGTGTGCTCTGTCATCTGTCATCTCAAGATCTAGAACAGGCCTCTCTTGTTCCTGGCTTGATCTCATCTAGAGAGACATCTTTTTGGATACTATACTCTCCAGATTAGGAGAACCTTGCGTACCTACCAAGTTATTAACTCATCCGAGCTCCGAACTGACCTCATTTTATCCCACATTCTGCGTCTTCTCGGTCATTGAATCCTCGTCGTCGCGCCAGAGCTGCGTGTCGGGCTTCCTCGGTGCCCATCGGGCTTCTCTGGCTATTCCCGTGTCTCTGCAGAGCGAGTGCGAATGACGATCTTCGTCACGCAGCCGGTTGCTACCGAGTTTTTTCTAAACTCTAACTAAGACCATTGTCTTTGAAGCCAAGAGGCTATATTTCAGCCTTCATTCGTAGCAGACATACCGTGCAAGCAGAGAGATAGCAGCAGTTCAGTCGTGTGGATCGGATAGGGTTGCCCGTCATTTGCCCAGCGAGTCTTGATATCATCTGGATTTCAATTAGTCCTTTCTAGGATGACACCTCCTCCCTCTCTCTCCGCCTTGCCATTTCATATCTAGAATTACCAGGGAATTGGCCGTTCACTTGAGCATGCTGTATTCATACTGGAAAGTTTCAGCTTATGAGAGAACCTGTGGAGTGAGATTGTCTCTAGTTGATGTCCAACCAGAAAGTTCTGAGATAACTGCCTGGAGTCGTAGTTGCAGCATCCTGCCAGCTAGCTTGAAACTTTAGCCAAGAACATGAGAAATCTTGGTAGGGGGACTAGGGTAGCTAAGAACCATTAGGACATCGCTTGAGTTCCCGTCCTATTATTCCTCGAGATTTGGTTCTCAAAAGACCTCTTGATGAGGTACTAGGTCTCACTGCAATTTTCGGTTTTTGTTATGGGATGCTACCTCTGTCTTCTCAACCTAGAAATACTGTCATACACTCGTAGCCTATTGCCAACACACCAACCAAGCCAATACTGACAAACTTCCTCCCTATTCCAACACTCCAATCCATAGGCAATCCCACACAGTGTGGTGTAATTCATGCAATCCGTCCACGGCCATCATCCAACAACAACACCATCCTGGTGCTCGATCTCCGTCTCGACCTCCCAACCAATCCATCCAGGAGCTTCAAACATTCCGGAGTACCAACTTCGAGACCGCAATACTTCATGGATATCCATGAGCGACATGTTTTATCGTGGATCACAGCTTCGGAGAAATCTTTGCTCGCTTCCTCATGGCTGCGGTGCCCGAAAGGGCTGGGAAATTGTCGTCGTGCTGCTCTTGCTTCATCTTCCTCTGCACGCCCAATTTGGCTAATCCTCTCATTCTCTGCTTCTTCATAGGTCCCATTTCTCTGTGGACAGTCTTAACGTGGTCCTCCACACTTTCGGCGTATGGCTCGGTGGTTTGCCCTCCATCTGCAATTTGCTTTCCTGCGTTGCTAGCGTTAGCCAAGGACATGTCACCGGATCTGTTCGCGATGTTGATGATATGTTCGAGCATGGCCGACTGAGGCCCGTGAGACGATGCCAGCCGATCAGACCCCTGAGTCGCTTCATGCTTGTCCACTTCAGTGCGAAGCGACGCCTTTGAGTCTCGTCTGCGCTTCTTCCCTGGCTCCTGCTCCTGAATCGACTTCGGGCTGAGAACACACGAGACGCTTCTCTTGGAGACACGCGTCTGCCAGCCACCAGGAGATCTGAATCCCTCGATGATCTGTCTTTCAGATGTGTGGGGGTTGTTTCCCGGGTGCACATGTGCGCGTCCAATGCGACTGTGCATGTGCAAGCCGCCGGTCTGCTGGTCCTTATGCTGCGAAGATTGAGCCTGGCGGCGGCGTCCCAATCCTTCGCCCTCAGACACAGTACAGTGGCTGCCAGTGATCAAGTGATCGTTTTTATTGTGTTTAGTAGGTGGCTGGGCTGGGGCAAGATCACGGGCATCAGAGTCATTTCCTGTGAGATTGTCAACATGTGTGAAGTCATAGTGGGGGAATCATCAAAACAGTGTAGCACTCACTTCTAGAACGGGCCAAGCCTGATGTCGATGATTTACCGTGGCTGGATGCACCTCTTGTCTTGGGGTTAGGGAGTGTATGGCTCCTAGGCCTACCTGTTAAGCCAGTTGGAGCATTCTGCCCAAGGGATGCAAAAGAGCTATCGCTGTCGTAATCGCATTCATGGTACTTGTTGTTGGCGAACCCAGATAAGGGTTGTTCGGGCTCATATAAAGGGCCTGGCAAAGTCTTGATGGCCACCAAGCCCATCCTGTCGGGGTCCATTCTACGTTGATTCAACACTTTCGGCTTCTGGCTTGGTGTTGTACGGATGGATCGACCCCGTGTAGCGACAGACGCCTTCTTTATTGCTGAAGTGCTCGCAGAGGCCTCCACTCTTTGCTTCTTCGGGTCTCGAGCCGATAATGACTTGTCGGGCGCAACATCATTCCGACTTCGCTTCGAACCTTTGGTTGTTGTTGTTGACTGAGTGCTCCCTTTCAAGTCGTTCTAGGTCTTTGAAGAGGTATCATCCTGACATTGGGCTCGACGTATTGGCTTGGCTCCGGGCTTCGGAACGGTAACAATTCGGATGGAAGGCTTGGGCGCCTTGGCCATCATGTTGGATAGAAGACTGAAGCTTTTCGGCTCGGTCGATTTCTTTGCAGTAGTCACAGCTTTCTCTTTACCGGTGCCTTGGGTGGTGTCCGATTGCCGGTGCATTGCATCATTTTCTCCCGACTGCTTTTTTAGAATGCTCTGGGGCTCAGTATCATGGCTGACTGGAATTGACGACAAGGTTGATGCGCGAGGACGGGAACTCATATTTTGCTTGATAATTGCGACATTTTTGTGCTTCCGTCTATTCGTGCGAGACGAAGTGCGGTATTCCTCATCCTCGTCTTCAAGAATGAAGCCGGATACTTTGATCGCTGCAAATCCTTCTTGGAGGCCGTCGGCTGAGGCAGTTGTGGTTACAGGCTTTCTGCTCGAGCTTCCGAGAGTCTTTGGTTCTTCGGTGTCGGGGAAGAAGCCACTTTTGAAAGCTTGACTCTGCTGCTTATCTAAGAATCTGAGGTGCTCGATATGGCCGCAGTTGGCAGGCGACGGAATTCTCAGAGGCGAAGAAGGTGCGTGGAGGTGTGCAGTCGGGTTATCAAGTAGTGGGTTGCCACGATTCAAGACACCTTGATCGACGAACAGGCTATCTGCAACCTGGGATGTGGCTCTGGATTTGGCCGTAGCGTGTAGACTTGACACGGTAGGAGACTTCTGGAAAAGAGATCCCGAAGTATTCTCTTGACAGGTCCTAGTGAAGTCCGCTGATGGCAGAGAGGACACATTACGGCCAGACTTCCAGTGAGCACTGGAAGCAGGGTGTGAGCTCAGAACCCTGTGCCGGTTGTGGTCGATAGCTGACGGGAAGTGCGATTGCGAGTGAATCGGACCGCATGAAGAAGCCATAGCTGGAAGTTCGGGAAAAGTGGTTCTTGGAGTCTGCTGAAAAGCTGATGAGGAGCTACCGAGCCCTACATAGGCTGCCCGAGAAGCTGACGACTGATGAATGTCGTTCGTGCTATGTAGAGAATACTCGGGCTCTGCACCGCGCTTATGCGATGAACTTCCTCGTGGGATAGTATATTGCCGCGGCGTGATATTGGAAGGTCGGAGGGATGGGAGCGACGCGTTCCTTTGCTCGGGAGGACGTCGAGGTGGCGTCTGTTGTTGGCCCGATGACCGACGAGACGCTTCAGGAGCGCGGTAAGTGAAGTTGTCTTCCATACTGAACAATCACTCAGCGAGCAGAACTCTGACGATTGTATCTCTCGCGTGCTTTGGAGGTATAGCTCGTGACCAAGGGATTCGGCGCGGAATGGCGATGCTCAAGAAAGACGCGATCGTAGAGGCGCGATAATTTGGTTAACGTGGAATGAGGAGAAATGGCAAAAAGGACCAAAAAGACGACACTCCAAAACACCAAAAATACAAGACAAGACTCAAAGAATGATTCTCTGAGCACTGAGCAAGTAAGAATGGTAGGAGAGTGTGATGTGTGAAAGTGGGAGGTTGGCGATGATTGTGCGGGTCTCTGAGCAACGTGAAGTGGTGGTGAAAGGATGAAAAAGTAAACAATTTCCGCGATGAGGAAGGTGTAGAGATGAATAACGGACGAAGTGAGAAGGAACGGCCCGCCCTGCGGTAATAAACACCCTCTGACCGCCTTCTCGCCGTCCCCCTGAGGCGGTTCTGAGGTAATCACCGCCTCTTGAACGACCTCGCGTCCACATGAGGCGGTCACGCGTACCCGTTTCTCGTCAGAAGTTCAGATGGTAGGAGCCGAGTGCCTGAGGTGCCTAACGTTAAGATAGCTCGGGAAGGAGCGAGTGAGTAAGTGAGCAGAAGGGAGTGAAGGTGGCTCTCAGAAGGAACATGAATAGTGCCAAGGAGAGAAGGATGGATGCATTTGTAGGAGGGCTTCGTCACTATCTAACCACCATAGGCCGTTAACTTCATCTTTCAAGACGCATGACATGCTTAAAACAATGATGACTTACCTACCACACATAAATCCAAGGGAAAAAAACAAAAGAGTTCACCCCCCCGGTGCAGAGCTGGGGGCTACATCTCTGGTGCTCATGCTGGGACTCGAACTCGCTGAGCCTGTCGTCGAGTAGGCTGGTTGGCGTGAAATTGATTGTTGACCATAAACCATTCCACCACCACGCCACAGTTTGACCTGACCCCCGGCCTAGGGGGCGCCTGCTGCGCTGGTGACAGGAATGGAGTTGAGGGGGTATATGAGGGCTTGTGGTGTGTTTATTCGGTTTGTGTATTCAAGTAGTAGCGGGAAAAGGTATCGGGTGAGAAAGTTTGCGATGCGGCTGGACGGGAAGGAAGGCGCGTGCCGGGGTGGCTGACCTGGTACCCATTGAGGTGTAGGCTTTGAACAATTGCCTAGGTAGGTATACTGAGTCTTGTCTGTCTAGGTGCTCTGTTGATATTAACTGATCCTGAAAAAGAGAGCTCATAGCCGAAGCCACGATATCTTTGACAAGCCTGACCAAGTCTACGCCCTCTTGCTAGCTCTCTGCAAAGCCTTGCCAAAGTGTTCAACAAAGTCCACACAGTCCACAAACGTATTATACAACGGTGCTGGCGCGACTCTAATGACGTTCGGCTTCCTCTCATCAATGACCACCCCAACTTCTTCAAAGTACTTCATAACACCATCCAACAGCCCATCCGCGAGCTTCAAACTCAACTGCGCGCCTCGCTCCTCGCTCCCCGACGGCGTAATAACGCTAAACATCTCGGAGCCGAGCCAGTTCTGCAACAACACCTCCAAAAACGCCGTCAACCGCTTCGACTTTTCACGCAGCGGGCCCATGCCACCAGCGAGCTCAAAAACCTCGAGAGACGCGCACAGCGACGTGATATCCAACACGCTCGGGTTACTCAGCTGGAACCCAGCCGCGCCAGCCGCCGGGTGAAACTTTGTCGCCATCACGAAGCGTGAGCCCTTGTCGTTGCCCCACCAGCCGCCGAAGCGATTCACGTAGCCCCTTTCCGAGTCGGCGTCCTCGACCGAAGTGGTGACGGCCGTGTGCCGCGCGTTGACGAAGGCGCCGCCGATGCAGCCCGGCCCGCCGTTGAGGTACTTGTACGTGCACCACGCCGCGGCGTCGACGTCCCAGTCGTGGAGCTGCAGCGGCACGTTGCCGACGGCGTGGGCGAGGTCCCAGATGATGGGGATGGAGTGCTTGTGGGCGAAGGCGGTGATGGTGGGGATGTCGAGGAGTTGGCCGGTGTAGTACTGAATGCCTGGCAGGAGGATGAGGGCTGTGTCTGAGGCGTGGGCTTCGATGACGGAGAGGATGTGCTGGGTTGCGAGCGTTGGTTCTACGGCGGTTGAGGGGGGCTCTATGCAGACCATTGACGTTGATGGGGAGAGATCATGGTGTCTGATTTGGGTCTCCACGACGAACTGTGTGAGTTGTTAGTCTCCTTCATGCTTGGCCGGGTCACTCGTCTGAATTTGTGGATGAGAGCTGACTTACATGGTCACTCGGAAAGGCCTTGCTCTCCAGGATAATCTTGTGTTTGCCATCCTTCTTGGGCTTGTAGAAAGCCGACATGAGAAGATGGAGATTAGCCGTCAAGGTCTGCATCACGGCGACCTCAGACTCCTCAGCGCCAACAATGGGGGCCATCATCTTGGCCGCCCTGGCGTCGACGTCGAGCCATGTCGGCAACGGGGAGTCTTCCAAAGGCTTGAAGTGTCCCTGTACGCCCTGCGTCGCCCAGGTGGACAGATACTGCTGTATTCTCTCGGCGGTGCGCTTAGGCTGCAGACCGAGGGAGTTCCCGCAGAGATAGGTGCATTTCTGCTGACTGGCTTCTGATGTGGCAGAACCGTCATCTTTTCCTTGGTGAAGGATGTCAGCTCCAAAATCGAGAGGTCATTGAATCTAGAGGCATCGAGTGGCGAGAGATGGCATGTGAAAGGGACGAGGAGCAAAGGTGAAGGGAGCCAGGTGTCTTCTGATGCAGTAGAATGATGCTCCCAATTGCTGACCTTTCTTGGCAAGGGTCTTGCTGGTGATGTCTTGCTTCGTGGGGATGACAAACTCGTCCCGCGTGTGCCTGAGCGCATCTTCCTGGTCCAGGGCCTCGGCGCGTTGCCTGATGGAGGCGTCGAGGAGAGGATCCATATCGAGGGAGGGGGGATATGATAGTGTGGATGACCTTTGACTAAGATGAGGTAGGACAACCTATACTTGGACCTTGGCTTGAGGTCGGAGACCAAGAGAGGTTGAAGCGGGGGGTGGGGAAATCGAGATGGCCGTCGATATGTGTCGGTTCTTTTTCTCCGCTTTACCTAGGTCAAATGGCAAAGTTTTGGCCCTTGGTCGTGTGTGTGTCAAGATCCTTGAAGTTAAGATGGCCTCAGAAATGCTTCGTTTACGGCATACAAGATTAGGCACGTTGGTCAAAGGCAGGTCAGCAGTGTTTTCCACGAGTGAAGTCATGATGCTCCAACGAATAATTCCCGCGCGTGCGCCCCTCCTCCAATGAGGGGTTCGGATGGAGCTCCGGCTGGCGGGGCCACGCCGCGCAGCTGGCAACCCAACGTTCACCACCTGTGGCTCACCTCACCCTTGAACAGTGACCACTTGGAGCGATGGCTGCGTGTACCTAAGCTTGAGACGGACGGGGCTGACCACTAAGAGACCAAGGAAGCATCAGCTGTTCCCACCGTGTAAGGCAGTTGGAGAGAGTGGAAGAGGTGAGACGAAGGAGGATTCACCATCTCGGCATCAGAAAGGGGAAGGTATCCTCTTTTTCTCCAAAACTTTGTGGTTGAGTGGACCTCTGAAAAACTTCGTATCGTGTTGTGATGCTGAAAATTAAAGATGTAATTCGATTCAAGGTAAGAAGGATACTTCCCTTCAACCCTCGACAAGTAACTCGACAAGTACCTCGACAAGTAACCCACGTTGAAGTACCGTGTACTTTGTCTCACTGCATCAATTGTACATATAATATCTCACAAGTTTCAAAATACCCAAAACCTGCATCGTGACAATAAAAAAAGTAAAAAATAAAAAGCCTTCTGTTCCATTCTATCATCAAAACACAATAACGTGCTCGAGCTAAACGCCTCGGATTACGAAATATGGGAGTTTTCATTACCCCCTCGAAACCCCGGTATTACCCCCTCATTACCCCATAGACTGGCCACATGCGGGGTTTTGCTGACTCGTCCCTTGGCATAACCCTCCGCAGTCCGAGTCTGGGGGGGGGGGGGGGGAGCACGAGATCGTTTGGGTCCAGAACAGGGCCCGGTACCTTGGAGGCGTCAAGGTAGGGTAGGTAAATCAGGTACGGCGGCGGCGGCGGCGACGGCATGGCGGGGGTGGGCTTGCGTCTTGTCTCGCCTCCAAGTTTTTTTTTGTGTTGTCTTGTCTTCTTTCGTGGATGGCTGTGCCTGATGGACCACCGGATACGTAGTCTACACTCCATCCAGATGGAGCCCTATTGGGGAAAGAGGAGGACCAAGTTGACCAACGGGATACGTACGGCTACCTAGGTACCTAGAAGGAGAGGGTGGGATGGGAAAAGGTAGGTGAGGTAGGTAGCACGGGGTCGGACGGAGCCAGAAGACAAGTCCGTCCCCCTTCCCCCGTGAGCGTCCGGGGATCCACCGCGGGTTATTCGGGGGGGACAAGGTGACTCTGGGGGAATGGGAATGGGTGGTGGGACGTATGGCTCCCACCCTCAACACCCCTCCGACGGATTTTGATGTTCCACGGAAGGAGTTACGGCACGGGGTTCTTCGGCAGCGGCGGCGCTTGGCGGGTACAATATAATTATCCACAGTAGACTGGCTGACCAGGGGCTTACTTTCCTTGCAGATCCTGAAGTAGTCTGGCAAGCCTGGGCTCAAGAAGGCCCGTTTCGAAATTCAAGCCGCTTTTTTTCTCTTTCTCTCCTCGTTATCATCCAATGTGACACGGAACTACGCTGTGAAAGTTGCCATAATTAAGCAAGTCTTCCCAGAGCCATGGAAAGATAAGCACCGGGTGCCCAGCCCGAACATCTTGGAAAGTTTCCCCCCCTTTCCCCGGGTGGGTGGTCGGATGATCTTCGCACTTCGGGTTCCCCTTTAGCCTCATGCAAGTTTGCTCTGCGGGGTGGTGGCAGGGGCGTGGGAGGGGGATAGACATGAAAAGATATTTCCCTTCCCGCTTATTAGCACCAGAGTACGGGTTGGCTGGGACAGAGAGGGTTTAATTAATAGAGAGATGGAAGTAGACGCCGGTTTTGGTACATTTCTTCACAATTGATCGGTTACCTACTCCGATGAAATGGGGCCTAGCATTAGTAGTAGAAAAGACCGAGAAGGGTTAAAGATAACGGCCGCAATGTACCTTTTTCACAAGGATACTCTGTAACTGAAGTACTAAAGATGGAATTTGGGAACGGAATGTTGCAGATTTCTGAGGATACGGCATGAACTAGGGTGGTACCTCTGAGTCCTGCGAGGATCCAGAAAGCCACATAGTAACAATACACTCGCAGGTTCTCTTGGCCGGAGTTTGACTTGACGTTGGGACAGTTTCGGGTGGAGACCCCGACCCTCCGGCCGTGATCACCAAAGTTTGTGTGTACGGAGTAGGGAGGCTCTGCTTGGCTGCCAATTTGCTCTGTTTTTCGTTGTCTTTTCTTTGACAGGTTACCAGTATTGCGAAGTCCTTCCCAAAGCCAATGCTATTTCGAGTTCTGGACAACGATGGAAAGAGGCCTCCCTCACAGTGGGCGTAAACGGCGTGAAAAGTTTCCCCTCCCCCCAAAAAAAATGCCTCTGGGTTACTCAATCGGGAAGAGCCATTTTCTCTCTCTCTCTCTCTCCAGTACCGTGTACCGTTCAACTTTCAGTGACACACATTCGGAATTCAGGTTTATCTGATCGTGGTACCTTACCTTGCCGGATCAGAATAGGGAGACGCGGCACGATGCGCCCGTCGATATGCACAATAGAGGAGGCCTCTCTGTTTTTCACTGTCTTTCCGTTGTGCATATCCAATCAAGATGGCAAATCGAGAACAGCAAGAATGAGAATTGTGAATGACTGGTCAGACTTTTGTAGGTACTTGTACGGATACGTTTGTGGCGGCCGGCAATGGGCGCGATGCCGCAATTATTGCAACAGCTTTTGCAACTTTGCGATTAAAGCAAGGGGTAATGCAAAAGTACAACACCCCAAGTATCGGGGAATATTTTTTTTTTGGTTAGTTTTTGATTTTATTTTTTCGTTGTTTCATTTTTTTTGGACTTTTCAAGTCCTCACAAGTCAGTCTTTGTTTCCATGTGTCATTGATCTGCCTTCTACACCCCACAGACGGACTCAAACAGAGCTTCATCGTGACCTGGGGCTGGAATGGTGCCATTGACCTGGAACCCTGAGCCGGGCTTGACGGGCAGGCGAGGAAATTAAACAACGTGTGCATCGTGACCTCTCGTGTTTTTCTCATGGTCCGTGATGGGTTGACGGCTGACTTGCCCCAAGCTTTCCCCGGGGAATGCAAAAAAGGGGGACCTAGGAAAAATCTGGGGAAAAGGCAGACCGTACTCTGTAGTGTAGAGAGGGAAGACTTGGCAAGTGACGATTCGAGTTTTTTCGTTCCCCTCGTGGCTGTGCTATTGGAGTCACGATCTCTTCACTCCGTCAATAGTAACTGGAGGCGTTGTTGGGGTAAAGCGGTCGCCGGTACCTTCACCTAACCCCCTATTTTTGGTTGCGGTGATGTGTACGTGTGCGTGCGTGCGTGTGTGTTCCACACCTTGAGGTGCGAATAATTCTAGAACTCGGTGGACTGGAAGGTCCATCGGGGTGCGGTGAGGGATAGATCGTGACACATCGTGTCTCTTGACCCTTCCAATGGGGACATGGTTCACGTCTCAACATTGAACGACGTGATGGAGCATCGAATCCACAAAGTGATGCAGACATGGCAAACTTGAACATTCCATTCCAAGCTTGTCGTCAACTTTCTCCCAACTCTTACCCCATAACATCCACCTGGTATATTAGCACGCAGGAAGGGGGGCTCCGCAGGTGACGGATGGCGCAGTGCTTGTTCTTTTCCCGGAAGGGGCTAGAGACTCGGAAAGAGAGAATTTGATTTTGGACGAAACAAAATGCCTTGCCAGACCGCGTGACGATGGTCCAGGGCTTTGGAGACCGGCAGTGTTTTACAACGGCTTTTCCATTTGGTAATGGCGATGCGGGATCGCGGGGCATCAATTTGGATCGTCGGGGCCCCGGCCTGGGGGCTAGACTTGTGGACTGGAACTTTGCGGCGGTACCGTAGGTAATACGCAGTCGAGACTCCAAGGGAGTGAGAGTATCGTGAGTTGTGAACCATCCAAGGTACCGAAAAGCTGGGGTAAAGCAGACAAGCAAGCTGCAAGAGTCAGAGAGAACGGGGGCATTGTCCAAACGAACTAGGTTTCCCATCATCCAGAGTTCCCAACTTCCCCAATGGGGCCAAGTCGGACTGTCCCGTGGCCATCTCGGGGTCGCAACTGGCGTTGGCGCGGGCTGCACGATCAAGTAATTTGGGGGTAATGGAAACTCGACGATTCGGGGGCCCGGTCGCCGTCGGTTGGTAGATGGAACAAACAACAACCACGGGGCAAGATGCCAGAGCCATGCTAGGGCGGCTGTGGGGAAGGGAGACATCAGCCGCCGCGCTCCCGGGCCACTCGGGGCTGGAAGGGTCAAGGGCCATCCCCAACATTGTTGTCGTCGTCTCGTGATCTTTTACAGACTAAATTTTCTCCCTCGGATCTTGGACCCTGGGGGGGGGGGGGTTTGGTTCTTGTTCTGGTCTAGATTGTTGTTGGGAGGCTTTCCTGGGCGTGCGGGCTGAGCTGTAGTTGTGCACAAGATCTGGGGTAAGAGAAATGTGGAAAACAAAAAGTCTCGGGTTCTGACGAGGTTGTCGGAGAGAGTGTGCGTATGTGTGTGTGTGTGTGTCTGTGAGATTGTGAGAGAGACGCGTGTAGTTGCCTTGGAGCAACTAGAAAACCTGGTTCGTGTGTCCGCATGTTGCAATTGACGGTCTTAGGACGAACATGGCTGTTGCTATTAGTGTCCATATTTTTATTATGAGGTCTGGGCTGTTGCCGGGGACTTGTTGTTATCATGCCGTGATTTGCAAGGGAGGTACGTTAACCTTAGAACAAAGATGTAAACGTCGTGTATACTTGAAAAGATACATATTGCGTCTTTTGATTTAATACATTAGTATTGCAAAAGTAGGTATCGTGGGTATCTGGCATGGTACATATTCAGAAACCACTTACGATGGAGCCAGGTACGACGAAGTTGGTTCTTTTTCTGGGGCTTTAGAGGGGCAATGGCTGGGAAGCCGTCTCGAAGCAAGGCCGGCGCCTGACAAGCGGGCGTTTTGAGCTGCAACACGAATAAGCGGTAAAAAAAAAATTAAAAAAAAAAGGAGAGGTACTCGCGACTTGTTCAAATTTGAACGGCTTTCTTTACCCGCGCCGTGGTGGACGATATTCAGGGCAATCCATTTTCGTGTCCAAAGTATTGAGGTACCGTCGCTTACCGTCACCGGTTTTTCGTAACGAGTCCTGTGCTTTGTTGGGAAAGAAACGCAAAAAAGGCATCATCTCGAGGGTACATGTCGTTTCGTCTGTACATAGAACGGCGGCTACCAGTGCCGAATTCTCGGGGCGTCTGATAATGGGAGGTGACTTTGACGGGATTACAGAGTGCTATGCAACAGCAGAAGGCTAGAAGCAACACAGCAGGTCGGCGGGTAAACCGGGTACGCACAGGACGGCCCAAGACGTGCCGTTCTTGTGTTGTGAGGTTGTTCTTCTGACCGGCCGCCCGGACGTGTGGCTTTGGTGGGCGATGTCGATTTTGACACATTTGCCTGTGGTGAGTAAGACCGTATGCCTTGTTGAAGGCTATTGCCATCGCCATCGCCATCGGCTTTGGCTGGCTGCGCTGGCTGCTTTGACTTGGGGCTTTTCGACCCGACATCTGAGATGGACAGTGTGTTGCTCTCTTTTCTTCTTCAATAGTAAATTCGCCCTCCCAAGTCCCAGTCCCAACCGGGCCGGTCATGTTGGGGAACACAAAAAGTATGAGATGAGGTTTGAAGAGACGTCGGGTGCCCGCTCCGACCCTTTGGCCACGAATGAGAGGTACCTTACAAGGGAGGTCTCCTTACGAACAGAGGATGCGAGAGAGAGAGAGAGAGAAATGCAAGAAAAACTCGGAAAGGGTACCGCCTGTTGTGTGGATTATAGAGCCTCGAATAGCCGTGACATGCAAAAGAAATGCAGATACGTACACCAGCAAGTATCTTGTACCTGCTTCGGTCTGTCCCACGATGCCTTTTCAGAGGGAACAACCGAGAAGGAACATCACACAAGGAAGTATAAGGTATCGTACGGAGTACAGGGAGAAGTACTCAGTACGTACCGTTGGAGGGCATCGTGGTCTCCCCAGTGGATGTTTGAGGCCTTGGTGGTTCCTTGGTGCCCCAAGTGCCCCTCCATTGGCGCATGTGATGTGCCCCATGTGGTAACTCCCAGGCCTCACTTGCTTCAGCTTCTGCCCCAGCTTCCCAGCCAAATGTCGCCTTGCGCCGTCAGGTACCGTGGAGCAGACGGCAGCAATGAAGTGAAGCAAGTACCTTTCTCCCTGTCCCTCTACCCCAGGCGGACAGGCGGACCCAGGCCCGGGACGGTCGCTCTCGCCAACACCACCGCCGCCGCGCCGCCTTCGCCGCCAGGTACCGCGATACTTGAGACTTGAGGAACCTGAGAAAGAAGAAGGTACCTTCCCGCCTCCCTCGAGCTGTACATATTGAGCCTGCGATCCAATCAGCGAGGCTAATTGGAGTCTGCTGCCTACCCGAAACGGCTTAGCCCAGTTTCTGTTTGGTAATAGTTCGCCATTTGTGCTGCGGGTGAAGTCATCATCGTGATCCAACTCGTAGTAGACACTGGACGAGAAGCCACGGGAGCTTCATTCGAGAGGGCGAGAGCTGCAAGGATGCATGTCGACGTGCTTCCCCTGGAGCCCTGGAGGGGGGGAAAATATGCAAAATTTCCTTCACAACGTCTCTCGTCTCTTTGCGAGTCACCTGCCCGGCCATGGGGGTGTGTGTGTACATGGAAGAAGGGACTTGGAGAGACGTACTTTGGTCGAAGGGAATTAGAAGGGGGGGGGGGAGTCGAGTAGGAAAAGAATGACCGGCATTTATTTCTTGTGGTTAGAGAAGCATTCGGCCTCGTCAAGTCATCAAGTACCTTTGAGTATAAAGCTTAGAGTCGGGCCTCTTGGATCGTGAGTATTCCAGTTCCTGATCGACTTTGCTTTTTCCTCATCCTCACCTTCATCCTCGTCTCCTCCTCCCCCTTTCACGAGCCTCAACCAAAGCTCGAGGTTAAACAGCTTCACCCGACAAGCAGCATTGACCCGCTTGCTGTTACTATTTGCCTACATCCCACCCTCGCACTCTGGCTTCATTCCTACTGGCCACAGACGAAGTATCTTATCTATACCTTTGAGCCACCACAAAGGTAAACAACATACTCCGTACACACGCACCTCTCCGTCATTCCCATCACCACTGCCAAATTGCTTCCTTCGCCGTGTCCGCCTCTGCTCTCTCTATCTCGCGTCAGCCACACACATACACACACATAGCCCAGCCAACAGCCGTCAGCCAGCTCTCTCAGCAGCCGGCCCGGCGGCGTGGTATTCTGGGCTGTTGTGTTCCCCCCAATTGTCCTCTTGCCTGTGCCATTCCCACCACCCCAGGCCCGTTCACAGCCCTGTGGCCACGGCTGCTACGACCTTGTCTGCCCGCCTTGCTGCTATTTTCAGCTGAAGGCAGCAAAAACGAGTCGATACGGGAGCGCTAACTCTCACTCAGTTCAGGGTCCCTTATCTCTCAGAAACCCGCCCCTCGGTGTTGCCACATCCACATCCACATCTCACCCAAACCGTCAAGTCGCACCCACGAAAGTCACAAAGTGAATTTCTGGTATCTTTACTGAACCAGGATCTGGATCTGACAAAACAACTCGTTGTTTTTTCTCACTCTCCAAGGTACGACTACTTCCTTCTCGAATCCAGCGAGAAAGATTCCAGGCCCCTCTTGGCCGCAGGTTGCAACCCCACCGGCATTCCAGCCAGGCCAGAACCTCTGACCCAGACGTAACCGATCGACCCAAACCCGGTCCTCGATTTCAGTTCTTTTCACCCCCCCTGTGGCTTGAGCAAAAAACTGACCAATACCGACAAAAAGGTACCAGCTACCAGCGAATTGACCCCAAGCCGGTCGGATGGCTGTGTTGCCCGGGATCCCCATCATCCACCTTTACGTCAATTGACGCATTTTGATCACCCTCTTATTCTCTCTGACTCTCGGGTTGTAACAACCACAAGAGAAGAGAAAAAGGTACATTGCTTCCCGTACCTGAAAAGCTGAATAAGACTGCCCTGCCTTTACTTCAAGAAGTCATGGGCAACAGCTTCCACAATTCCAATACGGGACGTCCTGCTGACCACTAGTCGCGCTTACAAGGAAACTCCCTCTCGCTTTGCCCGCGGTTGCTTTCCTCTTTACACAGGAAAACACGTATATATCGGCCTCTTTCTAGGCTTTGAGATACCTCATCCTCGAACCTTTCCTGCCACGCCCCTCTTCTTATCATTCGCCGCCTCCTTTCATCCCGTCTTCATCTGTCAAAAACAGCCTGTTCCTGCCATTGGCTTGTGAGACAAACCCGGCCGGCTCCTTTATCATTCACCACCACCACAACCGTCAACAAGAAAGCTCAGGCCAGTCTTACCGTCAAAGTGCCCCGCCGGATCACCTCTCCGAGACTTTGACATCAGTCACTCAGCTTCCCTCACCTACATAACAAACAACACACCCCGCGATATCTGCACTCCTCCCCGGAACCAGACATCGTGTCTCTCATCCTCTATCTTTTCCCTATACCCCTCGACCGACTACCCAACCAACAGTACGCAAGAAGCAGCTATCCGAGCCCATTGTTAGCTCTGCATCTGCTTTCCTACCTGATCCCGTTTATCTGAATCGGATCAGCATCGCGCTAGTCTACCGAGACGCAAGGTACGCCCGTCCGAGTTAACCTCCCCCAACTCCAAATTCCCAAGCCCTTTCACCTCGTTGGCTCCCCTGCCCATCCCTTATCAGTCCGCCCATTGCACGAGCGTACGGCGGTGAAGCTTCAATGCTCCCGTTGCTCTCTCGATTCCTTACCTTTGCGCGCCATACCATTTGCACAACACAGCACTTCTCTTCTACCTTGCGGACCCTGCCCAATTCCCAGACCGTGTTGTCCAGAGGAAGAAAGCCTGCTCTAGAGCCCCACGAGCCATTACCGGTCCCGGTTCTCGCAACCCAACCTGACGGGCGCTCGACAAAGCTGTCCTGCCAGCAGTTTGACCCTGACTCACAAACATCATGTAACTTTTCCTGGTTGCTGCGATGCCTCGTTGTTTTTGTCAACATATTTAGACTCTAGGGTCGCCCGACCTGACCCTCTGCTCCCTCTTCCTCTTCCTCTCGACCACACACTTTCTCCCATCATCATAGTCACGCTGCTTCCTCCTGCCATCTTGTCGATTCGCTACCCGCCACCATGTTGGCTTTGTCGATCAATACTAACCTTCCTACCATGGATAGGTATTCTTCTGAGCCAGACCCCCTCGAAGAAATCCCCGACATCATGGCGACCGCCGCCCCTCCTCGTAACAAGATGCTGGGCCAGGTTCAGTCCGACTCAGCAGAGAGCAGCCGTGGCCCCTCTCCCCAGCCAACACATTTCAGCTTGCCCATGGCTTCTCGCTCAAATGGCAACGGCCACAGAGTCTTGAGGTCAGCAACAGTTGGCTACATTGCGCCCACATTTGTTGGCAAGCAAGAGCAGATGGAGCAGGGTGAGTTTGCCGTCCAGAAACAAAGTCTAGGGTCCCACTAACACGCGCAATCCAGTCAAGGAGCTCATCAAGAACAATGGTTGGATCCCGGAAGCTCTGATTGAGGAGCAAGTCACATGGTTCTACGACGAGCTTGGCATCGACGATGTCTACTTCAAGATTGAGGTTCCCGAGGTCATTGCCAGCCAAATCACATCTCTGTACGCCGCCAAGGTGGCCGCTTTCGCCCGCGAGGACAAGCGCGAGGAGATCAGACTCGACATGGAGGCGCATGACCATGCAATCTACATCGACACGAGCGAGCCCGGCAAGACATCCATTGCTGGACCCCGCTACGAACAGCGCCTTGAGGCCAAGTATCTCGACCACGTTGGCAAGACCAAGTTCCGTGTCGAAACCTTCCGCTCCCCCGGAGTCCTCGGTGCATCACCAACTTCCAAGGCTACGCTGCGTTGCTACTTCGTCTACCAGTGTCTCTTCAAGCAGAGCCCCGAGACAACGGACCCTCATGAGACCCGTTTGGAGGTTATTGCCGACAACGGTTTCTTGCAGAAGGCCACCAACAACACCAAGCAAATCTACCAGGAGATCATCGATCTCGCAGTCAATAGAACTGGCCCCGTCATTGAGGTCTTCGACATTGAGGGCTCTCCCGAGAAGCGCTTGGTCATTGCCTTCCGCTCTCGTACTGCCCGTGGCCTGTTCTCGGCTCTCAGTGACTTGTACCACTACTACGGCGTCACCAGCTCCAGAAAGTACGTGGAGCAATTCGCCAACGGTATCACAGTCATGAGTATCTACCTTCGTCCCGCTATGAACATCGAGGGCAACTTCCCGTCATTGGACCAGTCGATCCACCAGATCACCAAGGAGATTTCCCTGTTGTACTGTCTTCCCCAGAACAAGTTGCACTCCCTCTTCACTTCCGGTGAGCTGAGTCTGCAAGAGACCGTTTACGGCCACTGCGTCTGGGTCTTCATTCAGCACTTCCTGAACCGCTTGGGTTCTGAGTACATCTCCCTGTCAGAGATTCTGGATCCCAAGAACCAGGCTCACACGGCACTTCTGTCCAAGCTGAAGCGTCGTCTGAGGACGGAGACTTTCACTCCCGATTATATCCTGGAGATCATCCAATCGTACCCCGGCCTCGTCCGCGCTCTCTACGCTTCCTTTGCCTCGGTGCATCTTGCCGTTGGACCCGACTTCGACCGTCACTTCATCGCCCCCACCCCTGCTATTGAGGTGTTGTCCGATGCTAAGCTTAAGGAGCGCATCACTCGCGATGTGTCCAATGAGCACGAGGAGATGGTTATGACCGCCTTCCGTGTCTTCAACAACGCCATCCTCAAGACCAACTACTTCACCCCCACCAAGGTTGCTCTGAGTTTCCGCTTGGACCCCTCTTTCTTGCCCGAGATCGAGTATCCCAAGCGCCTCTACGGCATGTTCCTCGTCATTGGCGCCGAGTCGCGCGGTTTCCACCTTCGCTTCAAGGACATTGCTCGCGGTGGTATTCGCATCGTCAAGTCCCGCAGCAAGGAGGCTTACGGCATCAACGCCCGCAACCTGTTTGATGAGAACTACGGCCTAGCCAGCACCCAGCAGCGCAAGAACAAGGACATCCCCGAAGGTGGTTCCAAGGGTGTCATTCTTCTTGACCCAAAGATGCAAGACCGTGCCGAGGAGGCCTTTGAGAAGTACATTGACAGTATCCTCGACCTTCTGCTCCCCGCCCAGACTCCCGGCATCAAGAACCCGCTTGTGGACCTGTACGGCAAGGAGGAGATCATCTTCATGGGACCCGATGAGAACACAGCAGAGCTGGTCGACTGGGCCACTGAGCATGCCCGTGCTCGTGGTGCCCCCTGGTGGAAGTCATTCTTCACCGGCAAGTCGCCCAAGCTGGGCGGTATTCCCCACGACACCTACGGCATGACGACCCTTTCTGTCCGCGAGTACGTCAACGGTATCTACCGCAAGCTCAACCTCGACCCCTCGACTGTCAAGAAGATGCAGACCGGTGGTCCCGATGGTGACTTGGGCAGCAACGAGATCCTTCTCAGCACTGAGAAGTACACGTCCATTGTTGACGGATCTGGTGTTCTCGTTGACCCCAACGGACTTGACAAGCAAGAGCTTCTCCGTCTTGCCAAATCACGATCCATGATTGTCAACTTCGACATGTCAAAGTTGTCCAAGGATGGATACCGCGTGCTGGTTGATGACAACAACATCAATCTGCCCACTGGAGAGTTCATCTCCAACGGTACATCTTTCCGCAACACTTACCACTTGCGTGATACTGGCCTCACCGACTCCTTCGTCCCCTGTGGCGGTCGTCCCGAGTCCATAGACTTGATTTCAGTTAACAAGATCATCAAGGACGGCAAGTCGACCATCCCCTACCTGGTTGAGGGCGCCAACCTCTTCATCACCCAAGATGCCAAGCTCCGCTTGGAAGAGGCTGGCTGCATCCTGTACAAGGACGCCAGTGCCAACAAGGGTGGTGTCACGTCTTCGTCCTTGGAGGTTCTCGCTTCGCTCTCGTTCGACGATGAGAACTTTGTCAAGCACATGTGCCACGACTCCAAGGGCCAGGCTCCTCAATTCTACCAGGACTACGTCAAGTCTGTCCAGGCAAAGATCCAGGAGAATGCCCGTCTCGAGTTCGAGGCCATCTGGCGCGAACACGAGCAGACCGGTGTTGCCCGCAGCACCCTCTCCGATAACCTATCCAACGCCATCACCACCTTGGACGAGGAGCTCCAGCACTCCGATCTCTGGAAGTCCGAGGCTATTCGTCGTTCGGTCCTTCAAGACGCCCTCCCCAACCTTCTTCTGGAGAAGATTGGTCTCGATACCATCATCGAGCGTGTCCCCGACTCTTACCTGCGCGCAATCTTCGGCAGCTACCTCGCCTCGAGATTTGTCTACCAGTTTGGCAGCCAACCTAGCCAGTTTGCTTTCTACGACTTGTAAGTTCCCCCCAGCTCTTCATTCCATTGATACCTGAAGCTAACCTTCTCCTCAGTATGGCCAAGCGCATGGCGAGCGTCAAGCAGTAATCTCTTGTTTCTTGATTGCTTTTGGATCAGGCGCGTTTCTGTTTTCCCTGCATGATAGTGGGTATCGGAGAATTGGATAAGTGATTTTGTTCTTCCTGGCATATACACGCATGGGTGGTGCGAAAGAAAAGAAAGAGAGAAAAAGGGGCATTATGACACGGCAAGAAAAAATTGAGCAAAGGATCACAGTCCACCGCTTAGATGTTGCGGATGAATTGCATACTAATAGGAGTTATTGGGCATGGCTATCAGATGGTTTGAGCGTGATCGCCAAGATGATCACAGCAGTTATTCAATGAGAGTTTTTTTTTACCTCAATTCGGTGCTTTTCCTACTTTGACCATGATGAAGTCGTTTCCTCGGCCAAGCTTGATTGTATCTGGGTATAGTTCTACGGCACAACTGCTTGGGGAGCTAGATCTGATAACGTGAAGGTGCCCCCTGAAAGACGCGATGTAAATTTATTCGGCTTCACCAACATACTAATCATTGACAGCAATCATTCCGGGTACAGGACTATAATCCCAGATCAATCCTGAAATCCTTGTGATGTAGAAGACGGAGACGGGCAGGATTGGTCTTCATGCCATTGCACAAATCGACGTCCTCGCCTCCAAGGGCCCAATACGAGGAGAGTGGTGAGCAAACATAATCTCAGGTCCAGGACCCAAGAGATGAAGGCGAAAACACCAAGAAATAACAGGACATGTCGTGAATGAAGGATTGCCCATGCAGATCTACACCCACGCCCTCCTCTCACGCCTACCTCTTCTATAGCCTTGCCCCCTCCCCCGGGATCAGTCTTCCACGCCATCGATCCCGGTTCGCCCAAACTATCGGGACGGTCCTCGTGACCACTCGGTCCGTTCCGAGGAAGAGAGGGGGGGGGGCTATTTAGGATGGGTGAGATGGACTGTAGGTGCCAGGGCTGAATGTGAGATAGGGCGAGACCAGCAGGCGTGGGGGGTTCGCTTTTCTTTGGTCTCCATACATGTTTACATACACACCCTTTCCCTCCCCTCCCCTCCCCTCCCCCCACGGCCTGCGCGGGATCCCGGCGAAGAGAAAAGGTCGGTGTTATCCTCCGATGCGGGCGAGGTCGATCCGGGACGAGATCCGAGGACTCAGTAGCTTGTTTCTTCTCCTCCTTTTTCCTTCTTTGCCCCTCCCCCCACCCTCCAAACGAAACAAGTTTATGTCATGTACATGTGAATATCCCAATCTCGTTCATGGTGATCGGGGGGACTGTGATGCAGGTGCGGGATACTGATGATTCCAAAAGTATTTACTATGCGAATGATTTTGCCTCCACGCCGCCAATCATGTGCAAAAACGTTGAATCATGTACCTCTTTTTTTTTTTTTCCTTTTTCCCTCTCTTCCTAGTTTCTAACGGTTCCGTCTCAAACCTCGATCTAATTAATAATTTCCAACTTTCTAAAAAAAAAACCTCTAAACAAGACAGACCCCCTCCTGGTAAGACAGAGAGCACGCGGGAAATGGGGGGGGATTCGCAGAGAGACGCAAAGCTAATGCGCCTCGGCCCACGCGCGGAACCATTCCAGGGCTTCGGGGTTGGCGACGCTGGCGTTGGTCTTGACGTCCATGCCGGAGAGGATCTGCTTGACGGCCACTTCGATCCTGTTTGATTCCATCTTGTCAGCCTTTTACTCTACCTCGATAGGCAAAACGGAGGGGAAAAGAAGGACCGAAGGGGAAAAAGTTGCGCATCCAACAAAAGAAAAGGAACAAACTCACTTCTTCCCATTCCCCGTCTTGGGAATCCCACCACCAGCCTCCTCGATGACACCAGGAACATGCCTGGGACTCAGTTCCCTCCGAATCACACTCTTAATCTTACTCCTCAACTCATCATCAAACACGCGGCCCGCAACGGGAACAACAAAAAGACACACCGTCTCATCAGCATCTGTAGCGCGCCTCCGACCAACACAAACAGCATCCTCCACCTCGGCGGCAAAGAACCTTGTCAAGATGTTGTAAATCTCCGCCGACCCGAACCGTACGCCCGCGGGTTTGAGAACGCCGTCAGAGCGGCCGAGCATGACGAGCGAGCCCGTGGCCGGGTTGGGGATCTTGATAAAGTCGCCGTGGTGCCATACCGCGCCCTGCACGCCGCAAACGTCGGCGAAGCGTTCAAAGTAGGCGGCCTTGTACTTTGCGTCACCGCCTGGGCCGAAGAAGGTGAGAGGTTGGCAGGGGAAGGGCTGGATGCAGATGAGGTCCCCTGGGTGGGTTGGGTCCGGGAGGGATTCGCCTGAGAGGGAGTCGACTGCGCGGATGGCCATGCCGAGACCGGCGCACTGGATTTCGCCTACGCGGACGGGGAGGAGGGGGCAGGGTGCGCCAAAGAGGGAGATGATGTCTGTGCCGCCGGTGATGGAGGCGAGGTTGACTTTGGCGGGGAAGGCTTTGTAGACGAAGGAGAAGGTGGAGGGCGGGAGGGGGCTGGCGGTGGAGTAGATTGCCTCGAGGGCGGAGAGGTCGATGGAGGGGTCGTTTACGGGGTAGACCGCGTTGGCTTCGAGGGCGGTGAGGTAGGCAGCCGAGGTGCCGAAGTGGGTTACGCGGAGGTCGGAGAGGAGGCGGGGGAGGGAGAGGTGGCCTTGCGGTTTGAAGGGGGATCCGGAGTAGAGGACGAGGGTGGCGCCGACGGCGAGGGCGGAGACGGACCAGTGCCACATCATCCACGAGGTTGTGGTGTAGTAGAGCATGCGGGACTTTGCGGTCAGGGAGCCGTGCAGGGCGTGCTCTTTCTTGTGCTGGATGAGGGTGCCGAGGGCGGTGTGGACGATGGCCTTTGGCAGGCCGGTGGTGCCGCTGGAGTAGAGGATGTAGAGGGGATGTGAGGGGGGGAGCTGCTCAAACTTGAGAGGCTCATCGGGGGAGCTTGTTTGAGACGTCAGCAGGATGAAGTAGATAAGTTGTTAGGCATTGGTTCTTACCCTTGGAGGAACGACTCGTATTCATCGACTGCAACGCCCGTTGCTCTTAGGCCGTCGATGGCAAGGTCGCAGGCCACATTGTTGATGACAATCACAAGCTCGAGGCCCTCCGGCATCAGAGCCTTCACAATCTCCTCCGTCTTGTCGGTGCTGCTCCACTCCTTGCCGTTGTACACGGTGCCATTGTCGGCGAAGAGGACCTTGGGCCCGATCTGGGCAAGACGATCCAAGACAGCACTGACGCCGTTGTCGGGGCTAATGCCGGTCCAGATGGCGCCTACCGACGCTGCAGCGAGGGCGGCGATGATGGCCTGCACGTGGTTCGATACGAAGCCGGCAACGATGTCATTGGGCTTGACGCCGTGGGCCCGGAGGCCGGCGGCACATCGGCGGACGGCGTCTCGGAGCTCGGCCCATGTTGTGGAGACGGAGGGTCCAAGTTCGGTAGTGGTGATGGCTGCGACGGATGTGGGGTCGACAGCGACGTTGGCGGGGAAGAGCAGGTTCTCGGCAAAGTTGAGACGGGCACCTGAGAAGAAGTCTGGACGCGGGTACATGGGCGCATTGAGCGGCAAGACCTAAGGGGGTTGGCCATCGGGCCGGGTTAGCTGTTGGTCTGGGAAAGTGAAATGGAGGTGATCTTTGGAGGGTTGGCATGGGCACCAGTGTAGGAGGGGTAGAGATGGGCAAATGGGCATTCCCATGGGCCAGACAATGGCTCATGGCATGACTCGAATTATCGGGGATGATGGTCATGCGAAAGCTGTATGCCATGGCCACATAGCTGTCCGCCTCACTCGAAGCAGTATCAAGGTTCTTGATGGGCGTCCTGACGAGGGTTCAAGACACTGGTGAGGATCATGGATGGCATCGGCGGTTCTTGTTGGTGTCTCCCTCTGGCTATTGCTCACTTTTTCTGCCACTTGCGCAGAGTTTGAGCCCGTTCTCTCAGACTGATGTCACACAACCTCCTTCTCCTTTATGTTCTGCCTTCTCCCTTCAGGATTGGCAGTCATGGCGCGCCAAGCATGAGTAGTGCAAATGGAGGATGAGGTTGAGTTGAGTTTGGGGAAGTTGACGAATAGCATGAACCAGCGTACCTTGTCGAACGGCTTGGAAGCAGTGATGCCCACAGAATGCCAAACCTCCTCCCAGAACTCTGCCACGTTTTCGACGGACCACTTGTAGAGACCGGGGTAGTCTGCCAGTTCAAGTCCGTACTTCTGATTCACCTGGAGAAGGAACGCCCACATGGGAGTCGAGGTGGGGTCCGGGTGCCGCCAGAGCTCGTTACGCGTGACACTGGTGATAGTCATGCTGGGCGGATTGGATGAATTGGAGGGAAATTGAGACGATGAGAGACGGAAGAGGCAGTCGGTGCTCTCAAGATAGGGCCAAGACGTTGAGTATCACGGCGACGACGTTGGACAAGATAAAAAGGGGGAGAAAATGTTTTCGAAAACTGTGTGCAACAGCGCGCCAGAGTGAGAGTCGAGAGATTCCGGCCGGAGTGGAGGGAGAGAAGTTGGGCCGTCGCAATCCGAGGATGAGTTCCGCAGGCTGATTCCGAAAAAAGGGTTGAGAGGGCAGCGCAGTTCTAGACGATCCTGCTGGACCGGAGTCCGGGGGTGGGGGTGGAATCTGCTGCACCGCATATCGGCGAGGGCAAGCAGCTCATCATCTTAGTCTGCTTAGTCCAACTTGCAGAGCAACTCGTCTTTTCTCAGATGCTGTGTCCAGCTGACTGTGCTTTGGTTTCGAATTGGAGCTCGGCCATGGCTCGTTGCTCGCCTTTTTCGTCAACGGGAGACCTTTGACGAACCTCGATTTCTCAAACATCGCATGCGGTTCATGGACGCTGTGCTGAGAACGAGGACCGTGGTGAACTGTGCTTTGCCTTAGCTAAGGTACCCGCGGGCCATCGACAGTAGTTAGTAGTCGCGCCGCTTGACGCTGTACCTGCATCAGATCAGGTCAAAAAGACTGGCAAGTCTGTACCTTGTAAGCTCTAGAACTAAGAATACAACACTTGCAGACGCTCCCCACAGTCCAGCTCATCGAGGCACATGAGCCTATGCAGGGCACACCTTGGCAAGGACCTTCAAGGCTTGAGGCACTTGAGCGAGGCGTTCATGGCATTGGAACACAGAGACTCGCCCATTCCGCCCTGTGGCTGGTGCACCAATGCGCCCCCCTCCCCTTCGATGCCTCTCGTTGGACTCGATCAGAGTTGCGCTATCGCTGCCGCTTCATATCGATAACGTTGTCCAAGCGGACTGAGAAGACGTCTCAGAACGGGACCCAATGCTGGGGAGAAGCCTGCAAGCCGACGGGCCTCAATCAAAGATGGTGCAGTGACAGCTCACACAAATCCCACAATCCCACAATCGAGGACCTTGTTACACAGGTAAACAAGCACGACAGACGGGAGATTGTGTGAACTGTCATTGGCCGCGCCCAAGTTTCCTGGTATTATGATCTAGCGAAACCGCAACACGCGATTCGGCCATCGGAGAGATCGAGATGGCCAACTGATGTCACCAAACCAGGGCCTCGGAAGAATAGCCGATATGGCGCGCGCTGGAGATGAGTCGATGACTGAGATGGAAGGGCCATGGAGAAAGTAAACGTGGAACACAGAAGCAACGCCAAATCGTCAAATCGTTGATAGACATTCAAGTCTCGAATCAGAGAGCCATTTCGTGATGTTGCAAACTTGCAATTGGCCCTCGTGTTACCTCACGTTGTATCGAATGTCAACGGTCCAAAAGCGAGACATGCACTGCGCCTCTGGTTCGTTCGGCCCATTGCCAGCTGGTCATCCGAGCGCCTTGGTTGCTTTTTTCTCTCTCTCTCTCTCTCTCTCTCTCTCTCTCTCTCTCTCTCTCTCTCTTTGCCTTTCGCAACGTCGTGCTTGCATCGTCAAAGTCGTGGGCGCCCTGTGCACGCAAAGTATGGTTATGCGATGGGGCCGTACGTAGGAACTGTTCAGTCAAGTAAGTGCCTTGACTTGCTGGGATCAAGTCTGCTGGTGAACCGTCGGTGAGACCGACTGGCAGGGCAAGCGATGCTCCATTGTGACCATGGCACTAGTGGACGAGGGTATTTACAACAGCATTGAGTTGGGCAGAGATGAGCCAAATAGCTGAGTGCATTGTGTTGAACGCATTGCCCGAAAGACACGTCCAACGCAACTATCATGGTGATAACGTCACTTTGACCCTTCCACGTAAGTCATCGGACGGCGTAAGTGTGAGGGGAAGGGCTGTCGACAAGTCCAAGAACAAGGGGGTTCCATGGTCAATTGCTTCGCTGGCTAAGCAAGGCTGGTAGACGACTCAACTTGGAACCATGGATAGGGCGGCTGGAGGTGATGGTGAATTTTGACTGTTTGACCAAAGGCGGGCCGTTGAACGATGAGTTGGTGCGATGACAGGGACCTGTATTCGTAGCAGGTAATAGCCGGGGGAGAACAGGTTAACGGCACTGGCCGGAAGGTCTTGGTCTTAGCTCAGCTCTTCCCGTCATGCACAGCAGAGCTTGGGACGTGGAGCAGTGAAAGCCTCGCGGGATCTGCAAAAGCTCGACTAGCGCAGGATGCCGAGGGTTGCATTTTGGTGACATGGTCGGGTAGCGAAGAAGCGGATGACTATGCCTCGAAGCAATGCCAATGCCAATGGCGGCATGGCTTGATGCTAGAGCGGTTGCGAACTCCAGAGCATCCGAGAGCGAAGCGGGTGAAGGGTTCGTGGAGGGTGACGGTGTAGGTAGGGACGGTGACTGCAAAGAAAGAATTGTCCGATCATCAGTCATCGAGAGTCCGGTGTGTCCGTCTCGGCCGTGTCGTCCGGGCAGCCTGTCAGGCTTCGATTCGCCCCTCCCCCTTTTCCCGCGCGTGATCTGATGGTTGCTTTGCTGCTTGCTGCTTGCTGCTCGGTGCCAATGGTTGACTGGATGGGTGCCGAGTTGAGTAACGCGCCGCCGGGGCCAGACGGGATTTGCCCAACAGCCGAGATCACATTGGCCGGGTGGGGATTGGTGGTGGATCAAGATGCAGCAGTATGGTTCGGCCAGAGCAAGGCAAGCCGCAAGCCGCAAAGCGTAAAATGAGGTGAGTTGTTAGTCGCGAAGACTGGCCGGAGCCTGGCAGACAAGGTTGTGGATATCAGAAAGGTACCTGGCTGTCGTTGCTTGCAAAAGGATCCGCAGAGGGGTCTGACTTTTGGACATTGGGCGAAGAACCAAGAATAAGGACGACGTCGTGGCGATACGTTGCAAGCCTCGCTTGACTGATAGAGGCGAGTTGCAGATTGGGCAGCGGTTGGACAAGGGGCCAGATGCTGGCGTGTTTGATATGTGCGTCTTCAAGAGAGAGGGAGAGAGCGATCATCGTGAGTCTCGCAGTAGGAGTTGTAGGGTACTCCGTAGGCGAGGGACGGATAGAAAGACAGGCCAATTGGAGGCAACCCAAGACAAGAAAGGACCGTGCAAGAAGAGCACGAGGAACAGCGGGCAACCCGGACGTGTCGGGAGGCCAGGGCAAGCCGCAAGCCGCAAGCCAGGGGTCAGAAGCGGGAAGAAAGGAAAAAAAAGACTTGTCGAGGTGTGCGAGAATGAGACTTGGAAGTCGATCCTCGAAATTGGATTGATACGCGCTAACGGAGAAGAGAGGAGGAAAAGTCACTCGCATCGCAGCTTCGACACATCACGTACGGAGTAGTACCTAACCTTAGGTAGTGTGCGGTGGGCAGAGAGCCCCATTATCTATCACATCAGGAAGGGGGAAAAGATACTTGGATGTCGCACCTTGATGTGTGCATCTCGAAAGTATCTTTTTTTTTTCCTTCTATTACATGCTGTCGTGCTAAGGTCGTACAACCTGGAAGGTACGGATGCTACTTCGTACACACAGTAAGGTACAGCCCATCCACGCGGTAATTTTCCTCTTCATCGTGGGTCTCTCTAGGTACGGAGTAGACTCTGCATTATCCTTCTTGTTGTTTTTCTTCTTCTTTCCTCGTCAGGGTCATTACCTTTATCTCCCGACTTGTCCCTCTTTCCTTTTCAGAGTTCTTCTCCTCCTCCTCCTTCTTCTTCCTCTCCCCCTTCCTTCCTCTCCAAGCTCATCACCGTTTGGTTCCTTCCTCCCCCGTCGTAGAGCTGCCTTCCCCGAACAGCCCGACAGCAGACCAATAGCAGGGCCTGCATCGATCGAAAAGAGGCCCATACACCACTTTTACGCCACAAGTATCTCATCACCCACTTTTCGCCGCTGGGGTACTTTGTTCACCAAGTACCTTGCCTGTCTCAACACACCACGCTCCCGGAAAAAAGAAAGAAAGAAAAAAAAAGTCACCTCACTTTCAAGGTCCTTACCTTACCACTGCTCACCAACACAGTACCTTTCGGAGTGCAGCACCCACCCGCACCAATTTTACCTAAAATCACGGTCCAATCCCATCGCGCGACAGGCCGCAAATCGACAATTTGCCTTTCCCTCTTTCGCTCCCGCCATCTCTTCAAATCTCCCATCCGTTCATCCTCCTCAGTCCTTCCGAAGTCCCAGGTTGCAGCCCCTTGCAGCTGTTACAAATTCTGCGAGTCCTGCCCGCTTCACCACATTCTGCCGTCTGCATCTTCTGTTTCTCAACGGGTCACCGATCTTCAGATTTGCAGCAGCAGCCCCCAGGCACCCAAGCTCCGACACCTGGTTCTTTCGACAAACACACCACTCGCAACTCTCGCCCTGAGCCACTGCAGAGCCACGACCTCTTAATTGCATCCTCGTTGCTCTCCTGCGCCCCCCCTTGACCCCTTTTTCGCTTTCGCCTCCTCAACTTCTTGTTTCTTACAACTTGCTCAATCGCAAAAGCAAAGAAGTCGCCAAAGAGGAACAGGTCCTCTCTCACCACCTACACACGACTGTACCTCCAACCTCCCACAATTTCGGCCTTTCAACCAGCTGCTTACAGCCTTTCCTGGTGAGTGCTTGACCGTTAATTCATCATCAATCAACTCTCCTTCAAACCAACCCAATCCGTGGGCTCCGGCACCTCGATAGCCTCTCTGGCTCCATCCAGCGTGTGGTTAGCGCTTTCCTTGTGTCTTGTTTCGTGCTTCCATCAAACCGCCGCAAGAGGTCGGAGGTGAGCCTTGGCTATTCGCAATTCTAGCGCGTCCATTTTAGTGGTCGCCTGCTCTGTCTCTGCGACCGCGGATGCGCCACTGACACTCTGACCGACAATTTCCCTAATTCTCAAACCACCAACCATTTTCGTTATCTCTTCCACAACATCCGGGCCTCCCGTCAGACTTGCATTTCGTGCTGACCGATCGTTTTCCTCTTTACAGCGCATCAATTCTCTCGATTTCGTAGTAAAGGAAACAGCTTCGTTCTCGTTGCATCCTTCAATCAATTCGGTCTCTCCCTGCTCCATTGCAGACTTCGAATACCCCTATTCCAATCGCCACCGAGTCGACCATAGACAGCCAAGCGCATCCCAGCAATGCCCCGTAGAATTGCGAATCCCTTCTCCAACGCTCATTCACCCACCATGCCGCTCTCTGAGAAGGAAAGGAGACCTTCTCGTTCCGGCAATCGCATCACCAACTTCTTCACCTCCCCCAAGGGCGCCAAGGACAAGGACCACCAGACAGCTCAGCAAGCCCTCCTCGCCATGCAGCAGCAAAACATATCGTCCACCCAAATCACCCCTTCCACCATCTCCCTGCCTACAATTTCGCTCTCAACCGCCACCGCTGGCGAGCCCGACACCACTGAGCCTCCTACGACCCTCTTTTCGCCCCCCTCAGCCGTCGAGACAGAGAAGAAGAGGCGCTTCGACGCTCAATTCGGCCCTCTCCTTCACCCTACCCACCGATACGTGAGCAAGTCCAATGATGGCAAGCCCTTGGACCCGCCCATCATCGATGAGCCGCCCTACTACTACATCCTCACCACCTACATCAGCTACCTGCTTCTCATTCTGTTTGGTCACGCCCGTGACTTCTTCGGCAAGCGCTTCGGCGACAAGAAGCATTACCGGGCTCTCAAGCCCCAAAATGGATACGCTCCCTTGAACGAGGACTTTGACAACTTTTACGTTCGTCGTCTGAAGATGCGCATTGATGATTGCTTCGCACGACCCATCACCGGCGTTCCCGGCCGCTACATTACCCTCATGGATCGCGAGTCCAGAGACTACAACAGAACCTACAACTACACTGGCACACACACCGAGACATTGAACATGAGCTCTTACAATTACCTTGGTTTCGCGCAGTCGGAGGGCCCTTGTGCCGATGCTGTCGAGGAATGCGTCAAGAGATACTCCCTCAGCACCTGCAGTCCCCGCGCTGATGTCGGTACTTCCGACTTGGCCCTCGAGGTCGAGAAGGAAATCGCCAGCTTCGTCGGCAAGCCCGCTTCCATGGTCTTCTCCATGGGTTTCGTCACCAACGCCAGCTCATTCCCCGCTCTCGTCTCCAAGGGCTGCCTCATTCTCTCCGACGAGCTTAACCACGCTTCCATCAGAGTCGGTGCTCGTCTGTCCGGTGCCGTCATTTCATCCTTCAAGCACAACGATGTCGTCGATCTCGAGCGTAAGCTCCGTGAGGCCATTTCTCAGGGCCAGCCTCGTACCCATCGCCCTTGGAAGAAGATCCTGGTTGCCGTTGAAGGTCTCTACTCTATGGAGGGCACCATGTGCGATCTCCCCGGTGTCATGGCATTGAAGGACAAGTACAAGTTCTACCTCTTCATCGATGAGGCCCACAGCATTGGCGCCGTCGGACCCCGTGGTCGCGGAGTCTGCGACTACTACGGTATCGATCCCGCCCGCGTCGATATTCTCATGGGTACTCTTACCAAGTCTTTCGGTGCCAACGGTGGTTACGTCGCCGCCGACAAGAGCATCATCGACAAGCTCCGTAGCTCCAACGCCGCAACCACCCTTGGCGAGTCCCCTGCGCCCTCCGTCCTCATGCAGATTCTGGCCTCTCTCCGTCTGATCACCGGCGAGCTCTGCCCCGGCCAGGGTGCTGAGCGCCTGGAACGTATTGCCTTCAACTCTCGCTACCTCCGTCTTGGTCTTAAGCGTCTCGGTCTCATCGTCTATGGTCACGATGATTCCCCCATTATTCCCGTCATGCTCTACAACCCCGGAAAGATGCCCGCCTTCAGTCACGCTATGCTCAAGCGCAAGATTTCCGTCGTTATTGTCGGCTACCCCGCAACGCCTCTTATTAGCTCGCGTGTCCGATTCTGCGTCTCTTCAGCCCACAACAAGGAGGATCTCGACAGACTCCTGGCTGCGGTTGACGAGGTTGCCGATCAACTTCAGATCAGATTCTCCACCGGTATCGCTGGTGGCCAGGAGCCCCTCCCCGAAGGCATCACTCCTGAGACGGAAGCTGAGTGGCGCAAGGCCAATGGCACGGAGGGTATGTACAAGGCTCCCCGCTGGAAGCTCGAGGACGTCATCGCTCGTGGAGTCCAGGATGCCAAGCTGCGCCTTCGGTAAAGCAAAAGTCCTTCCAAATGGAGTTGGCAAAGAAAAGATTCACGACTGTTCTGACCTTTGGGTCTGGCAATTGACGAGACGCGGACTGGACGGAACGATGAGGCAACGTCTAGGGTGGAAGAGGGAGTTTGGTGCCCTGTATTCAATTCTGCCGGCTTCGACCTGTTTGCATGATACCTGTGATATCAACTGTCGAGTGTCTATTATACCTTGATTGGGGAGCCTGCATGGCCTTGGCGTTTTTGGGAGTAATGATCGGAACAGCGAACGAATTCATGTGCCACGGCACCGTACCAACATAACTAGTAGTATTAGGCTCTCAAAGAGCTGAACAATATAGACGACAACTAAGGTTCTTTAGAGTAATGCACATATCCTTCATTGGAGATAACACATAACCTTTGCAGCGTGCGTGCCCGCTTCGATGACATCTAGGAGATGTCCGTCAGTCCCATAATTGTACCTTGTATGGTGTTCACGTGCTGGGTGCCTAGATGCTGGTGATCATGACCTCAGATAGCTTTGAAACCATGCGACAATTGAATATTCGATTCAGCAGCCGTAATCAGTCAACACAATGGCCTGCTTGGAAAGCAGTACGCATGATGGTGGAGGGGCTTGCCACCTCTTCATATGGTACCAAACTAAGGTGCATTGCGTCTCAACCAGTATGGGACCGGCGATGTCATCTCAACTAGAAGTCACGTTCGCCGAGCCGGATCAACGTGTCCATGGGTTTCTCTTATAATGCCTACAAGCTTACAAGCTTTCAGGAGTCAGCTTTTTTGCTGAAATCACTAGTTCTTGGGGCAAGCTGCACATCGGACAGTACTTCCGGTATCGTCTATATCTCGACGGGCTTTACAAGGATTCTTAACACACAAGTAAATCTTGTGAGACTCCCCCTCCGATACTCTTTAGATAGATGAGGGCCGTGTAAATCCGCCAGCTCAGGGAAAAAAAGTTTCTCACTTTTGAATATACAACGAGGCGGTTTGAGCCATTGTTGGAGGGTACATGAGGAGATTGTTCTCTATTTCTGAGCAACCCATCAGATGAGGAGACTTCTGGCGCAGAAGTTGCGACTGGTCACTTGCAAGAAACATACAAAGGAGCTCGACACCCCGGTGGCTTTCTATTTTTGTTAGAGTCTGGGTTCGAGTCATCCTACAGAAAGGCCTCTACTATTTCTGGTCCTTTCCTCTTTTTTTCTTTTCTTCTTTTTTTCCTTTTTTGTGTTTTTTATTTTCGTCTTGAATCAGTCAAAGACACCCGCCTTGGATGTGTATTCTCACAAGACACAAGTAAGAGGATCTCCATCCACACGTATAGGATCAGAGGCTCTCCCAGTGGTGGGGTTCAGAACTTTGTTGAGGCATGTCAAGGCCAGCCCTCACTCGGAAACGTCACTAACATGAAAGTGAGGAGAAAGACTCGTGGTCACCAGCAGGAAAATTCCACTCTCATATCTTTTCTCCGTTACGTAGAACACTTCATTGGTGGTTTGTCTTCTGAGGTTTCGGGGACCGTTTGCCGTCCGTATACTTGGCAAACTTGTCTGCTTATACCCCTCCCCTGAAAAGCCCAAATGAAGAGTGTTTCCTCCTCCTGAGTTACGAAGCAGCCAACCACCCCTCCCACCTTTCACATTCTCTCATCCAAGGCCGAGTGAAGTTCTATTTTTGTTGAAACTACACCCTTTCCAAGCAAAAATCCGGAACAGTCCGGGGAGTCCTGCCATAGTTCTACCCGTTCATGATACCCCGGTAGTCGCACTTGAACATACAGCTCGGCGATTTACTTGCACCTGCGAATTCAATGTCAGTTCTTCCCATCAAAAACACATATAGCGGGGACTTTTGATTCAAAAACGTACTCAGTACGGGAGTTACCAGTAGTCTGGCTAATGCACTCCGCAGGCCACTTGGAGCCACCGTCGCACTTGGAAGGGCATCCGCCGGCGCCGAGGCCGCTGTCAATCACCTATTCACCGAGTCCAGTTAGTGTTCATTTCTCGCTCAAAACATAAATGATGGGGGGGACCTTGTGAACGTACACAGCAGTGGCTTCCGTCCTTGTACTTGCACTGGTACCAACCTGAGCAGGCCTCGGTGGTGGCGAAGAAGGCCAGGAAGGCGACGGCGGCGGAGATGATGCGGACCATTTTGAGGATTTCGTTGGTGGTTTGTTGGTTGGTGAAGAAGGGTTTAAAGATGTTGTTGGAAGTGAAGCTGGTGTTCTGGGTTGATGAGTTTTGGATCAGGAAGGGGGATGAGGCATCCGTATTTATATTTGATCACGACTTGTAGAAGACGGCCGCATCTCTCCAAAGATGACTCTGCTCTTCAAAGTCGCCGGTTCATTCATTCCATTCATCCAACGAGATCCTCGAAAACAAGCTCTCGTACCCGTAGATTCCGTGAATACCCTCAAACCTTACGATACACGAACTGGGCTGGAGGGTAATGAAGCAAGCAACACGGAACTCAATCCTCATGACTTGCGCCGATAATGAGAGCAACGGCCGGCCTCTTCCTGTTGTCTATACTCCACATGCCTTCTGGCTATCGTGAAGAAGTTTTGGGAATTCAGCTTGTCGGGGTCGCCGCCACCTCCAGATGAGGCTTATGTCCGCGTCAGTTCCTATGGGATAAACCTAGTACATTGCCCGGAAGCTACTCACATGAGTAGGAAAGACGGTGAATACTGAAATCAATGTAAATAGACCTCGAGGCTGACTCCATCGTGAAGTCTTGGCAGCCTACCCGGAGACGGGGCTGATTAGTTCAGCCAATGAGGCTATCCGCACGAGTAGTTCAGCCAATCCCCAAGCGGTCCCCGAGTGCCCTGATAGCACGGAGAAACAGGGTATAGACGAGATCTACAGTGGAAGGAGTGGAGATTCCCATGATTCTAGGAGTCCAAAGTTGAGTTGACATGAAGTGGGTTCACGATCCTATCAAAGTGCACGGAGCCATCAGTGTTGCTTAACCCTCCGGTCAAGCTTTTGTAGTACAACGTCAATTTACAGTCAATCTAATTAGCAACTTCCTGTTTGACAATCATGGAGATTACTTTCACCTTCTGGAATATCTTCGCGGCTGGCAAAGGATACATCAATCCCCTCACAAACCCTCCCGGACAAGTCGAACAGTAATAGCCACCCCATCAACACCCTCCTCCCCTACAACATCAACCCAAACCCTTCCCCCCTCAAATCTCGCCCTCACTCCATCACGCCCACGATACACAACCCTCCCATCAACATCCACAACGACATCCCTCGCCCTCACAGGAACCCCAACAACACCCCTCGTCCCCCTCGCAGCCCAAACAACAATCCTAAACTGCACGCCATCCCCCTTCCCATAACCCTCCCACTCAACCCGTATCCCCTCCCCCCCAGGCGTCGGCACAACACCCCTCGCCCACCTCAACCCACTCTCCTCCGGAAAAACACTCCACGTCCGGAACCCAGGCCCCGTCGGCCTCACCCCGAGAACATACCCGCTCATAAGCGGCACAATCCCCGTAGACCACCCGTGCGCCATACTCGTGAACCCGTCCTCATACGGCCTCCCCCCGGGGCCAATCCCCTCCCAGAACGTCACCCCGGGATCCTGCCCCGCCATCCACCCGTATAACCTCCTCATCTCCTCCACTGCCGTCTCCCCGACCCCAGACGCGAACCGCGCCGCCATCTCAAAGTAGGATATAAAGGCGTACACCCGCTGACTGAACCCTTCCCCGACAGCATCCGAGTCGTAGAACGCGTTCCCGTACGTCCGAGACGCGACGCCGGCGTAGTACGCCAAGATCCCCTTCGCCGTCTCCGTCCCGACCACGCCGCCGGCAAGTATGGCAATACTGTTCCCATCCTGCGCATGCGCCGCCACAAACTCCCCATCCCCACCCGTCCCATCCCAAAACGCACCCGTCGCCTCGTCAAAGTTCCGCCTAGCCAGCGTCTCAGCGACATCGTCCGCTCTCGTACCCCACCTCTCCGCGTCCCCCTTCTTTCCAATCTCCGCCGCCATCTCCGCGGCCCGCCGCAGTGCGAGGACGTAGAGCGCGTTGTAGTACGTCACGGGGCCCTGTCGCGGCAGGAAAGCGTAGTCGCCGTAGCCAGAGGTGCCGTTGAGCCCCTTTGTCACGAGCCCCGTCTCCGGGTCCGTGACGGAGACGTACCACCCGTCGAGCACGGCGACGAGGTTGGCGTAATAGGACGAGATGTACTCCACGTCGCCCGTGTACCAGACGTAGTCGTGGCTGCAGACGACCCACCAGAGGGGGTAGTCGAAGAGGGGGAGCGTGTAGTTCATACTTTCGTATCCCGTCCCAAACATTAGTCTTCCAGGTGATGTGGCTTAAGTACCGTCTGGCAATAATAGAGGAAAAAGAAGAAAGAGAAAGAAAACGGGAGGGAGCAAAGGAATAACTCACATGCTCGCCGGCGGAATCCATCCATCACCCCTCTGATGAACTGCCAAATCCACCAACACATTCCTACTCGCCTCGCTCAAGTCTCCTACCCCATGAGACACATACCCCGTCAGCGCCGCGACCGCCAAATCCCCAACATACGGATCCCGATCCCGCTTCGGCGCGTCATGCAACACAACCTTGCCCTCGAGCGTCTCGCTCGCCGCGCCCCGGGGCTCCGCGTCCTCGGCGCCGCGGAACGTGTCGACGCACAAATCGTTGGTGTACACCCCGTCGAACCACCACCGCGTCAGATCCTCGTCGCTGCACTCGAACCAGCCTTTAAAGGTGTCGGGGGTGCCGTGGTAGGCCGAGAGCGCGAGCGACAGCGACGAGATGGTGACTTTGCCTTGGGGGAGGGTGTGCGGCGCGTCGGAGGGCAGGGCGTCGAGGTAGATGCGGACGTAGCGGAAGCCGTGGAGGCCGTCTGCGCAGACTTGGCCTTTGCCTTCGCCTTTGCTGGGGTACTGGCAGCCGTGTTTTGCGGTCCAGGTGTAGGCGTCCTTGTTGACTGCGATTTGGTCGCTGCCTGGGGTGATTGTGTCCCCGTTGTAGGAGCGGGAAAAGTCGCTGACGTTGCTGAGGAACTGTAGTGTTTCGGAGAAGGCCAATCTGATACCAGGTCTGCCGTCCTGGTCTTTTCTTTCACTTTCGTGGCCTGCGGTTCCACCGGCAGAAGAAGTAGTCGTAGACGACCCAGCAAATGAGATCGAGATAATCCCCACAGTGTTCTGACCAAAGTCAACTGTTACGGAGGGGGCCTCATCTCCTGCCGAAACACGAGTAAAGACGGTTGGCCCGCCCTCGCCGTTGATTAATCCCGATGGATTGGCGACGTCGCCGCGGGTTAGGTCGGGGATCACCCGCGCAGGGTAAATCGTCTTGGACTCGCTCGCCCGAACGTACTGATGCCAGCTGGGTTCATTGCGGACAGATTCATCGCGAGGCGAGCTGCCTCTCCAATCTGGGTTTATGAGATCCCATTGGCCGGTCACGAATGCAAAGAGGCTTGTCCATAAATTCGGCATTACGGCTGGGTCATGAGTGACGGTGGGTAGCTTGCCGATGACGTTGATTGACGAATGACTATCTAATCGACGAGTAAGTGAGGGTGCGAAACAGTAAAAGAAAACGAGTGAGTAACGTGTTATGATGAAGTTGAAAAGCAAGAGGTTGAATGAACTGACGAATCGAGGAGGACTAAGGTCGGCGCGGGCGGGAATGCGGGGTCCCGCCCGGCGCTTCCCCAGATCGGATGATCTACGAACGGCAGTTGGCTGGCGGCTGAACCCACAATCCCGGCCCAGTGCGGATCGCGGCCGACGACAGGGACTTTTGTAATCTTGCAATTCAACCTTGAGCCAGCCTCAACTTCCTCAGGTGAATACTACATGGTTTCGTTATACTGTTTTCAAGACCTGTGCCTCCGGAACGGTAGTTGGCAGTACTGAGAGTCACATTCATCTTTTTCACATGTCACATTGTCGTCGTCTTCACAGTTGCAACAAGAATCCTTGGTAACTTTGAAACAGACAACCAAATGGTATTAGACAGCGCTGCGTCTCATCTGCCTCCATCGTCTCAATGCCACACCAGCGGCGCGAATGATGGCCCCAATGCAAAGTGTTCATGTCCATGTCACGCACTTATAGCGGGCGTCGTGTCTGTAAACAAAAGGAAGAAGAGAAGAAAGAAACAAGGGTGTCGAGGTAGCAAGAGACACACCCTCTGTGAAGACCTTGGTATGTCCACGCATCTCAAAAAGAAGTAACAACTGCGAAATCCATACGCGCGCGCAAAGTATCCATGGCGCTAAGGTTCATATCAGCGACCATGTTTTAATGTGTCGTCCATCAATCCGTAAACCTTCTCAATCCCACCGCCTGTACCAGGACGCCGTCAAAAAGCCAAGAAAGGTATTTTACACTTTCGCTGTCTGTTAAACATGATGATCGTAAAGAGGCCTTATACAGTGCCTCGAAGTCTTTGCTTGCGTGCTAGCCAGTCGCCAAGCATGTTATCAAGTTGCTATACAAAAGTCAGTCCGGAAGCTAATGGAATCTCCCCGTACATATCGACTTACTGTTGTAATTTCCGCCAACTTGGCATTCTGTTCGCGGAACAAAGAGCCTGCGACGGGGTGTTCCGGCCCAGCAGGCGCCACATCGCTCTTGTCGTAAACAACAACCAGCATATCTCGGATATCCGAGCTCGAATCGAAAAAGGCCCGAAGCTTTGCGTCATTCCAGCTGCTACCGGTAGTGCTGCCACCCGTAGACGTCGAGCTGGCAGTCATCGAATCTTGTGCACGATGCCTGCCTGCCTCCTCAGCCTCAATGAGCTCCGGTGATGGCGACGTCGAGTGGCCTTCTTGACTAGAAGTATCCACCATGAGCGCAGGAGGGTTGTGCGAAGTGACCGGAGACACTTGCACGGGAGATTCGGAGAGTCTTTCCTTTTCACGTACTGCGGCGGTGGGCTGAGGCTGAGGCTGTTGAGTTTGCGTAGGAGTGATTGTCTTATCAGTCTGAGCGCTGGCAGCACTCAAGCTGCTCATGTAGCTGTCAGGGAACGCGCCAGGCAAAGGCCGTTCCAGTTTCTCCTCCTTGACAATCTGCTGTGCCTGCTGCTGCACGGGTGGCTCGGCAGACTCAACCTCCTCTCCGGAAGAGTCAAAGTCGTCAAGCTCAACTCGAGACTTCGCCTTGGTGACCTTTTGCGGCTTGGGTTCACTGTTGCCACTCCTCGACGGGATGATCTTGGACAGGGTCGACTTTTCTTGGGGAGGTGACCGAGTCGTCTCGGGGGACTTGATCCGCTGCTGCTGTACAGAGAGCTCTGGATCCGACGAATCATCCTCCACGATGCGCATTGAAGCAGGGGGTACGTTCGAGACATTGTTGGGGCGGCCTTCGGAGGATATGAACTCTGAGAGTTCCCTGGTCGCAGACTTTTGTGGCGTTGCAGCCCCGTTGACCCTCGCAGGGGACGGCTCGACCCTCGGCTGTTGCTTCTGGAGCTTGCTTGCGCTTCGTTGGGGACCATCGCCTCTCGGGGACAACGGTTCCTTGAGCTCTTCTTCCCGACTCTCACGGCTCTCGCGACTCTCCCGGTCCTGGGATTCTGTAACAATATCCATCGATCTCTTGCCAAAAGACTCATCGTCGTCGTCCGTGGTCTTCTTCTTGTCCTTACGCGAGAAGAAACTCCGAATGGTGCTCGTCTTCTTCTCCTTCTCCTTCTTGTCCTTCTTCTTCTTGTCCTCCTTCTTATCCGGCTGTAGCTCCTTGTCCATCTTATCCAGACTTGGCCGTTGCTTGACCTGGACGCTTTCAGTTGTCGAAGGTCGCGAGCCGCTGTCGTCACGAAGCAAGTTAGGCGTAAGCGTGATCTTCTTGGTCTCGACCGTTTCGTCCTTAAAGAAAGAGTCGGTGTTCCTGACGGTGCCGTTCCTCGACCTGCTGGGACCTTCTGGTTTCTCAAAAATTTCGCCGCTGTCGCGTTTCGAGTCATCCTCTGGTGCCTCCTCTTTCTTCGTCGGTTCCGTAGCGTTGGCCTCCTTGGTTGCCCTAGGCTTCAGTGGCTCAACCTTAGCCGTGTCGTCATCCATCGTTTCCTCTGTCGACTGCTGCGACGTTTGTTGTTGCTGCTGTTGCTGTTGCTGTTGCTGTTGCTGCTGCTGTTGAGCACCCTGTTGTTGAGAGAACAACCCATCAACTTCATCCTCGTCCGAGGAGTAGTCATAGTCAGAGTAATCGACAAAAGTCGGGGCGGCGAATGCGACCGTCTTCTTCTTCTTCCTAAGAGCAGTCTTGAACGTACTCTTGGACTTTTCCCCAGACTGATCTCCGAGCATTGTAGCGGAAAGCTGATCTAAGTCAGAAAGGTTCATCTCTTCCATGGAGGGAGCGACTACGTCTATATTCCTGTGCTTGTTCAAGCGCGCCAGTCGCTCGGTTGGCGTCTCAATGTGCTCTGCCGGTAAATAGCCTATTGTTCATGTAAGGAGCTGCTCTTTGAATAACACTCAAAGGGACCTTACCAATGCTGCTATCCTTCACCACACGGACCAGCCACCAGTAGCTGTTGCTGTCATCCAGCAATACCATGGTGTCACCCTTGGTGGCGTTTGCTTGGCCCTCGACGGTCGCAACAAAGGTGTGTAACGCGTAGACGAATTCGAAATCGATGTCCTCTGCTTCGTGTAAGCACTCGTTGCCCCAGCCACAGGCAATAAATCTAGAATCATCAACAAGAGAAACATCGCCGTCATCATCATCTTCATCATCAATAGAGGGTTCGTATGGGATCGTAAGAGGGATGCCGTCATCGTCGAGTCCACCAGCTGCCTCGTCTCTTTCTGCCTTCTCCATCTCTGCACGCCGCTGCGCGAAGTCGTCGTAGTCTGGTTCTCCAGCTTTACGCAAGCGAAGCGGACGAACCACAATCGGCCCATGCTGTGCAACGTTTTGGAGATCAAACTTCGTTGTGTGACTGTTGTGGTTTTCGTCTTGCCAGTTACGCTCGTCATAGCATTCATCGCCGTATTGTTCGTCGTCGTAGTATTCGTCGGTGTACTGTTCCTCGTCGAATCGATCGTCGTCGGTCGTATTGCGATCCTATTCGGTATACTCACCGCGAAGATGATGATGGGTTGATGTATTGGCAGATGCCTTGCTATGCTGCCAAGAGAGGTGTGCTGGAAGGTATTCAAGGGACTCGGTATAAGGAGAAGAGGACCTTGCCTCGCTGAACGAAGGGGAAACGGGGGAGGCGTGATCTCTCATGGCCGGTAGAGAGTCGACTCTACGCGGCCATGATTGCGGAGGCATAATCGAAGTGTACCCACCATCTTCAATCGAGGGTGAACTCGAGATCTTGTCCATCATGTCGTCGTCGTCCATGCTCTCGTCGGTGTCATCCATATTTCCGTCGTCCGAGACACCTCCATTTTGTGCGACGGCCAGCGCATCTTGCTGCTGTTGTCTTCTGCTCGCGTCGTCCATTGTGCCCCCAGTGAGCTTTCTCGAGACCTCTCCCGCGAGATCGTCCTCGTCCGAGATGTCGTCGTCGTCGCCGGCGTTGGTCCAGGAAAGCCTCGGGCTGCGCGCTTGATCTTCGGCGGATTCCTGGGCAACTTCTCGAAGAGTCTCGGCCTGGTGCGGACCAAACGAGCCGTTGGGCGCCCTGCTGTGGTCTTTCGCTGAGGGTGCGTCGGGATTTTGCAGATCGATGGTGTCTGTAAATGCGACAGAAGAGGTCAATGGTCAGCGTGATATGTCAAGCAAAGAAATAAAGTTGCTGAGTATGTTTTTTTCTGGCTTCCTCTTGCTCTGGCCAAAGGGGGGGTGGGAGGAATTCTGTAAAATTGATCGTCCGCGGTTCCAGCCGTTAGACCAAGACGGGTTCAGGCTAGAGCTCAGACACAGGAAACCCAGAGCCAAGTAGGAAAGGGGGAGTTTTGTGTTTTGGGGGGAGAAATTGTGTGGTGCGACAGGAGGAATGGGCAGCAGGCGCAGGCGCGGTTGTTTGGGGTCGCATAAACTTACCAGCGCGAATAATGTGAGGTCTCGTCATGTTGGATCAGGTCGTGGGCCAGCACAGCCAGCCGAGACGGTTGTGGGAATTGTGATTTTGTGACGGGATTGCTCGAGTCGTGAGGGTGGTATGTCGTGGTGCGGTGTATGAATGGATGGATACACGGTAGTGATAGTCGTGTGCAGTGAGTGCAGAGGTCGTTCCGTTCACAGTTCCGTCTGGATTATTTTCCTTTGCGCTTGATGAGCCAACCCCCTTTGGACCCGTCAGTTGGTAAGTTGGAGAGACCCTGGTCGGCAGACGACGTATGGAGGACGGTTCGGAAGTGTATCATGGAGCGAGGGTGCCAAAAAAAAAAGCTGGGGCGGTAGGCAATTGCCAAGAGAATGGGATGGGCGAAGCGTGCTACGTAGCGTGTTGGCGTGGTCTGGAGAAGGAGGTAGGAATACTGTGTGTATGTGACAGAGCTGAGAGGTAGAGAGCAGACTCAGAGGTTGGCGTCGGCGCTGGGCGTTGAACGAGGGTCGAAATTGCGACTCCGCTGTTTCGTCGGCTGGACAGGGACGCCAGGCTGGGTTCTAGCGGCGCGTGAGATTGCCGTCGGGGCTGCCAGGGTGCGGCGTCACTGCGGGAAGAGGGACGATGATGAAATGGTTGGACGAGGTTTTTTGCGATGGTGGTGGAAAAAGGGATTTCCTACATAAGTTTGTTGGATTTCGGAGTGGATGAGAAGCTCAGCGGTTGTCGCCAGTAGCGCACGACTATTAGTAGACAATCAAGCGATGTACAGATAGTGAATCCGAAGAAACAGCTGGCGGGAGGTCGTGTGCTCAGTCAGGCAAGGTGCTGTCTGGGGGCAAGCAAGCAAGCAAGCAATTCAGGAGTGCGCTGCTTGGTGAAGGGTGGTGGTGGTGGTCGACCAAGGAGGGGCGGTTGGCTTGGATGGCTTGCTGGGCTGGGCTGGCAAGGAGCCGACTATGAATAGAACAGGGAACGGCGTAGTTGATGAAGGAGGCGAGGTGAGGCGAGTGCAAGGTAGCCGTGGTTCCGTATTGTGTTTACTGTATCCGTATACTGTACTCCGTATGTGTACCTAATAAGGCGAGTCGTAAGGCGAGGGGATGTGAGAGAAAACAATTAAAAGGAGCGACAAGGGCTGAAGAAGATGTCAATGGGGTGGGAAGGTTAGGTAGCAAAACGGTGTGGACTGCGGAATCGATGTTGGGCCCAAAAAATAAAACAAAATCGCCCAAGATTCTGGATTCGGTAAACGTCAAGCCGGCAGGGGGGAGAAAAAAGAGAGAGGACGAGAAGACAAGGAAGTGGAAAAGATGTGTTCAAAAGTGTGTTTGGTTTGTTGTGCCGTGTGTCGTGTGTGTTCTGTGTGTGTTCTGTGTGTGTGCGGCGTGTGCGAGCGAATATGACGGAGCAACAGCCCGGGCGGGGCAGCTCTGCACTTCTGAGGATGGGAGGTATACCGTACGGAGGGAACTTCAAGGAACCTGATAATTTACCCACGTATGCGCATCCAGCACGGGGGGAGGGAAGACGGGAGAACTTGACAAGAATCAGAAGAGAGAGAAAGAAAAGAAAAAAAAACGAAGCTTGCCAGGTCCGGAACCCCTTTGCTGTGCTGCCGCCGCTAAAAACAGCCCAAAATTCAATTTCATGCGGGAGACGCTGGTGCAGGAGAGATGGCCTAAGATTGGGTAGAAGAATCGACTTGTTCCTCCCGCGCGCTGCCGTGATAGGTGATGGGTACAGATGCAACCTCGACATGTTGTGTACACCCATACACAGTAGGTGGATTACCTATAGTCAGGCACACAATGTCACTTGTATTTCATACTACTCTTTCTATGCGGAATACCTTCAGGGGCAATAGATATCCATACCTAGATGTCTGCCCAGTGTCTTGCTTTCTCACAAGCCTCTCACGCCTCATTCGGAGTCTTTCCCGCCTCGGCCTATCGACGACAGATGTCTAAAAGTTCAGACCGATCAAAATAAAATAATGAAAAATGCGGAACGGGGTACGGAGAAGTGAAATGACTTTTGGAGACTCGACACCCTCCGAGATGTTTGGCTGGGGTTTGTGGACTTGAAACAACTGGGAGTCGACCAGGGCCAGCCGCCATGCCGCTTTCCACCTCAGGAACCGTGGAAGTACTCCGTACCCGTGGACCTTTTCATGTGTTGGTGTCCTTCCTGTACAGAGTACCTTAGAAGGTAAGGTACCTGTCTACGGAGTACTGTGGTATGGTAGGTATCAGCCAGTCATTTTCCAGAACCACAGACCTCCTTGCCAGCTACAAGTTCCATCTTCCCTCACCCGCTGTCAGAAACCTCAGAAGCTACCCCCGTCTTCCCAATTCTTGTCACAGATTGTTTTCTTCTTCTATTCCCTCTCCTGCTCCTGAAGCTGTTGTTCTGCCCCTCAGTCTCCTTGATATTGCATCACGGTCCGTTCGCTGTTTACATCTGGGCCAACCGTCTGACTTACTGCGTAAGAAGTACGGAGTACAGATGCGGTATACCGTTATCGGAGACCAGGTCTCTTAGTCATATACCCTGCACCGGAAGAACACCCGTCAGTGTTAGTCAACGTCGAAAAAGGAGGTCTAGCCCTGGCCCCTGGGTGGGAGGGTATTAAGCTCTATGCTCTGGGCCTTGACTTTTGGGCTCCTCAGTCCTGGGACCATTGGGAAAACGGCCATTCGCATTGGCCAACTGTCAGACATCTCACCTAATCCATATCAAGCACAGCTAGGGGAATACTTTCAAGTTGCCCAAACTTACCCACCAAAGAATGCCAGCTCTCGCAGACATCGTTTGTATCTTCCTAATCCGGCTCCATGAGTGTTACCCACCTTGAACGCAACTTCCGACCTCCCACTTCCACTAACGCATAGTTCCACCTCATCACCATCTGGATTCAGGTAAACAACTCCCTATGCCTGGGCCAAGACGTCGTGCAAACATACGCCTTCGTCATGCCTCCCATTTACCATCTCCCAATCCGCTGGTTACGGGGATTAAACCCCGACCCACTGAACTCTCATTACTGGAGACGTAACACCTCTGCCAGCGTTCTAGGCAAAGTCGCTGCCATCATGTAGGTTATCCGTGAACGCGCTTCACGCATCAAGAAATGTTCCCGGCGTCGATCTTCCAATTCGTCAATAACTTTCTGCCCGTCTCCGGCGATCGACATCAGAGTGATTTACTCTCGTCACGTTCTGGATCACTGTCTTCACTCCGTCAACCATCATGAACCATCCCAAGCAACGACCGCCGCCGCCACCACCACCGCCGCTCACCCGTGCGTCACAGCTGCTGGCCCGTTACGATGTGGCTCGTCCCAAACACTAGGTAACTTCACTCAACTTAGTTGCAAACGGCGCCAGTCGACATCAGCCCCCAGATCCGACCTACGGCTTTCGACGGCGCTGACTATGTGGCTTTTCTCAGCTCTGTTCGGACCCGAGCCTTACACGTCCCCCGCCAAGAGCATCCTTCATTGAAGCGAGTCCACAGAGGCGAAGAATGTGAAGTAATCATCATAGCATACCAGTTGCTTCGCAAACACCGTTCCAGACGATTCGCGTCCTCCTCTCAAACCGAAGCGAACTGTTCTGCTGCTTTCGATCTTTGTACCACCGCGCTTTCTACCAACTAGTTTCCGCCGTCACCACGCGGCTTATCATCCCGTTGTTCTACGCACTCAATTTGAACAGACCGCCGTCGCCACCCGGCACGCGCGCCGCACATAGGTACCCATTTCCCATCGACCGCTGTACAGGTATTGGGTTCACGTCCTCACCGCCAACCCGTGCGGTGGTCTGCATCGCCCCCCCGGAAGCTTGCTGAGCACGAGCAACAGAAAAGACTGCGAATACGCTCGCGTCTACGGCTCCAAGCGAAAGTCAATTACTTTCGTCCGAAGTTTGTAAGCAGCGTAGAGGCTGCGACCTTTTGGCCAAGAGGAGCAACCAAAAAAAACACATTGGGAACAAGTGTGAGAAGAAGAAAACAAACAAAAAAAATAGCCTCATCTGAAACCCAAGCTTCTTCGGGACCGAGGATTTGGGGCCCGGCGCGAACGCACATGCCCGCTCGTCCCATCAAACCTGAGTGGCTTCGGCTAGTCGTCCCTTGTTCGCTCTTGAGGCCCATTCCCCCCTTCAAACCTGTGATTCTTTCAAGAGCTCAGCACACATCGCGATGCATGGAAAGAAAGACGCGCGCCAGTCATCCGAAGCTCGGTCGACCAACATTTGCTGGGAGAGTTCAAAGGGAACAATTTGCATGATACGGCCTACTGAATGATTCATCGGATATGCATTCCGCCGTCCAAGCTCGGTGATACCCCAAATCTGTGCCACGTTGGATTCAGCTTGAGGGAAACAGATCATCCCATAACCAAGCTCATGTTCCGCCCGTCCTGGATTGTATTCTGACTGACCTGCGAAATGCCGGCTCGAACCTCTGCATGCCCAAGATGCGAAATGTCTCACTGAGGACCAAGATATGCTATTTTCCAGGGGTACGCATATGACAGCCTGTTTTCTCCCTGCGCCATGTCTCTCGGTGCCGAGACATAACTTCTCAACCATATGATAGTAAAGCGTTTTGGCAAACAGACAGAGGATTCAATGGTGATACGCGAAATACTTGATCGCAGTATCAGGATACGAATGAAAGGCGTCGTTTCGACGGAACACGTCGTCCCGTCTGAACTACGTGGCTCGGGGGCTCACTTCGAGCCTGCAGCTTGTCATGACTTTTGTAACGAATTGGTAGGCTCAAGGTCTCGATATCCGAGCTCACATGAAGGATGATCGGCCTGTCGAGCCGACAGGATATGCTGCCACCAAAGTCCTCGGGGTATACCTTCCGTCTCACAGTTTTTTGAAAGGTAATCGATGCTGGAGAGTCGGTCCCTGCATATCTAGCCATTACGTTCACGGCGTGCCGAAAATCAGAGCACGGGGGGGGGCTTGGCATCGCTAGATACCGTTGAGACAGATTCGATGAAGTAAGAACCTGGTCTTTTGCAATAATGTATGTTGCGTCCAGCCTGCGACTTGATGGTTTGCTGTTTCTTGACAGCCTGATATGTTGTACATGAGATTGGGTGCTAGCAAACGAAGTCGATATGGCTGGAGCGCGGTGCTAGAAGAGCTTGTAGTGCTATCTCTACTGCCACCGACAATGGTCCAAAGATCTCGTCAGATTTTATATTGCCGATGCTGTTAAAATTGGGTGGTGGGAGGCAAGTGCGCAATCTGATAACTGACGACGTATCATACCATGCCCTGCAAAGTCTATCACTTATCTAGCTTATTATCATATCTTTCAAACTTGACTTCAGCTAAGAAGATACATCATAGACTTCTTTTTAAATTGCCTGCCAGTTGGAAAGAGCAACCAGCTGATGGCCCAGAGCTCCCGTCAGCAGTATCCTTAGTATGTTTCCTTTAGTCGATTTCCAACAGAGTGGGAAGAGTCGAGTGACTCGTGGCATTGCTCTGTAGCAGTGGCTTTGTGCTTATGACAATGTAATCGATGTGTAAAATAGTTTCTCCAAATCCACGAGATGCTCTCTCAAAGATCCAGGTGCTACATCAAGGTACGTTATTTCAAAGTTAAGATTAACGAGTCATTAGATACTATCATCAAAGAGCGTGTAGCCTAGTCCTTGCGCCATTATTACCCCACCCCTAACATTAAATTCCTTGATACGCTGATCCCAAGCATCGTCCCATTTTTATGCGGACAGTTCGCCTCAGATATCAGCACCGAGTCTTGCTCCAGCGAGTGACGGGCCAGCGTCAAGCTACCCTGATCCAGCATATCCTGTTCACCCAAGAAGTCCCAGAAAGACGGCTCCTTAAAAGGTAACATCAGGAGTGACACCAACAACGAGAACAGGATTCAGCTTGGCCTGAATGTTGCGAATACGGTCAGCAAGACCATTGGCGCTACCAGCAGCATTCGCCACTGCCGTAAGCGCAGTCGACGCCGAGGCAGCGACGGTGCTGAGCGCGACCTGAAGCGCCAGGCTGGCCTGCGTGTAAGCGAGGGTGTAGGCGGCCTTGGAGACGGGGTCGGCGACGGCGTTGGCCTGGGCCTGGAGGTTCTGCAGCTGGGTGGTGGCCTGGCGGGCGAGCAGCTGGGCCTGGACGACGACGTCTTGAGCGATCTGGACGACCTCGGCCGTGGGCACGGAGGGAGGCGCGGCGGATGTCGCGGACGGGGCGGGGATGCCTGAGGGGACGACGCCTAGGAGGTTGCCGACGACTGTGCCGACTCTGGTGCGGATGCTGTTTGTGTTGCTTGTTATTTGGCGGATGACGGCGTTGACTTGGTCGGTTCTCTGTGACGAAGGAGGGCTAGTTAGTATGATTGTAATGCCTCGGTGGGCGGCTCAGCGTGGTTTTGAACTTACATCCTTGACTGTTGTTCCGACGGTCTTTGTGAGGTCGCCGGCCAAGGTTGTGGTCTTGAGGATGTCGCCGCGGAGGATGTTCAGCGCGGTGTAGAGCGGATCTGTCAGTTCGCCGGGGTTGAAGACGACTTCGGGAAGGACGACGGTTCCAGGCGTGATTGTTGCGCGTGGGAGGATGGCGGCTTCGACTGAAGCGAAGGAAAGGACGGCAACGGCCGCGGTAAAGACCTTGGTGTACATTTTGGCTTTTGGGGAGATGCTTCTTGAGAAAAAGGGAAAACTAGAGGCTGAACTAATAAGGATGTGAGGAGTGTGAGTATGGATGTAGATTGCTGCGAGATGTTGATGATGTTCGAGAGAGTTATAAGCCCTGGGTGGACGATGTTGATTCCTCTTATAGGAATAATACTCCGATGCCATGATGACGGAGTGTTTTCCCCTGAGGTTGCGAGTTGAAGCCCGCATCCGGACCGACTGCTACGCACCAGAGGCATCTCTCGATGCAAAAGCTCCGGCGTCTTCTCTCATCAAAACGTGTTGTCCATGTTCTCATCCGTTTTCAGGGTTGGAAGCGGTTGAAAGAAGCCCTGGAGATCACCTCGGAGAAGTTTTTGATCCCGTCAAAGATTATTCCCCCCTGATTGACGTCGGACGCCAAGCTTGATCATCGCACACTGCCGTGGTAGACAGGTCGATTGCTCTTCCCAGCGTGGAAAGAAGTTATTGCCAAGGGGCTAAGGGATTTACGGATGCTGGAAACGTCAGATACCAAGCTTTCTTGGCGATAGGATCGCGGCATAATACTGCATGTATGCCTCGACAGTGACCAATAGTTCCTTACCCGCGAGTAGCACTACCAGGTACTTCAATACAGATTTCCACTTGTCGTCTTTAACTGAAGATCTTCATGGTGTTTAAGCTCATGGACACTATCCTAGCTCGCGCCACAAGATGAAGTCAGTGGAGTGCCAGAAGACCCTGAGTTAAGTGTCAGCGTGGGTAGAGCAATTTCGGATCTTCCACTAAGAATAAGCGTGTTTATTAGCTATGTGCAGATAGATCGACTACAGGGGACCACAGGATCTAGGAAGAACTACATCCTACTGTATGTGTATCGTAGGATCCAGGGAACCAGCCATGAACGCCACGCCATCGGCGCCGTAGTCGAGCTTCACTCACATATACCCTTCCCTGGCTTTGCGACTTACTCGGAAAATACACGGCATGGCGTCATCCCTGATTCTGTCAGTGTGTGTGCCTTCAACTACGGAGTTTTCTCCTCCACAAAAGCCGGAGGAAGATGATGTCTCCAAGACCGGAAGGAAAATCAGAGATGTCTCACATAGAGTCCAAACGGTTGGAGGCAAGATCAACGAACCCCGCAAGCGCAGCTACATCCGGCTCCGATGTAAATACCCAATACCTTGTAGTCCTAAAGACAGTGTCTCATACACAGGGTGTTGATGTTTTCGGCCCAGCAACAACGGCCGCCTCAACAAGCCTCTTTTTGGCGGCGAGGATCCTGCTCGTCATGTCGCAATTTGTGCCACGGTCCGAAAGGGTCGATCGGCCCGGCTGTAGCAGGCGTTATGCTTAATTCTCTCCTTGCTCAGTCCTTCCCGTGACTAGCTCGTAAGAGAAACTTTCGCTTGCGGTAGGAGAATAGTATTGAATCTATTGAGCCTCATCTCAAGCTTTGTAAGTCCGAGTTCTTTCACGAGCTGTAGTGTCGTTTCCGTTTTCAACATAGTTTTTCCTGATGTCGTGCATGAAGATCAAGCGTGGACTGAGGTAAGCTTAAGCATGACGGTTGAATGACTCTCGGCTCCTCGGAATCGCAGTTGGATGAAAGAGGCGGACCGCCTCGGCTCGGACTGATTAGCTGGATGGTGTGGAAGTGCCTCTGATGGCCAAATTGATGGATGTGCCAGAGATCGATGCAAAGAGGCGCCGTAGCCACCAGGACTACAAGCACGATGTGGATTTTAAGGGTTGGTGGGTGGCATAACGGAATCTTGGGTTCTGTAGTGGGCTTCGAAGGAACAATCTCCATATTCTCTTCACTCATCAAACTCCCCGACTCCTGAGCAACAAGGCCGGACAGTAGCTGTGACAGGGGCCCAAAGAAATACTCCGGACTGCAAGGAGCGTGTCAGGCAAGCTTCAGTGAGCGCGTTGAATTGCAGTCAGAGCTACTTAGAATGCCTCCTTGAGGTGTTCTTCCAATTCCGAGGAATTTCTCTTCACTCGATATCATCAGAAGTGCTTTGAAGGCTTACACTGCTCCTCGCGGGCCATGCTAGGAATAAAAGTTGTCATGACATCTCAGTCTCTACCTAGGCAGTTGGGCCTTGTCTTCTCGCAATCTTTGTCTCTTTTGCACGCTGTCGCGTGTCAATCCCATGTTTGTTGGACTGTTATGGACAACGGCAAGCTACCTCCGTATAAGCAGTGTATTGAGGTGACGCGACTCTACTACGGTAGGAGTCAGTGAGCCAGTCACTTCACATCAGTCCACCAAGCAGCGTCCAGGGGTAGACCTCGCGAGACAAGAAGACTGATTTAACATGAGTGACTAGTGCCCGCCCTTGCAGGGGTGTTTGAGCAGCCCTGAAGCGTTATCAGACTGTTGAATTAACGCCTTCTGCCAGTCCATAGTAGTAACCCAGGAACTGTCAGATCCAACTAATGTCGATCGTCAAATGTCTACCTATTTGCAATTTGAAGTTTTTTGAGATGCTCATGGGGAGACATCGCAGGTTGATCAGGAATTACATCATTATGCTACTCTCCTTGGACTATCCGGGAGATAACATAAGAACATCGCAAGCTTTCTCGATTGACCATGACAAGGGATCACGTGCGGTTCCGTCAAACCGGCACCTAACCGTGCTCATTTGAGTGGAAGAATTTCAAGCGCTAGCAACGCAGTGTACCAATTTCGGGGTATGATAACTAAGTTGAACGAAACATTACTGTAGGTAGTATTAACGACAAACACAGATGTGGCCATTTCAAGCCTGAGCTGCAGTGATAAGGGCTTGACTGCGGAGAGAACAGTTGGAGGGTTGTCAGGTCTACTGGTAGAGATGGGTATAATAAATGTGTTTCCAACACATTATCTGGCATGTCATACGTACTGGCAAAGAAGCAAGCTAGTCAAGGGTAGCTGCTGATACTCAACCGAGTCTCTAGCCCTCGTAAAGACGGCACCAGGAGATCCCATGCACCCATAAAGCAGAATTCAAGAAGCCATTGAGGGAAGGAATGGCGAAGCGAAGAGACAACGTCAGTCAGCCGGCAGATTGGAATAACCTTACCTTCCAATCGACCGATCCCTCACATCTAACTCGCTACTCCTCAGAACGAACTCACCACTTAGAATCCTTCTTCCCCTTGTCCGGTCACTTCAGCGGACCCTGCCGCACCCACCTCAGCCACACCCCCATCGATCTAGACTTGGACCAGGCGCTAGCTGTGGCGTCTGCCACCAATTGCCGCTTGATTCTCGTGGAACATCCCCCAGCCACACTCGCAACCTCATCCTGCTCAGCCACGACTACGTCACCGCCCTCTCAACGAGCTCTTGGCATACAACACCACACAGCACAAGCGACCCTGTTAGCCAAGTTTCGAAGGGGAACCGTTGTGTCACTGGTGCAATTACAAGAAAAGGTTGGGGAAAAAAGCAAGCCAAGGGGGGAAGGGAGATGATGGCTGGCGTGGTCTGCTGCCCCTCGTCACTGGTTCGTACGAAGAGGGAACCAACGTATACCTTAGGTATATAATGCAAGCCCGTTCCTTCTTGGCCTTTCGTCAATAGTGGTGATTCAAAATCAACTACCAAACAAAAGCCCACCGCGAATAAATTCGACAATCACCAAGGTATGCTCCGACTTCCAAATAGCACATGAGCACTGTACACCTGTGCCTTGGACTGACAAAATCCCCAGCAAATTCGTACAAACAACCTAGACAACCACCAAACAATCATCATGCCTTTCTTCTACTCCAAGCCCATCGGCGGCCGCAACTTCGGCACCTCCGTCCACGCAGACCGTCACGGCGTCCACCGCGGACCCTGGCGCATGCGCATCGGCCGCTTCAACTGCTTCAGATAGAGTTGGCGCCATTCTCACGGCGCAAAGGTGTCGGTGCGATGAATTCGAGGAACGCAACTGGCGAGCATTCTCCTCGCTTGCTATGAGCTCTCTCCCGCATTTTGATTCACTACGACCTGAATTTATTCTTCAGAACGAGATTACGACCACAGCTACCAAAATATGGACGACGCTGTTTCTCTTCTTGTTCCTCTTTTATTGTCACGAGATCACGGATACCAGGAGTCTTCACTTGTGTTTTACGGGTTCGGTGATGGGAAAGCGAGCGGTTCCTGTCCTTCTGTCCTTATTGGGTTCTCTTACGCTGCGGTCGTATTGAAGTTGAGCGTGATGCGGATGGGTGGAATGATGCAATGCATGCATACCTAGATAATACATTACGTCTCCCTAGCCTATTTTGAACTGTTGGATTTTGTGATTCACCCAGGTCAAAGCCGCCAGACTGCTCCCTTGGTGTTCGTCGATTCGTAATGTACCTGTCATGCTGGCGATTTCCACGAAAGGCAAGCTCTACGACAAGGTCTATAGGAATCCTTAACCCAAGATATTGGCACCCGCCCCGGCTCATCCTGTCGTGAGCCTGACTGTGGAAATGTTCTGCGGCAATAGTAATAGCGGTGTGGCCAGTAGTCTGGCCCGTCACTAGACAATGACAAGAGAACACATATGGACCAAGGAATCAGAGCAAGGCCAACTTCAAGTGTGCGCAAACAACCAAGCTGATCCTTGGTGCTCGATGGTGACAGATGCCCAAGGACAGCAAGATGACCACATGGAATGTCACTCGTGCAGGATATTTCAAAATGATGCAGGGGCCAAAGGGGTTGGTGATATTCTCGAATTACCGAGCATATGAAGGATCCTGTTTTCCATCCCACCCAACGCCTTATTCTTGTCAATCGACGGTAGTAGTAAGAAAACACACGCCTGAGTGAACGTCAAGTCGTTGAATTTTTGCTGCGGTTGTTTTTTTGTATTTCCTAGCACAACGGTACGAGCCATGCCAAGCCGCCAGCCCTGAATCATCGCAGAAACCGTTTCCGATGCATTCCCGTTCCCTGGATATGAGAGCACAACGCAAGTAACCAGGCGATGAAAACCGAACCCCCTCGCCCCGAA